AGCCAGAGCTAAAACCGTTAGCTTTTATGTTTGTTTGTTTTAGAAAGAGTTGCAGCCTGGGTCTATCTTATTGTATAGATCAAGTGACCACATTTTTCATGATAAGCATTAAATCCAAGTTATAGGGGCTTTGGACCATATTTAAACACCAGTTTGTGCCCGGGAATGTCTTGTGGCCAAGACTTGAAATCCTGGTTTTCATCTGGAACTTTCAAAGAAAACTATCCGGGACAATGACGTATGACTCTCTCCTAGGGCTGTCCTGAGGACGGCATGAGGCAGAATGGGTAAGGGAGTCATTGCTCACGATTGCTGGAAGTGCCCGATGTTTTACTGGGGAGCAGCATGGGCTACCGGCTACACTCAGGACACCATTCTCGAGGGCTCTAGTTAGAATTCTCTCAGGCTCATTTGGGGCCAGAATCTCTATTACACAATCGTGGCGTTTTAATATTAGGCTGAGACACATAAAACAACTAATTCTGGACTACTTTTAACCAACAACATCAACAATTCTATGATGCTGAACCTCGTGAGATATTCTCAGTATCATCTCCCTCTCCTGTTCCCACAATGTTTTTTCCAAACTGTGGTCGGTGAGGAGTTGCAAAATCTCAGTGAGAACTCTTTTTCTGCCCCTCACCCCCAAGTTTTCTAAATTTGATGCCTGTGAAATTTCAGGTCTCAGGAAGCATTTTCATAGCCAATCCTAAACCCTAATGATTTGGAGTTTGGTTCCTGATATAGCTTCTCTAGGGGCTGGAGAGAAATGTGCTTTGGGACTGAGAGCTCGGCTGTTAGGCAAGGGACAATCACAGGAAACCGGCAGGAAGTGAAGTTTACACCAAGTCCCAGTAGTATCTATGGAAATCCCAGGCAGGGTTGTGGCCTCCTTTCCTCAGATTTTATGAAAACATGCTTTCTCAAGTCTTGCTGAGTTTGCAAATTGCACTACTGGGTATTTACCCCAAAGATACAGATGTAGTGAAAAGAAGGGCCATCTGCACCCCAATGTTCATAGCAGCAATGGCCACAGGCACCAAACTGTGGAAAGAGTCAAGATGCCCTTCAACGAACGAACGGATAAAGAAGATAGGTCTATATATAATACTATGGAGTATGATGCCTCCATCAGAAAGGATGAATCCCCAACTTTTGTAGCAGCATGGATGGGACTGGAAGAGATTATGCTGAGTGAAGTAAGTCAAGCAGAGAGAGTCAATTATCATATGGTCTCACTTATTTGTGGAGCATAACAAATAGCATGGAGGACAAGGGGAGATGGAGAAGAGAAGGGAGTTGAGGGAAACTGGAAGGGGAGGTGAACCATGAGAGACTATGGACTCTGAAAACAACCTGAGGGTTTTGAAGGGGCAGGGGGTGGGAGGTTGGGGGAACCAGGTGGTGGGTATTATGGAGGGCACATATGGCATGGAGCACTGGGTGTGGTACATAAACAATGAATTCTGTTACGCTGAAAAGAAATTAATTTAAAAAAGGGGGGGCCAACAGAGCTCTGCTGGTCACTGTCATTGACAGTATTATTTTTTTTTACTATAAGGCAGCTCCCCAGGGGTACAGGCACACATGCCTCGGATCGCAGAATGCCGAGACTTTGGGGGCTCAATTGCTTTCTCACTCTGCCATTGTCCCTTCACATGCCAATCAACTTGTCTGAGCCTTGGTCATCTCTCCAGGGTGAGTTAGGGACGTGTCACAAATTTTCGTGAGCGTGTGAAAGGACCAGCCATTTTCACACTGTATCAAGGATCCTCAGAGGGTCTGATGGTAATAAATACAGCATAAATAATCATCCTATTGTATGGTGTACGGAGATTTGAATTATTTCTCTTCCTACTGGGGTTTCACCTGACTGCAGAAGATGAGCCGTGATGATCTGGGACTGTAGTTTCTTCTTCATCTGACTCATAGCTCGGTCCATGTGTGTCTCAGATTCAACCCCTTCCGGCAGGTTTTTTCCAAAGAACTTTGGCTCAAATTTTGCAATGATTTTGCCACCTCAAAGGCGATGTCTTATGTGAATGAGATGAATGATCTAAAAAGAACATGGCAAAAAAATGCAGCCAGACGGTCCTTTATTAATACAAATTTATATAGTGGCATATGCTATTGGAGAAACCAGAAATTAGTAACACACAGATCGGTATTAGAAATACAAAGATCATCTGAGTCAAGAGGCCAGGTTGACAGCACCACAAATGTTTCAGTCAGTCTGAGCACGTGTGTCGTATCCAAGAACAACGAACACCTACAGGACACAGACACCGGATGTCCTAGGACTGTGCACGCACGTCCTGACACGAATTCCACACCCTGCCGCGGAGTCTGCGGGCGGCCTCCAGGAGGCCTGGGGGCCACTAGAGGACAGCGAGGCAGAAACAAGGCGCAGGCCCTTCTCCCTCTCAACCCTCGCAGCCAGTGTGGGCGAGCACATCGCCACCCGAGGGCTCCTTGTTCCTCCTCCCAGAATGGCACGACACAGAAAATCAGCAAAAACGCACACGAGGCATCAGTGAGCAAGTTGGAGAAACTGAAGGGAAGGCTTTGACTGAAGTAGAATCTCGCGTCGGTGACCAAATTATCAGATTCCTACCGTGAAACAGAAAACAAACAAAACAAGAAACTGTACCAAAGCAGTAAATCTCAGCGTCACAGTCTCAACACTCCCTACTTCGTACGTGCGCACCCCTGAAGAAGTCCTAGCGTCCGGACACGTGCACGGAGTCGGGGGGCGAGCAGGACGGGAGGCGCGGCAGGGACAGTCCCAGGCTTTCCTTTCACACAGATGGCTCTCGGGCTCGCGGTCCGGCCAGGAGATCGTCCTCGTCGCTCACGACCGGGTACTGGAGGCTGGCGAAAGCACCTGGAGGTCTCCGTCTCCATCTCTCCCTGTGGTGGCTTCACTCTGCACATGTCTGCGCTCCTCCGTCGCGTGTCCTCCCCAGCGGGAGGGAGGGATGAGCAAGGATATGGTAGCAAAGGCGACGGCGCAGGAAGTGTTCAGTGTGGAAGCGTTCTGGCAAGTGGGGACACTGAAAAATGACAGGCCAACGCGAAAGTTGCTCCGCAAATGATAGGTTTTGTGTCCTTGCAGGATTAGCGTTAACCTTCTAGATTGTTCTGCAGGAGATTGCACACCAGGCTGATGAGCTCTCCAGCCATGAGACGCCAAGTCCGGATACTCCCAAGGCCGGTCCACAAGTTCTGCCCCACACTGCCCAAGCTGGTGTCCAGGAGCACGTGACCAGTCGGGGCTCACCCTGTTCTAGCCTCTCCTGAAGACCTCACTCACCTCAGAATGCTGAGTCAGACTGTCCTGCGCTGGAGGCTGATTCACAGTTTCAACGTCTGCTGATACGTCCTGAGGGCTTCTCTGTTCCATCGTCCCAAGACCCTGCTGGAGCCATGCCTATGTCACGTGGTGCTTCTTTGTTCCAACGAGGTTAATTCATAAGCCAAGCAGAAGAGACAGTTTGGGTTTTTTGTTTTGTTTTTGCTATCTGCCCGTGATATCTGGCCACCTCCGTCTCTCACCTCCCTTCCTGAATGGATTCCCCCACCACTCGCCCGTGACACCATTCACTTGCTCACCCGCGGGTACTTCTGGAGTGCAAGGCACCGCCCAGGAACCAGAGGCACGGCTCACAAGGTCCTTTTCTCAGGGGCTTGGCGTCAGGTAGAGATGCTGAAAACCATTCGTGGCTCGTTCTTTCTGGCTTTCTAGAACCAGTGTTTGTGGTGTGGAATGTTCTCAAAGAGCTCGGGTCATGCTAATTCAAGCCAGACGCGGCGTGCTGCCCTGTGGTCTGCTCAGTGGATACGGTGCGCCGTGCGCCGGGGAGAGAGTGTGACTTTTACCCTCCAGGAATGAAATTTTGCCTTCATGTCAAAACAACACGACGCACATGCTTGTGCCTTTGCCAGTCGGCCAAAACCAAAATGAGAAACACAAAGGCGAGCTGTGTGCCCACTATGCACAAAATCCTGAAGCTTATAGCACACTAAATCGTTTTAAAGCCACGTGTTTATGGCCTTGTCACGTGCTAATGTGGTCAAACAGTAAGTGCCTGAGCTACCAGAAAAGACCCCTCCAAAGAGAAGTCCCCGGGACCTGGCGCCCTCATCGGCTGCGAGCGCTGGGACGTGGTCCGTTGTGAGTCCCAGCTGGAGTCTGTTAACTCAGATTTCACTCTGAGCTGGAATTTCTCCTAATTTGCTTTATTTGAATGAATCCCTTGCTTTTCCGAAACCCTCGCAAACTACAGAACTCGCAGCTAGCCAAGGACGCAGGTTCTCCAGGACGGGGCAGAGCCTGGGGCGGCGGGACACTGAGGGGGGATTCGGAGGTATCCATGGCCACACGGAATGGACAGGCCAGGCGCGCGGATCTTGTTTTGCAGCCTTCTCTGTCAGGGAGGGTGTCCTGACACGTCCTTGGTGCAGTGTAAGCCAGCAGGGCACGAGGACATCCCCCTGGGCCGAGGGGGCCTTGCATCACTCATATGTTCGAGGCGCTGGTCAGGCCCCTCCTCTCTGCAGGTTTCAGTTTGCCCTTCTGTAAGGGGGGGTCCGCTGTGCTAGAAGTCTGGGGACGGGGAGCTGTGTGATTTCTCCTGAAAGTTGCAGCACAGGGCTCTCATCCAGGGCCCTTTGAAGCCCCCAGGCAGAAAGGCTCTGGAAGTGCAAAGGACAGTTAGAGGCCACAATGTGCAAAGCTGTCAGGAGGAAACAATTAAGCGAATGTATAGGTGGTGCTGGTTTGCAGGATTCTGAATGAAATCAGTGTCAGCGATCCAAACACTGCAGCTCGGGGGCCCAGGGGAAGCCCCAGGACAAGCAAGCCGGAGGCGGGCCGGGAAGCAGATGGCCGCCCCTCCCCTGCCCCAGAGACCTGCGCTGCACCTAGCCCAGTCCCAGTCCCCCCAGCTCCAGCAGCCAGCAGAAAGGTCTACCCCCACCAGTGCTGAGATCGTGCTAAGCCCAGCCGTGCAGAAGGCGCCGTCCGCAGCGCCCACACCCTGCACGAGGTCTCCCCGAGGAACTCTGCTCCCGAACTCTGGGGTCTCGGTGGTTCTTTGTCCCGTGAGGTAGCTCAGTTGTGAGTTGATGCGTGTGATGTGTGCCTTCCGCCACTCAAAGCGATAGATTTCCCTTTTTCAACTGCAAGATTATAAAAATACCAGTATTTGACCCCCGTTTTTATAAAAATGATTTTAGAAAAAAATACACACGGGATCCGTCTCCTCGGCTACACCTCCGTGCCGTCCTGCAGGTTGTTGTGAACCCTGACCTCCAGATTCAGCTTCTTCAGCTGCGCGCCCTTGAACGCAGACGCACCCTCTGCGGCGCCCCGGCTGTGCACGTTCCACACCGTGCAGTAGTGTCTGCCCAGGTTCTTCTCCGGCCTGTCCGGGCTCCTCCGGGACACGTCCACCTTGGTGTTCAGAGGGTACTCCTCCAGAAAGTCCTCCGTGGGCGGTTTCTCCCTCTGCTCCTGGCACTTCCTGGTGAGGAAGCAAGCCACCGAAAGCACCAGAAGGAGGAGCATGATGGCAGCGAGGGCACTGCCGATGGACGCCCCGGTCGGGGACAGAGAAGCAGCCGCCACCGGCTCCTGCATGTCGAGATGCAGGGACTTCATGTTGGTGCCGTTCTTGATTTGGTCCCCTTCGTTGTCGTAGATGAGGGAGTCGTCGAGGGTCAGACGGCCGCTGGGGTCCACCAGGTCCCTTCGGTCACGCCTCAGAGGCGCCGTGAGAGAGCGCTGCACCCGGGGCCCTGAGATAGTGTCGGGGCCGATGATGTAGATCACCTGCAGGTACCACTGGTGCCCTGCTTCCACCTGCGGGAGGGGACACAGAGAGACAAAGCGCCCAGGTCACCATTGCCCATGGGCCACTTCTTAAGGAAGGAAATGGAATGACCACAAGCCTTGGTAAATGGTCTCCATGGAAGCATGAGCAGTGGTTGGTGTCTCCTAGCCCAGAATTGAACCAAATACTCTAAGTTCTATTTTACTTCCAAACTGGGATCATCTTGGGCCAGCTGTCCACATTCTTGTCTGTTGCCCTATCTGTGTAAGGACGACCCCTAAGAATTTATCTTTCATGGTCCCTTTAGTTAAGTACATTCTTGGGCTTGTCAGTCTTTACTGACAGCAGCCAAGTAATAGGATTAATACCCATGTTTACTCCCCGTGACCTTCAATTGTTTGTTATACTGACTATTTATTGATGAACTTCAGCTAAACTAGTCGGTCAACAAATATCCACTAAATACCTATTCTGTGCATAATATGCAGACACGGGACAAAGTTTCCTAAATCTGAACACTTCCCGGGTCATGCCCTGAGCGGTTCAATCATCAAGGACTGTACTGCCATTTCCTGTCCCCCACTGAAACCCTCCACGGTTTGGAACTAACTTCTGAGGAATGGGGATAGTTCTGAACTCCAGGGTCATGGGTTACTACTTGAAGACAGGAAAAAGTGGAATAGATTTTGTGAGTTCATATTTATTGCTGGATTTAGAGTACTTTTGCTGATCAAATATTAGTAATTCTTGTCATTCTAAATTGCTGTACTGTGTTTATGACTTCGTGAAATGTTTTCCACATGCCTGTGAAAATCAGCTGGTGCGGCATAGAGCCAAAAATGCAGGCAACACAGAAGAGTTTAGGAAAAACCAGAGTACCATATGCACCCCGATACGCACAATGACAAGTGCCTGTAAGCAAATTAAAGAATTTTATTATTGCTGTGGTCGATTGGGATAGATAATGAAAATCTGAGGTGAACAGGGGCGCCTGGGTGGTACAGTCAGTTAAGCTCAACTCTTGGTTTGGGCTCAAGGTCATGATCTCAGGGTCGTGAGACAGAGCCCCGTGTCTGGCTCAGCAGGGAGTCTGAGGTTCTCTCTCTCCCTCTGCCCCTCTCCCTGCTCTCTCTCTTTCTCTCTCAAATAAATAAACAAAAATTTTTTAAAAATTGGGACTGAATGATAACCTTAACACCCATAAAAAAGACCCAATAGCAAGAATGCTACAAAAAGAGACTAATAATCCAGAGATAATATCTTTTCCCTTTTTGTAGCTTTTCAAGCCTTGGCCTTATGCGCCTACTCTTCTCACCACGCTTACCTTATAGAGCGCGTCGACCTTCAGAGTGAATCCATCCACACCTGGCATGCTACTGACCTCATGGAAATCAGGCAACTCGGAGGCAAAGTGGGCTTCAAAGGGCACATCGTGGAAGTACTTATCCGTTACTTCGGGCTGACTGCGGTCCTAGAATTTCAGGAGAAAAGAAACCAAAGGTTTAGAGAGATGGAACCACTGACCTGGCAGGTGGCCGTCACTGGGAGGAGAAATGTACTCTCCACTCCTGCCTTGGGTTGGGTCAGGAGAATTCGTGCCACAGAAGCCCTTTCCTTAGATCAACCACCGCCTCGGGGCACCCACAGCTCCCTTCAAGGAAGGGCGCTTGGAGGCACCCGTGAGCTCGAGGCTCCAAGAGTGGGATAGTCAAGACATATTTCTCAAGCCATTTGGTCTCAGGACCCCTCACACGCTTAAAAATCAAGGACCCCAAAAGTCTTCTGTTTATAGGATTTATAACTATCAATATTTACTCCATTAAAATTAACACGGAAAAATTAGCAAATACTTATTTTCTAGTTCATTTTAAAGTGACAATGAAAAACCCACTACGTGTTAACATAAGTAACATTTTTAAAAAACAAATACCTATATTCACCCCCACCTCCTCAAAGAGAGCTGACATTGTTTTGCACTTTTGCAAATCTCTGGAAAAGAACTAGGTTCTCATTAACTTCTATATTGACTCAGTTGTGATATGTTAGTTTGACTGAAGTATATGAAGAAAATCTGGCCTCACAGGGATGTGTATTTGAAAAGGGGAGAAATTATTTCATACCTTTTTCAGATAATTGTGGATATTCTCTCTGATACCAAATCAAACTTGGTAGGTGGTATTTAAAAAGATTAGTTACAATGTGGAATTTGAAACCATATCAATAAACCTCTCATACTCTCTACACTCACGAGGGGATTAGAGTGGGAAAAAAAAAAGCAAGCATCATTATATTATTATGAAAGTAGCTTTGACCTTGTGGACTCCCTGAACTAGAATCAGGGATATTCAGGGTCCATACTCTGAGAAACACTGGCCTTGACTTTCCTTTTCCTGGGACGTTAATGATAATAATAGTAGCTTGTCTTGTTGCCCACTGTAACCACCACGTTTGGTAATCCGTCCTCGCAGTTAGCTGATCAGAGAGAAACGAGCACTGTGCAAACCGAGAACAGGGTGCGGTTCCACCTGCTTGGGGCAGAACTCCCAGCTGAGGAATCAGCTCAGGGTCAGCCATGCCACACTAACAGTTAGCGTACCAGCAGGAGAAACCTGTGTTTCAGGTGTTTGTTTGGCTGGATGCATCCATACTGTGGCCCTTCATTGTAGATTGTCCCCGTGGGGTCAAAGAAAGGCACGTGACCATCCTTTCCAGTACAAAGATAGACCTTCTCCAGCTGGAGTTTGTAAGCCGAATTAAGGTTTTGCTCTGGATTCCAAAGTACTCGGCCATAAAGGATTTGACCTGGAAAGATTGAGAGGCATTAATTGGGTCACACTTTAAGATTAAAGAGAAAGAAATGTCAAGGGTAGGAAGGATTTAACACACTCCCTTAGGGTCTTTCTATGAAGAGCTTTATGGTTCCATGTGCCCTTAAAATACTCATTCGTTCATTTCTAGCTTCTTTTATTCCATAGACATTAATCAAGCATTTAAGGTGTGCCACGGACTCTGCTATGCAGAAGGGATACAAAGGTGAGAGAGATACAGCTGAGAGGACAGAAATAAAACCTAACCAATTGCTAAAAATAGCGCTGCTAACATTTATCAAACTCATACTATTTGCTAGGCACTGTGCTAAGTTCTTCCCATATAAGAAATTCACATAGTGCTCACAATTTTACAGATGAGGAAGTTGAGGCACTGAGGTTAAGTGACTTGTTGAAAGTCACAAAACTAGTAAGTGTTGGGGGCGGGATTCAAAGTCAAGGGACTTGGGCTCACCCTTATCCCAACACTATACTGCTAGGAGCCACAGTGAGGAAGGTTCATAGTGTTACAGGAGCAGATAGCTGGGCATAGAGATCTGCCTGGGGAGGGCATGGAAAGGATTAAAGAGGAGATATTGTTTGACCAGTATTCTCAAACATGAGTCGTAGGCATTTGAGCATTTGAGGTGGGAGACTGGGGAGAGCATTCTACGCCAGAGAAAGTCTAGGCACAAAATACAGAAAGCTGGCAGGCCATGAGTCCTAGTGCTGCTATTGTCTCCTTAGTACCTGCTGTGGCACTTTCTTTACTTCTACTTTCTTTCCTTATACTATTTCATTTATTCTTCCCACGAGCCCAAGGCAGGTTCAATTATTATCCTCATTTTAAAGAACGTGTCCAAGGTTTCCTTTCTGGGACGTGGGAGGATGAGAATTTGAGCAGAAATCTGTCATGTAGAGTGTTTTCTATGTGGCACTGAGTAGGTCAGTGTGACTAGAGAGAAGGATGGTTAGAGGCTCTGGCAGGAGAGACTCCTGGGAAGATAGGCTAGGGGTGCTGGGGAGCCTGGACTTGGGTGTTAAGAAATGGGGAACAGTGGAAGGTTTTAAGCAGGGTTGTAAAATCAACATACAGGGGCTTCAGAAACATGGAGAGTGGAGGAAAGACAAAGAGACTAGAGTCACAGAGATTGGGTTGGGGGCTATGCTAATGCTCTGTGAGAGACAGGTGTCTAACATACAGCTGTGAAGCATGGGATGAACTCAAGAAATGTCTGAGTCAAATTTCACTGATCTTCATGATAGATGAGAGGCATGGGAGAAGTGGAGGACGATACTGAGGTTTTTGCCTGGGGCACCTAGAGTATGATGATGTAGTCAATGCAGCAGCAGATATGGTAGGAAGGAGATAAGTCCTGTTCTAGACATTCTAGGTGTCTGAAAGACACCTGTCTGAAGCGGCTTGGTAGTTCCAGACCCACATATGGAAATGTAGAAATGAAGTTTGGAGACATCAGGGCAAGGTCAACTCTTAAGGAATGGCCGTGGAGGAGCAGGAGAATAGGGAGTTCAGGACAAATGGATGGGCCAAGCCATAGATAGGTATGACCAGAGGTAGGAGCGAAATAAGACCAGAAGGAGCCATGCATGGAACCTGGGGACAATCACATGGATGTGGCAGAGGACAAAGATCCAGGGCAACAGCATGACAAGTGGCCAGAGAAGCAAGATGGCGTCAGGTGAGGCTGTTGGGCAAAGGAAACCCAACAGGACATAAGTGTCAAGATCCACAAGTTTGATGTCATTGACAAAATCGAGTTCTGAGCTACGTGTGGTGGGACGCTCCCAGCCTGCAACAGATGGACGGAGACAAAGGGCCACAGAGACTCTGTGTGCTCACCGCCCACTCTTTGAAGAAGTTTCTCAGAGAAAAGCAAAGGAGAAAACAGACTGAGTTTGAAGGGGAGTGAGGGCTAAGGGATGCTTTGTTTTTTCTGTTATGGGCAGACACACCTGAGCGTGTCTTTAGGATGACAGAAAAACCAGATATGAGGAGAAGGTTAAAGGAAGAAGAAAGGCAGAAGGGGCCAATGAGGGAAGAAAGGCAGATAACTCATTCATTTATTCAGTCAATATTCATCGAGAACCTAGGCACTGGTGGTCTGGTGTGCAAATCTGATATAGGATCACAGTCCCTACCCATGGAACTCAGTCTGGTGGTAGACATAAGCAACAAGTAAAGAAATATGTAATATATATTACACAGTATTAAAAATGGTGAGAAGCACTATGAAAATGAATGATGTTCTATGAAAGTGAAAAATATGGAGGCCTACATTCAGTTGTTTGGTGTGGTCAGGGAAAGCCTCTTTGAGGCTGTTAACAGTTAACTAGAGACCTGAAGGAAAGAAAGGGCTATCCTTTTGAAACATCAAGGAAACCAGTTTGGGGCGAGGAGGGGGCAGAGGAACCATTTCTAGTAGAGAAAGCACAGAGGAGAGTACACGGACATTTGGCAACCCTGCGGCGGGTAGGTAGGGAGAGGTCATGTTGCAATCTCTCTCCGAGTAACTGAGAGATAAATCAACTTACCCCAAGTCAGACAGTGTGTTAGAATCTGGTTGGAAACCCTAGTCTTCCTACCATTCAGACCAGTGTTTTTCCATAGTACCACACTGCCAGTCATTACAGTACCAAATATGTGACCTTATTTTGATACAACATGAAGGAAGGATACAGTTCTGTTCCTTGACTAAACCTTGGCTGTCCTGGAACCAAGCCCAGGGGAATCTTCACAGGAGAGCTGCCTGAAAGCCCAGAGCAGAGCTGATAGCCCAGAGACCCGTCCTAAAGCATCTGAAGTCTAGCCAGAGTCTCTTTCTGTAGGTGAACAAAACAACTTACCTTTTTATTATTATTATTATTATTTTATTATTAACATATAACAACTCACCTTTCGAGAAGGCCCCTTTGTAATCCATTTCTGCCAGGGACATATCGGATGTATTGGGGTCCATCAGGAACACCTTCTCATTATTGCAGAGCTGAAATTCAGTATTGAGCGAATACACAACTGGTACAGGGCGGTTGGTCTGCTGGAATGCGATGGGGATCAGGAATCTAAACGCGGGAGAAACAAGAGCTCCTGGAGAGCAGGGTCAACTTTGCAAACCTCGCGCTGTCCTCCCTTCCCACCCTCCTCAGGACTGTGAACCGTGTTTCGTTGCAGGTGCTCAATGATCACCAAATAAAGCGATGTGTGTAGGAGAAGAGCTTTACTTATTTGGAGAATTATGAGGTTAATCTGCTCTTTTGAGCAGAAATAATCTAATTCATCTTTAGAACTCTTTTGTGCTCTTTGCTTTTCCTAGTCCTCTCATTCTGAAGGTCCCTAAGGTTGCTCTTTGCTGAAGGGCTCACTGCCATGGAGACCTGCCTAGACTTCTCTTTCCCAGATCTGCCTGCTCTGAAACTTTGACTCTTTCAAACCGATCCAAACTTGTTTATCCTGTGTCCCACTCTTTAAGACATTGCTAAACAATACTCTCCTGCCTCACTCCTTATTTCAACCTCCCTGGCCTTCTTTCTTGGTCTTTGGAATCTGTCCTTTTCTTCCCAGACTCTGGCAACTTAAGGCTCCTCTACCTAGACTGGCCTTCGTTAGGTCTCTTGACAGGTTCTCTGCTCCGTATTTCTACTGCTTCGGGACTCACTATTCAACAAATATTCACTGTGCTTTTATTATGTGAGAGACTTTGTCCTAGCAACGGGAATTCACCTGTGAACAAAGCACATGCCCTCAGGGATAACACATTCCAATAGAGAGTCGGTTAATGAAATAAATTTAAAAACATATAGAACACGAGAAGGAAGCAGGTGATGAAGAGAAACACGAGGCAGAGAAAGGGAATGCTAGGAAGAGGTTCAGCTGGAAATTTAAATATGGCGGTCACAGAAGGCCTCAGTGAGAGGAAAACTAGGAGGATGGAGCTCCGTTGCCTGAAATGGGAAAACTGTGGGAGGACTAGATTTGGTGGAGGAAGTGGAGGGGTTCAGCAACAGGCATGTTCAACTTGGGAGGCCTACAAGAGAGCCAGGTAGAGAGGCAGAGCAGTCAGTCTGATGCAGAAGTCAGGATGTGAGAGGTGAGCCCGGGATGAAGGTGCTCCTTTATATTTAAAACCTTAGGAAGGAAGGATGAGTGAGACCACCATGTGGAAACTAGAGAGAAAAGAGACGGTTCTAGCATGGCACTTAGGGTGCTCCAAATTCAAAGGCAATGGGGAAGAGGAGGAACCAAAACAAACAGTGAGGAAAACCCAGTGGGTAGAAGAAAGCCTACAGAGCTTGACACTAGCTGAGTGAAGACAGTGTTTCAAGGAGGCGACTGAACAACTGTTAACTGCTGCAAAGCCGTTGCAAGAAATAAAGGTGAGAGTCAACCTCTGGTTCTAGTAAGTTCATTGCTGACCTTGACGAGACCAAGCTGGGTGAAGGGATGAGTGCGGAAGCCTCACTGCGGCGGGCTCAGGAGATAGAGAACGGAAGGGGCTAAACTGGAGACTGCAAGTCTAGGCAACTCTTGAGAGATAACTTGAGGTACAGGGAAGGGAAAATGAATGTGGAGGGAGAAATGAAGTCAAGAAGTGACTTTTTTAAAAAGATGGGTGAAGTTACATGTTTTTAATGCTGATTGGAGTGATTCGTAGAGAGGAGACTGGCTTATAAGATGCTCTTTATAAAGTCGGATGAGAGGATTTGGGTTTCAGTGCACAAGGGGGGGCGCTGGCTTCAGTAGGAGCTAGGACTGTTCCTTCATGGATAGCTATGTACCTGCAGATGCGGGGAGGGGGTAGATATGATGTTAGGAGCTTGGGTGGGTTCTCTTCTGATTTCTTCTGTTTCCTCCAAGAAACAGGACACAAGATAATCAGCTGAGAGTGAGAATGGGGGAAGATATAGCAAATTTGAGTGGGAAAGAATACAATAGTTGAGAAGAGTGAGAGAGTGAAGCCACTGTTAGGGAACTATTTTGTTTTCTGCTGAGAAGACCTGCGGGTCAACTTGAGGTTAGTGATAAGGAATTTGAAGTTTCCCGACTTTGACCTTGCTGGACATTCTGCAAGAACCCCCCTCCTCTGTCTGCCTTTCTTTGCCTAGCTAACTCTTATTTATTCTCCAGATGCCAACTCAAACATCACAGTGCCTAGGAAGTTCACTCTCCTTCTCTTCCCTTCCAGGCTAGGTCAAATCCTTATCATTTGTTCCCACTATTTCATGCACTTTTCTTTCACGGTACTTATCATGATCTGATATTTTACTTAAATAAAGTGACTTAAAATATAAATCAGGTCAAAGTCCACTTCACCCGTTACAGGCTGCACAGAGTCACAGCCGGTGTCTACTCGCTCACTGTTTTACCATCATTGCTAGCCAAGCTTCCGACACACACGTTTGTTAAAGAACAACGTGTGAGGGATAATTTCAGGGCTTCACGCTTGTGGCAGAGTCCACCTGACTATTCCTTACTTCTGACTGAAGGTGCCGCAGTGGGTAGATCTGAGAGGGTGGGGTACAGGGGGGATCTTGGAGCGTAGGAGCAACGGGCACAAGCTAGGGCTGACGCTGCTTCGACAACTTGGATGTAACCATTCGTTGCACCAAGAGCTCGTTTAGTGGACTCAGGAAAACAGGTTTTTCTTGGTCCTGGTCTTACCAGATTCCACATAGTGCCTGACACCTAAGATACTCAATAAATAGTTACTGATTAAACATGACAAATCATGGACTAGAGGGGATGACAGTGATTTACAAGGTGAGACGATCCAACAGACCTCACAAAAACAGGCATTCGAGGAGACACAGTTCCTTTGAGTTCAATCTGAGTTCCCTGCATCGGCCTTGATTATTTTCTGTGTTGCAGTTCTAATGCATCCCTAGGGAGCCACAGAGATGATCCAAAGCAAGGGTAGGCCCTACGGAGAGTCACCCTGGGAAGAACAGGGACCCCACAAGTAATGCTCTCCCTGATGTAAAGCGAAGACTCCCAAACCTGAAGCCTCAGTAAAGGGACCCAACGACACTGTTCCCTCTGCGACCCCCAAGCCCACACAGCACCAGGGGTACAGATGGGCTGGTGTCTCCTTTGCTCCTTTCTGTCTTTTCCAAATGGCAAAAAAATTAAAAAAAATGTTCTGGCACCTCCCCGGGAGAAACTCTTCTCACCTGTGTACGCTCAGAGGCACACACAGCGTTCTTCACAATAGAATGTGGGATTATACACCGAGCAGAATGGCCCAAAACATGCGGCATCCCCTCACAATGAACACTTTAGACGGGCTCACCGTCCTGTACTCACACAGGACACGAATCAACACAATGCTGGTGCACTTCTGAAGCAAGAAGTGACTCAGTACAAAACAAGAAAGCTGCAGAGAGAATTTGTGCAGGAGGACGTTTTTATATTGCTCAAAACCACACAAAACCATGCACACGTCAACACGAGGTAAACCAGAAACCAGAACAAGGGGGGGTAAGGACAAATATCACTCTAGCGGTTCCCCGGCTGGGGGAGGTGGCGGACAGGGCAACTGGAGGCCACTACAGGTATCTAAAAGGTACTGGAATGTTCTCGTTCTTTTTTATTTCACTCCAACTTTCACCTGTTACAAAATGGGAATAACGGTGTCAACGTTGTGGGGCACACTGCAGTGAGAAGTAAATGTTAAGAGCTTAGTGCAGAGCCTCCCACACCGTCTGCACCCCATACGTGATGTTTAACGTCGCCAGCAGTCACGATTACCTACTTGATCATCAGTAGCCCAGTCCCAGAGACACTCGCTCAGGCAGCTGAATTCCTATCAGATGATGCTCTATTACTTGAGGTTTTACAGATGGTCTTCTAAAATATGTTCATGACTTAGAAACTGAATACGAGAATATGACCCCCAGCATATGTCGCCAGATTATTGGCCCTTTGTTCCTCCTCATTGCAGCCAACTACCGTTGTCCTGGTCACTTCCCCTCCCTCACTTGGCTGACCACCGTGCTCCTACCATGGATCTTGGTGATCTCAGCGTCCACAGGGATGAATCATCTGATACCCTTCCACTCTCGGTTCCTTCACAGCTTTGCCTCCAAAGAGCTCGTCCACCCGACCGTGGCCACTCACGCGTCACGGTCCTCCTATGTGCCACCTCCCCAAGTCTCATTTCCCAGCGCCTTCCTAACTGCCACCGCCTGACTTCCCAGCTCGCCCCTACTGTTACTTCCACTCGTTCACTCTCTAATCACACGGGACCTCCCTGACCACTGGGACCAGGAACGGGAACACCAGCACACTCGTGGGGGGAAGGTAGACACCTTGCTCCCTGTAACAAACACTTCAGAAAACTGTCTGCGGTTTCTTAAAAAGTTAAGCGTGTATCCACCATATGATCCAGCCACTGTATTCCTAAGTATGCACACGAGAAAACAGAAAGCCTATGTCCATGTAAAGCCTCGTGTGTCTATGTTCATGGTGGCTGTACTTCTCACCACCATCACCTGGAAACAACCCAAACGCCTGCCAGCGGATGAGCTGATAAGTGAACTGGAGGACCTCCGTTCCCTGGGAGACGACCAGCACCGACAGGAACAGACGGCGGCTACGCACAACGGAAGGCATGAAAATACTCGTGCTCCATGAACGAAGTCGGAGAAGGACGCATCTGTGTGACACCATTGACACGAAGCTCTAGAAAGCGCAAAGTGATCTGTAGTGACGGAGGCAGATCAGTGGATCCCGGAGAAAGCGGTGGCTCGGGAGGGGTGGGCGGGAAGGCTACCGAGGGGCACGAGGAAATGGATGTGTTCGTCACTGTGCTAGTTGTGGTGGCTTCATGGGTGTACACGTATGTCGGAAGTTATCGAATTGTATCTACCTGAGTATGCACAGTTTGTCTTATTGTCAATGAGATGGCAATTTTAGAACTCATCAGGCTCTCGGCACTGCCTGATTGGCTGCTATCGGCAACCCTCCAGCTTGCCCACTTCCGCACTCTCTGAGATGACTGCCTCACGCCCTCCTCTCTTCCCAGACCTCAGGCTTCCTTACTTCCAGTTGAGGCTCAGCTTCTCATTTTTTGGAGAAAACAGATTTAAGCAGATTCTACTTTGCCATCCCTGTCCTCCAATCTACAAATTCTCCCCTCACCTAGATCCATATAGGCCCTCCCTCCTCTTCCAGTGGATGAAAGCTCTGGGCTTCTAGTGAAGGCGGGCCCGTCCCCTCTTATCTTGGACCTATCCCTACCCTGCTCAAAGGCTTGGCTCTGCAGACTTCCCCTTGTCCTGCTGCAACATTACATTTCACCTAACAGACCAATAGGGTTGCTCCCACCAATAAACAGACACCCTGAAATATTTTCCACTCTAAATCACAAATAAGACCTCCTTTGGCTTTGTATCTATTTCCAACCACTGTCCCTTTCCTCTGACATTCCTTATAATTAAACACCGTAGGCGTAGTTTATCCTTGTTGTCTCTACTGTCTCTCCTGGGTCTCTCATGGTCTGATCAGGCTTTAACCCTCAGTCCACTGGGCCTGCCCTTTGTCAAGATTACCACCCACTTCTCAATCGCCAAATCCCATGGCCCATTCTCAGTTTCTTAATTTGAACGTCACGTTCCAAATTCTCTCTATGGTAATGTCAGATCCTGTCCTCAACATCCTCTTAGCAATGTTTCCTCTTCGCTTTGCCCAGCTGCTGGAGAGACAGTGCTAGAGAAACGCTGCCTGAGAGCAGAGGCTACTTGTAATGCTCCGCTGTGATCTCCATGCCAGACCAGAGCCCCGCACACAGTAAGAGCTGAATCAACAGTGGGTGAATGAGGGAAGGTGTGGCGGATGCAGACAGTCTCGGGTCTGAGGTGGGAACCGGCTGATGTAGAGTTGATTCTCATTATTCGTAGTAAGTATGTTCTGGAAAGTCACGGTGAATGTGTGTCAGTGAGTACCAAGCCACTGTCCCGGGGCGGACACAGGGCAGAGCTCCGGCAGCCATGCGTCACATTTTCACCAACTGGCCAATACCCAGCCCCGTTCTCTGCATGTTTCTGTTTAAAACACCTTATTTAATATGTTGTTAATTTGTTAACATAGAACGTGTGGCAACGGCACTTAGAACCTGTGCCCGAGGCTTCTTATACTTAGGCATCAGGTGGACCTCAGCACTAGCTTGGGAGCCGCTGTCAACGTGAAATCACTGGTTAAAAAGAAGCACAAAGTGTGCAAACCACGGCACTACCCAGACCCTGAAAACGATACTCGTTTGTAGTGAGAAAGCTGACAGAGGAAGGGGGAGTGTTGCCTTGCTTGACCTGAGCTGGGAATGCGGGTGTCCAGAGGCTCAGCGTTTTGCCACCCGGTCTGTGTGCGAATGACCACGAAGCCATCGCGGGAACCGATGCCGCCGTCACACACACACACACAGGAGCGAGGGGATGAACTGACGGGCCGTGAGGCTTTGCCGGCTTCCCTACCTTTCCGGGGCATGTGCGGTGCAGGCCAAAGGCTTGTCCCCCGGGTCAACCCACGGCTGTGTGGGCTGCGCGGTGCACGGGATCAGGTAGATGGTGTACTCCCCTGAGTAGTCCTTCCTGGAAACATTCAAGCACACGGCGGTGAGAGGCCGTCTTCTAGCTTACCTACTCACCCAGACACACTGACTTCACTCAACACGGTTCCGGGGCTATCTGCGCTCCGCATCGACAGGCTTTACGAGTCCCGAACAACGCAATCTTCAGACAGTCCTCACCGGTCACTGCAACCGTCAGGGTCTTGTCCGGATGTGTTCAGTAGAGCTACTTTACCCCATTCCAGTCCTTCCCACGAGAAAAGCTGAGAGAGGCATCTTGTTTATAAAATCGTAAAAAGGTTCAAGGAAAGATAAAACAGAACTGGCCACGTCCTTTAGATTCCCACGAAACTTGTCTGACAATTTCTGTTTAGTGTTTCTTGTTGATGGGCGCCCCATTCAACACGTTCTTGACTGTGAAAGATTTTATTTATTTATTTATTTATTTATTAAAGATTTTATTTATTTATTTGACAGACAGAGGTCACAAGTAAGCAGAGAGGCAGGCAGAGTGAGGGGGAAGCAGGCTCCCCGCTGAGCAGAGAGCCCGATGCGGGGCTCGATCCCAGGACCCTGAGATCATGACCTGAGCCGAAGGCAGGGGTTTAACACATGGAGCCACCCAGCACCCCAAGATTTTATTTATTAAGACACGGACAGGTCAGCGGCTGCTCTGACAGAAGTGGTGGCCAATGTCTCAGGGTTAAAGGGCACCCCACTCCAGAGAATGCCCACACCCCCATTTCCTTAGCATTCGGTTTCTGGGCTCCTCTTCTGAACTCTACAGACCCAGCCCGTCACGGGGTTGTAGAACAATGTCTCTTCTCATAGGAGACTAAGCGCTGGGCATTTCCCTGTTTGTGCTGGATCACAGGATTCTGTAGGTTATGTCACCAAGAGCAGGGAGCATTTGTACCCTCACAGCTGTCGTGGAGCAGCAGCCCCCGCCCTGAGAGCCTGCCTGGAAGACAGCCAGACAGCCAGAGGCTTTGGGAAGATTATTCCAGAGTCTCGGGAGGCTGCCGTCCCCGGAATGAAGACGGTAGGGCTATGAATCGTAATTTTAACTCTTGTGGACAATCCCTGAGAGTTCTCACATTTGCCGAGTTTGTTCTTTGCCCATTTCTTTTGTATTTATCGATTTATTCATAAAGTGATAGCAAAGACTTGGTTAGATAAATAAACAAATACAACTTGTACGACACATCCTGGGGTCATTTTAGTGGAACGGCAGAAGCTGGAAACTGCGAGATGCTCTAAACCTGGCTTGCCTTTGCCTTTCCACAGTTCCATGACCTTCAGCAAAACACGAAAACTTTCAGAGCTGAGTTTCTAAGTCCCTTCCTGCCGGGCCGTCCATATGTCTGCTGTTTTCCTCCATGACCCCTCTCTTCCTCCAAACCTTGGAACAGGGGAGATGAGACCTTACACATCCTATCTGAATTACATGAAAATTGACACGCATAAGGTGAATAGTAACCCGTAATTAATAGAAACACTCAGAACTGTCCGTGCTGGAACCCTTGCTTTCACACTGCGGGATCATGCTGCCCCTCCGCTCAAGCCTACTGTGGCTCTAGGGTAAAGGCCAAGGTCCAAGCTCTGGTCTGCAAGGCCCTGCGTGGTGGCCCCCACTCCTTCTTTGACGTTACCGCCCGTCCTCCTCCTTCCTGCTCACCCCCTTCCAGTTGTACCGGCCTCCCTGCTCTCCTCCCCAGGGTTTGAGTCATGCTGCGGACTCGGGAGCCCAGCCAGCGAGCTCCCACGCCTCCTCCAAGTGTTCGCTCAGACGCACCCTCTCGATGAGGCCTACTGTGCGCATCCTAATTGAAATCACTCCTGATTCCCCTCAGAGCCTGCTCTAAATCCTGTATTTTTCGGGGCACCTGGGTGGCTCAGGTCATGATCCCGGGGTCCTGGCATCGAGCTGTGCATTGGGCTCCCTGCTCAGCAGGGAGCCTGCTTCTCCCTCTCCCTCTGCTTCTCCCCCTGCTTGTGCTCTCTCTCTCTCTCTGTCAAATAACTAAATAAACTCTTAAAAATAAATCCTTCATTTTCCCATGGCACTCCCACTTTCTGACATGTTCTGCTATGCTTTTTACTATGGCCACGTTTTGTGTCTTTGTATTTCACTGTAAATGCTGTGAGCATCTTTATTTTGTCCACGGATGCGTCCTCGTGCCCAGAACCTGCCCTAAGGCGCAGTAAATAAAATGCTCAATAAATATTTGTTGAACAAATGAATGCAGGACAAAGTACATGGCTTCCCAACCCCACAGTCGTACTTTTATCATCCCTAAATATGATTTAGGTCCATTTCTTCAATATCCCTGCAAATACGCCAAACAAGGCCCTAGAGGTAGGTTTTGAATTCTGTAGGTCTCCTCCTCTCCTTCCTGAGAACTAGACCTTTCTCATTGCATCATGGAGCACGGGCTGCCCACCTCCTCCATGAAGCCTTGTACAGCTCCCAGCCCTCCCTGAACAGCGATGGTCTCCGCGTTCTGTGCCTCTCGCATTGCACGTGGCACAGCAAGCTGGATGCTGTTCTACACTTTACCGTTTATCTATATATTTTTATCTCCTTTCCTTAAACTCTTAAGGGATGCTTATTCAGGACCTACCACACACTAAAACCTGCGTCTCTGGGGATTCAAGATCAATCAGGCATGCCTTTACCCTCGGGGAGCTCACAAGCTGATGGAAAATGCGACCCTACTTTGAGCACGTCACATGAGCTGCGTTCCAGTATAAGCTGGAACAAAGTGGGAAGGGGAGGAGGGGTTTCCAGCACTGCATGGAGAGTCAGGGAAGGCATCACAGAGGGGTCAGCATTTGAGTCTTCGAGCTGGGGCTCCAAGGAGTTCGAGGTCTGCAAGACGGAAGAGCAGGGAGGGCAGAGGGAACTGCAAAGGCCAGGAGGTACTGACGGGCGGGTGGGTTCCGGGGTTGGTGAGATATTTAATGCGGTTCAGAAGGTTGGGTTTGAGATGAGGCTGGAGGGGAGGGCACGGGCTTTGAATAAAGAATTTGGACTTTATCCAGGAGGCCGTGGGGAGTCAGCAGAGGATGTAAAGAGGACAGTTTCTGTGTCTATAAATTAGGACAAAGTACGTGTATGATCTCATGGGCTTCTAGAAAGCAGAGCCTTTGAAGTTTATTACATATTGATTTCAAAGGAATCATTATTAAGAAAATATCTGATATAAAACCTAAAATTCACAAAGAAATCTTTTTGAAAGTGATTCTTAAGACAACCTGCTACGTCTTAACTAGAAAGCTGGAACAAGAACTTCATGCTAAATACCAGTCTTAATTTCATGATCTAGAAAATGGGATGATAACATTTATGATGGTTGCCTCATTATCCTTTTCATGGTAGTCTTAATAGTGTTTCTCCTATTCTTCCCCTTTACAAATGAGATACTTTACGTATTTAACCAATTCCTATTCTACCTCTATTTTGGGTGTAGGAGAGAAATAAATCTTATTATTTATTTTACAGAGATTGGACCATAAGGGGTGCCATCTGGACCTGATAACCAGAGATCCTGGATTTTGAACTAGTTGCAGTGATTGGATGGAAATTTTCTTATTATACTAAGGTTTAAAAAAAATGGTTTTATTTATTTATTTTAGAGAGAGAGAAAGGAAGAGAGGGACAGAGCATGAACAGGGGGGCGGGGGGCAGGGCAGAGGGAGGAGAGAATCTCAAGCAGACTCTGTGCTGAGCGTGGAGCTTGACCGAGGGCTCAACCTCATGACCCTGAGGTCATGAATGGAGCTGAAACCAAGGATGCGTAACCAGCAGAGCCACCCAGGTGCCCACCAAGGTATTAATTAGATGTGTTTTCCAGGCAGATGTGTCCTGGGACTAAACTCTAGCCTACAGGATGTAAATAGAAGTGATATGCAGCCTTCCTAGTCATATCCGTGTCGTAAGGGTGACCACCTCCTCATCTACGCAGCACGAGCTGATCCGACTGACTTTGTTTCTTTCTCTACTTGTCAAAGGGTCATTTCTACCCCTCCCCTTAAAACGGAAATCCAACTTCTGACAAAAAAAAAAAGAAGAAGAAGACGACGACGACGACAAGGCCACATATCCCAAGGCTCTGAAAGAGACTGAGAGCGTTTCAGGTCTCCCCAAGCCCCAGCCCGCACCCACCTGTTGTAGGAGCTCGTGGCTCTCCAGAGCTGATACGGGGAGTCGAACGTCTGCGCGCTCCACAGCAGCTGCAGCTCAAACTCGACGCCCCCCAGGTGGTCCGGAGTCAGTATGAATGACCTTGCGTCCGGCAGGCTGTGGTGCTCCGTCACAAACTGTCCTGTTCACGGGGAAGCAACACACTTCACCGCGAGTCTGCTCGGACGTGAGGCGAACCCCTGCTAAAGCCTGCACCGCATTCATATCCTTCCACCAAACAAGTAAGGTTGTACCTTCCCCTCACACCTTAGGATCGCTCCACCCTGGCTGGACGGCACGGCGCACCCTGGCCTATCAGCCGACTCACGATGGACGCTATGGTCACACGACTTGTCAAGACCACCAGTGTTCCTTGTGAAAGTGGTGTGTGTGTATTCACAATAACAGGGGTCCTTGTGTGGCAATGAGTGTCAAGGACACTTAGTTTTGAATTCCCAAAAACATGTTTCTTCAAGATATTTCTTAAACAGAAATATCAGTTTCAGATTTAAAAAATTACATTTAGGGGCGCCTGGGTGGCTCAGTGGGTTAAGCCACTGCCTTCGGCTCAGGTCATGATCTCAGGGTCCTGGGATCGAGCCCCGCTTCGGGCTCTCTGCTCAGCGGGGAGCCTGCTTCCCCCTCTCTCTCTGCTTCCCTCTCTGCCTGCTTGTGATTTCTGTCAAATAAATAAAATCTTAAAAAAAATTACATTTAAAGCCACTCAAGTCCTCAGTAGAGGGAGATGATTGTAAACATCATTGAAAAGGTAAAGGTTACTCAGCAGGACACTTCTACTCTTTAAAAACGCAGTCATATAGTGTCATGAATAAATAGAAGTAGACAGACTTCTAGACTGAGAGACGAAGAAAATGTAACAGCCAGAATGTAATATGTAAATACGGATTGGACCCACATTCCTCTTATGTAAACAGATATAAACTAATATAAAACAATATAAAAACAAACGGCAAAGACATGTGTAAGGCAAGAGAGGGAATATGAACAGGAGCTCGATACGACTGGACCAAACTTAAATATCTTGGATGTAGTGACAGCACTGTGACACGTAAGAGAACACCTTTGTTCTGAGCAGATGTCGACTGAAGGATTTAGGGTAACCTGACATGAAGTCTGCAACTTCTTTTCAAACGTGGTTCAAAAAAATGGGTACGCGTGTGTGTATGGAGGCATACCTATAAAGTAAAATGTTAACAATTGTTGGCTTTGTTTTTCTTTGCTCTACTCTTTTGCCTTTTGTTCATGTTTATAATGTTTCTCTTTTTAAAAGATTTTATTTATGCGAGAGACAGAGAGTGTGAGAGCATGAGCAGGCAGGAGGGGTAGAAGGAGAGGCGGAAACAGACTGTGGAATAGGGAGCCCAGTGTGGGCCTCGATCCCAGGTGAGCCAAAGGCAAACACTCAACCGACTGAGCCACCCAGGTGCCCCTGTCATGTTTCTTAATAAAAAAAATTGAGGGAAAAACTGCACTGATATTACCTCTGAATTTGGCATGGGTCTTGAATTCAATGACGAGACGGCCGTCCTCTCGAATGTAGATTCTTATTATCTGAAGCCTGGCAGAGAGCACGCTGTCTGTCTGGATTCCTGGGCAGGCGACCATACACCAAACATCCAGGTTAGAGAACAGAGAACATCTCCGAGATAGGAGCCTACATGTGAGTTGTCCCAGTGATACCTCTAAGTAGAGCCACACAGTCATTTGAATGTAAGTTAAGAAAAATTTGTATATTCATATGAACACAGAATGTATTTAGACACATTTGCCAATTAAAACTGTGTAACAGTTCATTCTACTTGGGTTTTTGTTTTTTGTTTTTGTTTTTGGTTACAGTTCCATTCTCCTTGACATAGTTTCTTCATACCTGAAAATGCCACAGCCCAGAGTCAGGGCTCTAGCCCATTGCTCAAAAAAATTAGTCCTTAAACTTCTTCCTTTCAACTTTACACCAGGATGTGATGACAGTGCATCTGCTTCAGACTCTATTTACTTTTCCTCATGAGGACACCTTTCATGACCCAACAGAACCATAAGAAATGTCCTGGTGGCTACATTTAGTATTCAAACCAATGGATGATTCAAGATTAGCTTGTAGAAGCCCAGCCACATATGGCATGACATGAGCAAACCACAGCTTCCGGGGGTAATTACAATCATGATGCTCAATGGGTTCGGTATGACCCAAAACTAAAGGGTAAACAAAGGAGGGGGGAAACAACATTCAAAAAGAACCCCAAAGCGTAAGAAATTATCTGATCCAGAATGTGAAAACTTCCAGGTTATTTTCCTAAGAGAAATATGAAACAAATGATTTAAGTTCAAATCACTCAACAGAAAAAAAGACTGTACTTTCCATTACTAGATATGAAGCCCTACCTACTGGGCATTCCTGGAGCTGTTTAGTAGCTCAGATCAAGGAAATCCCCTCCAGGGAGGCCAAGAGGGAGAGCGGGAGCAGCAGAAGGAAGGGGAGATCAGTCTGGGGCATCGTGGGGTAGCAGTGGGAAAGCTGGGGAACAGGAAGAGGTGTGAGCTCGTAGCTGAGGGGCTGTCACCAGTAGATGGATCTCTGGGTCCCCATGTCCATATATGCTGACACTGGAAGGCTTCCAGGGATTAAAAACTCAATCCAGATAGCTAGGGACCCAGAGTAGAGGAGAGCAAGTGACAGATAGATTCATATACTGCCTGTTAGGGGTTCAGAGGTATCCTCCTGGAGTATAGTCATGTCATTTGCTCCTAGTTAAAAATGGTGCGATTTGTGGCATTTAAGAAGCAAAAGCGTCTTCGAATCAGGTGCATGGGAGCGGAAAAATATATCAAATCAATCTGGTTCACTTTGTTCATTCGGCCTGAGGGGCCGCCCTCCTCTGACTGTCTGCAGGACAACGGGATGAGGAATGGAGCTCCCGTCAGAAGTCACTACTTGCTACCTCGTTTCATCTTGCTTGAACATAAGGTCGGGAGAGTTGAGATATCAATGGGTGTACCTGTTCTCCACAGAACGGTGTCGTAGAAGAAGGAAAACTCCATTTCGGTGTGGTGCTCCAAAGAGGCCCAGCCCCTGGGGGCTGTCACGTAGATGTAGGACACATAGAGCGGCACGTGGACGGTCAGGAAGGACTGAGCGGAGTCTCTCACCTGCCAAGCAAATGGTGCGCGCACAAAGGGTTATTTCTTCCCTGGGATGAAGAGGCATATGGTTATGACATCTCAGTTCAACTTTTACTTCCTCATTTAGCCACTGACTCACTCAATAATTTCTTTTTAAATTTTAAAAAAGATTTTATTTATTTATTTGTCAGAGAGAGAGAGAGAGAACAGGTAGGGGAGACAGCAGGCAGAGGGAGAAGCAGACTCCCCGCTGAGCAAGAAGCCCGATGCGGGACTCGATCCCAGGACCCTGAGAGGAAGGCAGAGGCGTAACTTACTGAGTCACGCAGGCGCCCCTCAATCAATAACTATTGACCAAGTGCCCACGACATGCTAGGTGCCCAGGCACCAGACTGACCTTCCTCCTCAGCAGTGAGAAGCCCTTATGGAACCCACAGTCTAGTAAGGCAATGCATACATTTTAAAAATAAAGAAAGGGACGGGAAGTGCCCAGGAGGCTTCTTTTATAGGCTGACGCGGGAAGGCTTCTCTGAGGAGGTGACACCTAAACAAAAACAATTCTGAAGACTGAGAAGGATATTTGCTTCCACTGTTCAATTGCTGGAAGACTTGACTGAGACTTTAAAAGTAACAGTTATTCCCAAAGGATTAAGACATAGCCCCTCGCTGACCACACTTTCTGGTGACCTGTAGGAGAGTCCGAATCAACCCTAATTGGACAGACGCCCAAGTCCGGACCCTTGGGATGAGCGTGTGGCTGACGGGGATGTTTTAGTGAGTAGTCACATCTCTCGCAACAGGAACTCAGGTCATGGGACTTGGATATTGTATCTCGGAAACTTAGCCACACACAGTTCAGAGCTGCACATGCTTGTGTAATTCCCCGTCTCACTACGCCTCACTGAAGAAGTTTTGAAAAGGCAGCACAGCACACTTCCAAGAGATTAGTTCTTCTAAGGGGATTCCTGTTACTGCCATTAATTAATGGCTCAAAAAAATTTTATTTTACTATGCAATGAACAAAATTGGATAGAAAGATAACAAAATACAAGCAGAAGTTTTCATGGGGAAGGTAATTGTGTATACGTGTGTATGAATGCGGGACTTGATTTATTCATTTTGTATTTCCCTCTGTAAACATATTTCTTTGATAATAAAAAAGCTTAGTTTGAAAAAATTTTATTTTTGTCATTGGTAAAATGCTATAATATACTCTACTATGGAACTTACATTTTTCTTTTGTTTTCAAACACAATGTAAAGTGTTTCCTCGGGTAGTTTAGGAAAATGTTTCATCAATATTTGGGACATCAACATTTTCTTTTTCTACAAAAGTTTTTCATATTCAGTGGTGTCAGGGATTCAAGGTTTGATTCCAAATGTTTCAAAAGACTCTGCTAATTCCATATTCATTAAAAAATATCTTTTGAAATGTTTTATTCTGTTTTCTTTGGAAAATTTTCAGATTTTCTCTGGACCTCACGCCACATTCTGTCCCTTTAGTACACAGGCTTTGTTAAAAACATATGGTCCAATCTCAGGATTGTTGATATTAGACCCTCAATAATTATTTAGTTGATTGGAAAAACTAATTTTCCCTCCTCTGTTTTTGCTTTCTATTCTTTATCCCTCATGATATTACTTGCTAATCCTTAAAAAAAAAAAAAAAACACCCAAAAAACCAAACCTTGACAACTGCTTACCACATACCTACACTGTGCTAAGTACCTTCCCATGCTGAGATGATTGACTACAATTTCAGAAGAGATTCAGAGCAGTTATGAGAGGGAAAGACATGAACTAGGGCTTGGTTGTAAATTCTACATTCTTTCTACCATATACCAGCTGTTTCAACCATTTTTGAAGAAACAGACTGCAATGAAGTACTTCTGTGTATCTATCCTATGTTGGTTTAAGAAGTGGGGCATTTATAATGAGAAATCTTAGTCTTTGAGATTTTTAGGCATATTCTGAACAAAAATACCCCAAAATGTAATTAGAGTAAAAACCATGGAGAACACAGAATACTAAATTTTGAGAAGCCAGAGGAGGAACCCATCACTTAGTTTTGCATTTTGGGGAGCTGAACTTAGGTCATGCAACTGCAGAAACAGAAACCAACCTAAGAATGCCTTCATTTTCCATTCGGTAGAGGGCAGTAGTGCACATGAAATGAGAGTGAACCAAAAGGAGAGGCATTACAAAGAAACAAAAACATTTTAATCAAAGACAGGGTCCCAAAATAATTACTCTAAGTGCTTCCAGAAGTCCCTCTTTCCTATTCAAATCTGATTTGAAATGAAGAACAAACGTCACTTTTAGCTCACTGAGATAACCGCTCATCAGTGGGTACAATCTGCTTTAGATTTAATTTTCCCATGAGGATCCGTTAGCCTCATCCCTTTGATAGGACTGCCCTCCTAGGATGATGGCTTCTTACTAAAATTCTGTCACTCGTGTTTAGTAACTGTTAAGAAGTGTCGGGGCACCTGGGTGACTCAGTCGGTGAAGTGTCTGCCTTGGGCTCAGGTCATGATCTCTAGGTCCTGGGATCAAGCCCCACATTGGGATCCCTGCTCAGTGGGGAGCCTGCTTCCCCCTCTCTCTGACCCTCCCCCTCACTTGTATTCAACCTCTTGCTCAAATAAATTTTAAAAGGTGTCCATTTTTGCAAGGTTGTCAGTTCGGTACAGGTTTGAAGTAGGCATGAAATCAATGTGTTTTCAACAATTCTCTCCATAATGCTTAGGAAGAGAGCGGCTCTATTTGTCTTCTGAAAGGGCGCACCTCCTTTCAACTTATTTCCCCACACACGGAAGAGAATACATCTACTCTGTAATAACTTTACCATCAAAAGTAAATCCTTTTGGCTTTCCACAATATACCTAGAGGGGAAAAAACATATATATATGGAGAAGTAAATATTAGATTCTTATATAAGTGGCTGTGCCAGACAGTAAATTTTTTCCACATTAATTTTGACATTTTCCACATTCTTTTTCCAAGGAATTGATTTAGCAGACTTTGGGGGGGCTCCTTCTAGCCACCATGCTGCTCAGGGACTTAAAGAAGACTCCCTTGGCTTCCCAGTTCTTAGGGGCCGCTGGAAGCAACATCCTAACAGAAGTGCTTTCAGGAACAAACGAGGTTTCCATACAGCACTCAGGTGTGCGCCCCCTTCCCAGAAGCCCCCGGAACACCCACCTGGAAGTCGGCAGTGACAGACCCCCCGCAGACATCAATTAACTCGGTCATGTCATAATAGGCATCAAAGGTCCAGACGCAACTCTTGAGGTTCAGGTGTTTGTAGAGCTGGATGGTCTTGGGCTCCCGGACGCTGGGGTCAAATTGGAAGGGGCGGTCGTATCCAGGCCCCAGGGCCGTGCTGTCATAGACCCTGTCGTCCAGGAACCCGGCCTCTGTGCGGGGGGAGGAGCGAGGAAAAGTGACTCAGTCTGTGGACATGCCCCTCACTGGCTGCCCGGGAGCTGAGCAGGGAGAAGGGACGGGTCCTTGTGAGACTGAAATAACCCATCCTTCTTCAGTGACTCTATAAGAGAGCAATCCAGGCTCCCAAAACACACTGGGTGAGAAGGCGAGGGGAGCTAGACGACCTGTTGCCTGGGGTTACATAGAGTGACCGAGGTCACAGGTCCTCTAAGAGGCTGCAGGAACCCCAGGAAGAAAGGTGAGCAAATGACACTATCCATGGAGCCAGAGCTCATGGTCTCATGTGTCTTGGAAAAGAAAACACACTGAAACTTTGCAATCAATCCTTGAAGACACAGACTTACTATATGGATAATTTGTTGATGAATTGTTATTTTTTAAGACTGACTTTTTTTTTTTTTTTAAAAACAGCTTTTATGTAAAGACAACAAACGTCTAACTTTCTCCTCCCTCCTATGGTTTCTGAACACTTGGGAAAAAAAAATCTTAATTTGGTGTTAATGAGTAAATAGCTCGCTAATGGTGCCTGACTGAACCTTTCGTGCTGCGGGAAAAGTTATCGGCAAAATTGTCGCGAGAAATACTGCCGAGCAACTGAATTGTTCTAGATTCAGGAAGACCTTAACGCAGCGGCGAGCTAAATACAGATGCGGTTTTAGAGTATCAGGATTAAGGTTCTTTATGGCACTAAGGGCAACCGTAGTATTCTGAAGGAGTCGATGCATTTCTTGGAACGTTTAACACCAGCACGTGGTCCTCTGCCCCCCAAAAGGACTGGGGTCTCAGTTGACACGTGTTGAATTTGTGTTTGAGTAGGAAGAGGAACAAATGTTCAGCCGCTAGCCAGAGCATGTCTTTTCCGGTGGCGGCAGATGTGGACCGGTTAAACGCTCAGGTGTAGCTCAGTGACTTGCAAATAATTTACCCTCAACCAATCTCGACGGGACAAGACCGTCACTCCCTAAGGTGAGGCCTAATGAATGAACGCCACATGAGCGCTCTTCCAGCTTCCCAACTCCGGTAAATGATTCATCAGTTGTCAAGGGAGGAAACGTGTGTTTAACGGGCTCTTGCTCGGGTTAATGGACATGGACAGGATGCTTGGTAGAGTCAAACGTCTGCCCCGGTTAACACGGGGTCGGGCCTCCTTGGCCATCAGCAGCTTCGGTCCTGGACCCGTGGCACGTCGGCTCCTCGGGCCACCCCTGGTGGCCTCCAGTGACGGAGGGAGCTGCAAAGAAGGCCTGCCAGCTGGGGAGGGACGTAGGGTGAGTCGGGCTGATGGCTCTCTCCAGAGCTCCCGGAAGAGTCAGGATTGTGGCCCGACCTTCCCCTCTGCCCAGCTCTGCTTCCTCTCCTTCCCTTTGAAGAATGCTGGTCCCCAGGAGCCACCTCGCACCCCACATTCCATGTCAGCTTCTGCTCACAGGGAACCCATCCTGCAACAGGCGACGTCAGCACATTAGCTTTCAAAGGAGGCCGCAGTAAGGCGACTTTAGTGTCCAGACCCTCCCCCACAGTGAGAGAACCAGCAGTTACCATGACAGCTGCTTTGAAAACGTCAACAGATTAAACCATCACCCCGACGGGTGTCAGTTGTTACCCTCATGTCGCAGATAAGGAGACACTGGTTTGGGGAAGTCCAGCTCTCTGTGTGCGGGAGTGTAGAGAGTGGGACAGGGATTCGGACCCGAGACAGTTTGATGGCAAAGTCCTTGTTTTCCCCCTTTCGCTTCACTGCCTGAGCTGCCTGCGCCTGGCCGCCTGCTAGGCCGCAGATCCTGAGGACGGGGGACAGGAAGCAGAGTTCTCTTTGCTGTGTCCCCAGGTCACAGGCCTGAGCCGGAAGGGGAGAGCCACGCGGAGGCCGTCCCTCACCTGAGATGCCTTTCAGGTCGCGGGTGCTGACGAGATTGGAGCAAACGTGCTGGTGTCTGTAGATGGACTCGGACAACAGGAAATGCAGGTTGTGCAGCGGCATGGTGGAGATGAGCGGCAGCATTCCGTCCTGGTGTGGGATCTGCACGGAGATGTGGATTCTGGGGCAAAAATGGGCAGAGATACTGTTGAGGTGCACACTGGGAACTGCTAACGCGCTACGTGTCTTCCTCACAACTTACTCTGCCTGCCCCAGGGAATCTACCATTTTCCATCCCGAAGCTTCCCAAAGGGGACGATGCACACGTGGGGTCGTCCCCCACCCCTCCCGCCAAGAGCTCCCCTGGCTCAGACCTGATAGCAATCAAGAATCACAATTTTTTTCTCTTCTGTACCAGAAAAGATAACATCACATCCACAAATTACTTTAAAGCTTTCTTTTGCTTTCAATGGAAGCTTTGTTTCCTTGTGAGCTACAGTGGGGTGACAGATAGAGGTGGCGTCTCCTTCTCTGTCACAAGGGGTGTCTGGGGGAGACCGGGGAGGGCTGACACCTATATTTTTTTTACGTATTTGTGCCAAATGACATCACTGAGCTCTTTAAACTCTAAGGTCAATTATTCCTACCCAGGACATTATCTTAGAAAGAGTCATATCCTTCTGCTCCTACTGCCTCCTCCCAACTTAAAGAGCCTTCTCCCCCCTCGCCCCTTCAAGTTCCAAGCGATGTGGGCGGCCCTCACTGGCCCCCATCCGCAGTGCACTCTCCCCTTGTCTACACGTCTCAGAGCTTAGCTGCCTTTGCACGGGGACATCTGTAACTTTCAGACTCTGTTTATCTTGCCTCCCCACAACGATGACAAGGATCATTGCGTTCACTTCTTTTGTGTCTCCAGAGCACGTAGTGTAAAATTCTAAATAAAATACGAGCTTAATAAATATGGGCTAAGACTGCCACACGACAGAACTGTACTTAGGGGCTGCGTTATTTTCGTTGTACAAGTTTAAATTTTCAGCATGTTGATTGAGGGTGCCTTTGAGTTCTTACAGCTTGACTCTTGGAACAAAAGCCCAAGAGACATTTTTAAGAGGAATCAGAATCTTGGAATAGGAACGGGATGTCTCTTTTGCTTAGAAGGGGTCAGTAGTGCCTTGGGCACTTCTGCTACTGCTTTCTAACAAAAGTAAATCTTATTCTGCGAGAAAAAAAGAAATAATTTGCATATTCCTGGCTCCATATTTAAATGTTTTTTTCTCCATGCAAATGAACCCTCTTCTCTGAACTCAGTTGCTCATAAAGGCACACGTACAATTACCACAAGGTTTAATGAATATGTATAATACGCATGAATTCTTTTTTGCTAGGCAAACATGAAAGCATCTCTCTTCCATCAAAATCATGGGAGCATAGGAAAAAATAAAAGCACATCTGTCCAATGACTTTCAATTTATACCGCATTGTTATTCCATTCACTAGATATTTAACAAGTGTTTCTTAGGGGCCAAAAAGCACTGTCCTGGCCAGAGGGGATCAAATAATAATGATAATCATGGTCTCTGCCCCCACCATCAACTGCGGGGACAGAGGGGAATGAATGATGACAACGCTCTGAAAGAGGCATACGTGGGGCCAGGGGAGCTGGAAGGAGGAGCTTCCAAATCAAATTGGGAAAGATGATGAGGAAGTTTCTAGAAGGGCTGTCAGGAGCTAGTAGAGTAGGACCATAGGATTTCACTCCGGTGAGTGGAAGGGGGCTGGGGATTGCAGTCAGGAGCGACCCGGTGGAAGCCCTGGGGACTGGAGTTCAGTGTGATTCTCTGTGGGCAGACTGGCAGGCGAAGTGACAGGCGAGGGACAGGAGGCTAAGAAGATAGGCAAGGGGACGGATTTTAGGGGTTTTTGAAGAATTTAAATTTTCCTGAGGCATTTTTGACCAGGAAATTCCTGAGGCATTTATGACCATGATTCTAAATTTCGCAGTAGCATCACTCGTTGATCTGCCTTATCCGGCAAACACACAAAGGAGAGCCCCTCGCTGTGGACGGCGCCCCGGCCTGACCTGTTAGGATGCTCCTTGTGCTTGACGTCCAGGTACTTCAAGGTGGCGATGAAGGACTGTGCCTGGAAGCCCCTGGCTGTCCCGGCCACCACGGGGGTGTGGCAGATAGCACTGTCTGTTCCAATGGTAACAATGTTGCTCCTTAAGGGGGTGCCCACGTGGCCCACCTTGTCTACAGCCTTTGCCACACAACGCACGTGGAACCGCCGGCTGAAGTAAATGCTGTCCAGGACCTACCGGGAAAGATAAAGTACTTGAGACGTGTGTCTGTTCCTCAAAGAGCTCCTGCCACTGTATCTTCTGGACGATATGACACAACCAGTCTCTGGTACAGGGTTATCTGTGCAGACCATCCGTCATCCGTCTGTCCATCCATCTATCCACTCATCTATCTATCTGCTCATTCCTTCACCACAAAACTGCTGACTTTCTCCCAGGAGCCAGGCACTAGGGACAAAGGAGTGAGTATATATAGCCTAAGGCCATGTGTCAGACCAGGAGCAAGTAGACAGATGGGAACAAGAGCCCAGAGATGACCGGCCACGGTGATAGCATCATTCTCTTTGTCGATTAGCTTTAGCATAAGGACCACTCGGCTAGTTTCCAGCCCTTCCATTAAGACTGGTTGGCCTCCAGGTCACTTTTGCTGAGGATATAGTGTCAGGATACTGAAAAGAGAGGCTTCCTTCCCAGGAGTTCTTATTTTCCTTTCTTTCCCAGGGCTAGTCCCTCCCCTCAACCCCGGCCTAATGACCACACACACTGGAAAGGTTGTAATAACAGGAAGAGTTGAAGTTGAGAACTTGGCCTCTGACACCTACTGGCCTTTGAAGGTCCTTCGACAGATTCTTTCATGTTCTCAGACTTAGAGAAGCCATAAGAATGCTTAGCTCAGGCTCTGCACAGACTACATGGGTCACCACAACTCTCTAGATAATGTGCACATACACGTAGGGAAGTACATAAGAAGGAAAATTAATTGGTAGTTCTGTGTGCCATAGACCTCCCACAAAGCAATCATACAAACTTATAAATTCTACCCATGAAAACAATTTTCACTGAAGTCCATTAAAAATTAAAGAGGATTTTTCCATTAAAATTGTTTTAATTAGCTGCCAACGCTTTATTTATTTATTTACACATGAACTTAGTTCAGAAGGGATTTGAGGCCTCTTATATAGATGTACACAATACAATGGTATTAAATAAATAATTGAAGAAACAAAGATAGAGCAAAGGAAACTGGGATAAAAGTATTAGTCACCAAGTCATCGCAAGAAGAAAAACTGAAACATCAACTTGGTTAAGTTAAAAATGTATATTTGGCCAAATCAGACCAAGCTGCCTGCCTTCCTGGTTTTTTCAAAAGAGAATTAGATACTTAGAAAACCATAAGCTGTAAAGTCTTGTCATTTAAGTTTTTAAATGTTATCAGCTAGTTTCAACTAGGTTACTTTGCAAAAGAATTGACTTTTTGTCTTTTTTGAATAAGCTGTGCAAAAAACAATGGATATGAGTGACCTTGCTTCACCCAGAGCCCTCCCACCCATCTGAGCCTCCCCTCCGCCATTATCCCATCTATGGAAGCACTTACTAAAGTGAGAACAAACTGAGAGCTGAATATGAAAAAATCTTGAGAAAGTCCGTCTAAAAGAAATCTCTGATGTCCCAAATTATTAAGTGCACTACTTTTGATCAAAACTGTCGAGGGCTTACTAAGTGCCAGATACCAGGCTGCGGGCCTCCACTGCTTTTAGCTGTCTCTCTGAAGGAGAATGTCGTCACTGGTGTGACGAGCAGTCCCCACAGTGCGCTCTTTCTTAAGGCTGGGAAAACCCTCACTTTTCGTTGCTCTGTGATGGCGGCAGAGGTGTTGGTCTGGTGTCTCGCCTCTTTGAGGACAGCAACTGCGTGGTGAACTTCTCACGCCCTCCTACAATTCTGTATAACACCGATCACTTGAGAAACAACCTATCCTTTGTTTAATCACTGCGCCATCCCTACTATGTGCCCTCAATGTGCTGGGCATGTTAGGCTCCACAAACATGGTAGAAGCCTTGGTCTTCTACCAAGGAGTTTATAAGTTACTACTTACTGAATGCCTGAAAAGATGTGGAAAAAAGTAATCAGTAATTATACCTATGTGAATTTTTTGACTTACTTTATCATTTATAGATCACTTTTATATCTGATTAGTCAATGATTTTGTCAAGTGACTAAGTGGAAGTATTATTTTGCAGATCAGGAAATGCAGACCCAAGGAGGTTAAGTGACCTCGTAACATCACTAGTTAAAAGTAGGCAGAATCAAGATTAGTAAACAGATTGTCTGATAACTAACTTGGATCTCTTTCTACGACACCATATTACCTTACGTATAAGAATAAAAATACCTGTGTATATACTGTGTGTACCTACTTATTTGTTTATTTTATTCCAAATGCCACACAAGAGCCTTAAGGAGCCTGAGAGTTGGAGTGACAAAGAGAAGCACCGGCCCAGACCCACAGACCTACCATGTGGTTGACACTGGTGAAGGGCGTGTTGTCAGTGATGGTTTCAAAGGGTGACCGGGCGCCGTTGCCGTCCGTGGGGGCGGCCACCTCCCAGCTGAACCGCACCAGTGTTTGGTTGACACCGGCCTCGCTGCAACGCTCCCTCATGATGGCATACTTCGGGAAATGGGAGTCACAGGGGGTCACGCAAACCAGCGGGTAGCCTGGGGATGGGGATTTCTTGACTCCCTCCTTGCTCACTTCTTCTACATGGTCATAGTCAGAAAGGGTGACAACCTGAAAAGGAGCAACAAAGCTTCAGACTGGGCTGGCCGCTGGGAGGCTCCTAGAGCTAAGGGTCCCCTCCCTAGAGAGCCACAAGGTCCCTTAACTGCCAGGGATTCTTTAAAATACAACAAAAAGAAAAAGAGAGGTGGGGGGGGAGAAAGAAAGAAAATATAACAGTGGAAGTTTTCATAGTGCTTTGCTAGGCATCCCTAGAAGATACTACAGACCTTTAATGGTGAAGAAGACCCTCCGTCTGCCTGAGCTAAAAGCTTTAATATCTCATTAATCTTATTCCTAAATCAGAGCTCAATTACGCATATGAAAAATACTTTTAGGTTTATGCACCACTGTAACCAAAGCTGTATGATGAATCACAGTTACTAGTTTAAAGTTGCATTAAGAAAAAACAAAATAAATAAAGTTGCATTAAATTATTAATGGTATGCAGTAGTGTATTTGGCAAAACAAAAGCAAATAAAGGGAGAGCGTTTCCTCCACGGTTGAATAAGAGACCCCCTTTGGGATGATTCTTCTACTGTATGAGACTAGCCAGGGAAAGCTAGAAGACTTATTCTGGCTGCTCCATTATGATGGCTTAAATTTCACTTGGCAACCTCCAGGCATTTTACTCCTGATTGTAAAGTCAGGGCATTCGTTCTACACATCCCCAAACTGGGGAACTGGGTACTGCGCTTCTGCAAATACTTAACTCTATGCATTGGCATGTATGGGGGGGTAAGAGCCATGGGGTAGCATTACTTTTTTTTTTCCCCCTTCTTCTAGGTCCCACCAAAGAAATGAGAGCAATTGCATTATGCTTCCCATGTTTATCAGACTAAGGTGTCAACATGGTTTGGTCTTACTGAAATGTTCAAACAGGGTTTCTCATCCTCAGCACTATGGACATTGGTGCCAAATAATTCTTTGTTGTTGGGGCTGTCCTGTGCATTGTAGGATGTCTAGCAGGGCCCCTGCCTTCTACCCACTAGATGCTAATAGTACCTAGTGTGACAGTCGTGACAACCAGAAATGTCACTAGACATTGGCAAATGTCCCCTGGAGGTGGTGGCCCAGGGAGGGGATTTGGGAAGGGAAGGACGAGATGGCTCCTGGTTGAGGGTCACTGTGTTGGAAGAATGAAGTCGGCTCCAGAAGGCCTGCTCCTCTCAAGTTACCATCTACTAGTCACTAGGACATAAAGGCAGCAACCCCTTTGGGTCAAGCAACTCACGATGGGCGGTGCTGGCAATATGAGACTGCCCGCTGCCTCCTGGTCTAGAATCGTCACCGTGGCAGTGGTCACATCTCCAAGAACTGCTTCCACTGGGTCATCTGGGCCAAGGACTAGGGAGAAAGATTCATGCCATTCCCGGTCTTCATTGGCTAGGATCTCGACTTTAAAAAAGATATGGTCCACACCTTCACCAAGGACAGAACAGAAAGAGAGCAGAGGTTCTCATTAGCCGACCTGCCTTAGACAACGCAGGCTGGTACCGCTGAAATTTCATATTATAATATGCCCTTTCCTTTCAGAGGTTTTCGATAAACACGGTGGCTGCTAATCACTTGAGTCCTGTCTCCAGGGAGAAATCTATTTTAGAGACCAAACTCCACTAGAGGCTCAGTTTTGCAGACTTCCTATCCAACACCATATGAGGATTAATGGGCCCTGCCTGATACGAGCTGGTCGTAATAAAAATCTATGATCCAAAATACACTCCACCCTGGTTATGAGGTTTTTTGCTTAATTTTTCTTTCCCTTTACACTTAGGCATGAGCCCCTGCGTGGCTGTGAGCACTTGCACACACAGACACCCCTCAGGACTGTCCTGAGAACCAGGATCTCAAAGGCGTCCTACAAGGCCGTCCCCACCAAGACAGTAGGGGATGGGTTTGGCGGCCTGGAAGGAGGTGTGTTAGGGCCGTAGGAACTGCCTTCCCTTCCTGTCAAAACGATTCTCTGGGGGGGCAAATATCCCTGGCAGTGGTTAAGTTTCCCTTCTTCCTTGCCTACAAAGACCTGGGCTGGGCTGTTTCCAAGACCTCTCTTCTCTAGACCCTTGTACAGAAAAAGAAAAAGTAAAGACACATGGAGGAACGGTCCTGGTGTGGACGCGGAGGAAGGGCTTCTACCTTTCCGGCAAACGCCAAGCAGATGCACACGGGTTGGAGACAGAAGCCCTTTAAAACTCCGTGGAATGAGGCATCAGAGATCCCTCCCCCCACATTTCTGAGGGGGTCACTTCCTCCCTGCACCTGCCAAGACGTCTCTGGAGAGGCCTTCTACCACTGCTGCCCACTCTGACTCTATCATAAAAGGCGCCAGGACCCACACCGGTCTGTTCATCTCACATTGCTCCAGGAAGTTCTGTGAGAAAATCTAGCATATAATTCAAGTTCTTCTCTGTCTCATTTCTTCATCAAACCACCATATAAGAAAGACAGACAGCTACCTGTGATCTGAATCTCATCTTTCTCTCTCTCTTCTCTGACTCGTGTCCATAGTTCCCTCTAGAATAAACCTTTTCTGGAAAACTCGTAACAGGGTATCCCGTCTCCTAGCACATGTTCAACCAGAGGAGCACAGAGATTGTGCCTTCTGGATCTGAGTCATCCCTGAAGGACCCGGCACACTGCCTTGTACCCGGGCTTTACGGAATGATGGTGGTGATGTTTGTTCTTTAAAATCAAATGCATCTATGACTCAACCAAGTCATAGGCTCACAACAGCCAAAACATCCTTTTAAATGAGCCCAAATCAGAAGCATGTTCTGAAGCAAGGGACCTCCTCTCGTTCTTTCTCAAAGCCACTGTTACCGACTAAAGATTTTAAAGACTCCTGGAGAAGCAAACGTGCGCCTAATGAGTACTTCATGCTCAGTCAGTACCACTGTTTGTCTCTTTTCTGCTTGTTCTTTCCTTCGAATACAAGATATTTGCCCTTCTGTCAAGTAAAACCCACAGCCTGGGACTGGCGTTCAATTACCGGGACTGAACTTCAAGACTCTGCTCTTTGGGTAATAATCCACCCCAGACTGGGCAGACCCGTCCCGCGTGCTGCAGCGAATCTTGGACGTCCTGTTCTGATCTCCTCGGCGGATCACCTTGATGTTCAGGAGGGCGATGGCGTCTGGCCCCGACGGTTCCCGGACCTGGTATGCAGCTTCTTCAAACTCAATGGTAGGGGCTAAGGAAACAGGGTTAGAAAGACAAGAGCAAGTTGGAGAAGCACGAAGGATTCCAGTCCCCTGAAAACACCTTACAAAGGCAGGAGGGAGCTTTCCACGCTAGTAAGCAACACGAAGGAAAAATGGCTTGCGGTCATAAAAATCAATCCGTTTTTACTCCTCAGTAAAGCTTTGTGGAAGGAACTTATTTATGATTCTGCGGGAGTTGCTCCTCACAGGTTCCTTACTAAAAACAATAGTGGGGGAAATATTTTTAAGCACTTTGAAATGCATGATGTCCATGTTTCCATCTGGGCAGTACAGCTCACAAAATGTTTTTAGATTCACACACTTGTCAGGGGACTGAGACAGAGTAAGCCCTTGATAAATACTGATCGACCGATTGCATGAATCAACTCGTTTTCATTTATGAGATATGAATTTCTAAGTTTTATAATTTATCTCACTTATACCTAAACTTCCCAAGTCTATCTCTCATCTCTGATCTGAGTCCTTCTTCCCAGAGCCCTCATGCCTCCCTTTCCTTAAAATTTTCTAACTACTCATGGGTTATTTAGTTAAAAATGAGTGGTTTTCATGAAGAGCACAAGACTTCCTAGCCTAATCTGGTTTGAGGTACTAGTCTCATTGCTATGAAGTGATGAATACGTTGCTTTTTACAAAAATTTCAAATTGTGCCTTCTTTTCCACTATATTTTCATGGGGAACGGTGAGGTGGTAGTTGTGGATAGAGACAAAAAATGTGAAAATTGAGAGTAATTACAAATTTTACACCACTTCTAATATACTATAATATTTTGCAGATATTTCTAGAGTCTCTGTTCATTTTCCTCTTTCCTCTCAGAAAATCAATTCGTCCTAGTCATAAAAGAGAAGCTTCTTTGGAGACTTGGTAATTTTTGATGAATGCTCCTTGGAACTTGGGAGAGTCACTTACAACCTCTCTGAGCCTCCGTCAGGTTTCCAGGTGACCGGGAGGGGTTCACTTCAGGATCTAAGCCTGAGTCCCCGGATAAAGGACGAATCCAGCTTCAAGGCTGGCTTTTCTTATTTTACCCAATGTCCACAGTAGTCCTGATTTTATGTCAGAAACTCTGAGAGTGTCACTAACTCTCAGGTAGATTCTAGAATCTGATAAAATAAGGGTTACAAACAGTTTTGCTGCTGACAGCTGTGTAACTGAGAGCATAAATTATATAAATTTGCTGAGGCTCAATTTCTTCAGCTGTAATACAGGGATTCTAACGCCTCCCTCAGGGTTACCGTCAGGATAAAATGAAATAATATAACATGCTTAGCGTGGTTCTTGGTCTACGGTAACATAAAAACACCGATTACTATTCGTAATATTACCCATTCCCTCATTAAAATATCTATCTGAATAAAACAATTTTGTCCCAAGTTGAAACAGATTTGGTTTTGTTTTCCCTAGTGCCAGGGGCATTCTTTGCTGATACCTGACTCAAGAATTTAAGATTTGGGGGGTTAATAGGCCAAATCAATTAGAAGGAAACTGAGAAATTAGACTTTTCTGGGAAGGTAGCAGTGTTTAAATTAGTTCATTGGATTCAACGGATTCTGATCGTATTTCCAATCTGGCTTCTGAACTGCAGTGACTTACATAGGTTTTATTCTCTTTCTGCCTTAGTGTCTCTGTCCTAGCTTGTAAGCATACTCCTTCCTTATCTCTGGGCCAAGTGGTGGGGCATCATGAGATGAAGAACTGCTACCGCCTTCCTGGGACTGCAGGAGAGTGATGGCTAGCTGCCAACGGTTTATATAAATACTCTGAGACTGTATCAGTAGGCACTTTTATGGCACTTTCATTTAAAAAAAAAAACACCTATAATTACATTATTAGTAACACATCAGTTCATGTTCTATCAACCAGAGAGTAACGAAAGGCAGTAGCGACTGTTACCGTCTTCATCATTGGATATGGTGACGGTGGCCACGTTATTCTTCCCGATTCTGGCTCCGCTCCAGTGGTTTCCAAGAGGATGGCCAAGGTAGACCCTGAATTGTTCCTCAGGCTCAAACACGGAGTCATCATGGATAGAGACAGTACAGTTCTTCATCTAGAGCCAATGCCATGAGATAGATTAAAATCTGCACTGAAAAATCAGTACCTTTCGTGCTTTTCCTAGAAAATGATTTTTCTTCTTTGCGGCATCAAAGAGTCAACACAAATTTGAAAGGTCTCAAACCATTTTGTTTGTAAAACAGAATATTTAAATCTAACAGTTCATGCCCGACAGGGACATACCTATGTGAGGAGCCTCGTATTAGAATATTCCAAACCACTCAGAATGATTGGTTTTGTGGAAAAACAAGATCAATAAAACAACCCAGTGCAATGTACCTGCAGGAAGCCTGTGCACTTTCCCTGAGCAGACCTAGGCATATGTGTGCGTTCTGAAAGGTGCAGTTTGGATAATGGGGTGAACACATGCATTAGGCTTCCTGGGCAAGGCTGAACAGTGGTCTGTTCCCTTGGTGGCAACTGACGGGTTTTAGAAGGAACTCAGAAAGGCTCCTCTGATACCTCTCCGTGCCGCAGGACTCTCAAACGCGCTGTCAAATGGGGTCTCATCGGAACACTGCTGAATTCCCAAAGTCTGAGAACACAGCCTAAATCCCTGCTTGACAGGAGGAAATCAAGGGCTTCTCACACTGATTATTCTCTACTGAGGACTGTATTCTCAAGAAAACAGAAAATAAGGCCAAAGCATTTTAGATGACGCGGTGACCTCAATGGTAGAGTCACGTGATATGAAGTGGGATTATTTTTAGTCAAACCATGTTAAATCCACTCTGCCACTGTGTTGCAAAGGATCTGCGGGTACAGAGAAGTTGCACTCTCATTCTTCCGAAGGCACAGGAAATGGAAGGAGAGCATTCCTGTAAATGTTTATAGGTAGCTTGCTAACCGGGTTTTAAGCCCCTGAAGAATGTCCCTTTTTTTTTCCTGATAGAAAACATGAACTTAGTAGTGACTCCTCAGGATATCTCTTAAAACAACGACATTCTAGTGAATGACAAGTTTCAAAGACAAACTGCTTAGCACGCCAGAGAAAATGAAGATTCCAAAGTGCGCTTGTGAAGAATGGGAGGTTGTCATGTGAGTAACATATGGATGGTTAGACCGTATTTTCTTTGCAATTTTATTAAATTATAAACTGTCTCTTGGATAAGCAGAGAATCCTCTTTTGAACTTAAGACAAATACAGACATGTAGACTCAAAGCTGAAGATGGTATCTGTTGCATTTGTGTATGTTTTTAAACACACGTTTCAACCTGCCACCAGTAAAATTCCCATAAAATACATAGCTAAGACAGGGTTTCTATGAGTCACGAATGCATAAAAGACCAAGAGCCTAAAAGAAGGCAGCTGTCACTGTTTTTTGGTAGTAAAGATGTACAGGGGAAGATTCTGTGTGACCTGGGCTGGCTAAGAACATCGAATGCTAAACTTCAAAAGGACTAATCATAGGGCAAATATCTGATACGTTTGACTCTACCAGAATTGAAAACTCTGTTCAACTAAGAACACTGTGATTAAAGGTTATAGATAAGTGTCAGGATGCAAAAATACGTTTACATTATCTAAAATGTCTACAACCAGCAAGGAATTAATAATTAGAATATACAAGAAAGACTGCAAATCAGCAAGAAAAAGATAGCAAGGGGGTCCCTGGGTGGCTCAGTGGGTTAAAGCCTCTGCCTTCGGCTCAGGTCATGATCCCAGGGTCCTGGGATCGAGTCCCGCATCGGGCTCTCTGCTCGTCGGGGAGCCTGCTTCCCCCTCTCTCTCTGCCTGCCTCTGCCTACTTGTGATCTCTCTCTGTCAAATAAATAAATAAAAAAAAAGAAAGAAAAAGATAGCAATGCAATAGTAAGGAATAAAGGATAAAAATGACAAATTTACCTAAGAGGAAAGCCAGTTAGCTAACAAGCATATACACTGGTAGTAACTGGAGAAATGCAAATTAAAATGAGATTTAACTATATACATATTAGATTAGCAAAAATTCAAAAGATGAGTACTGTATTGGAGAGGGTATAGGATCATAACAACCTTCAGGCCACTGCTAGCAACTTTCTGGAAAGTGTTCTGACACTATTTTTTCAAATTAAGCCCATACGTGGCCTTCAGTCCAGCACATTTGCCGCTGAGTGTACATCCGAAGACGCTCCCACTCAGGTCTGCAAGAGGACATGTAGGAGGACGTGCCCTCCAGCATTCTCTGCGGTGGCGGCATGTTAGGAGATGACTGGGTGCTGTCTCTGAGGTTCCTCACTGTCTACTGCTAAGAGCGGATGGTTAAAATGTACTAAGTGCCCATCATGAAATATTACATGCTATCTCAGCAACAGATAAGGTGTACACGTAAATGACGTGGACAGATAGTAAAACACCTTACTGAGTAAATAGAGTAAAAGTTTGAAAAAGAAAATTGTTTAATGTATAAATTAAAATCTGCATACAAGACAACTGGCATTTTTAAGGAACAAATACAAATTAAGACGTACGTAAACACAACAGATTGATGAGTTCTCAAGTGGGGAAGAAGTGTGGCTGGAGAACAGGCATAAAATAACGCAAAGTCAGAGAAGGGCCTCGAAGTGACTGAGGGGGCTGTGTGTTTCAAATCAAGAAGGTACAGGTGACTCAATGATCTCAAACTGAAATCCAAAAATGTGGAAATAGGATTCTTGTTCAATATATCTCACTTTGGACATACACTGAGGTTGCAGGCTTCGGTTCTAATGTGGTCATGTTTACTGACTGGAATTTCTCAGGAGTTCTTGTGCCTATATGCCCACTTTTCTGTAACTGCTAAGAAGAGAGCACTTTCCTGCCTTGAATCTGCTCAGTGTCTGCCTACTTGGTCCTATCCTATGGCTTCTTATCAGAATCTATGCTGCCCTGGGACAGGGGCCCAGGTTCTAGAGGATTGTCTCGTCCTCCTCTGGGTAACACTGGTCGAGTGCGTCATCTCTAATGTAGCTGTTAATTAAGAGAAGCCTCATTCATTTGATTTTGCTAAATTCCAGAAATGTTACATGTCATCTAAATTCCTGGTTCAACCAATGATATACGGATTTGGTTGTAAGTAGGAGTCCAAGAAAACAGCCACAGGGGACAGATGATAGTATTACAGATAGTATCAACCAGTAAAAGAATTCCTAGGATGTTCAGAATTTGTCTTGATGACTTCGTTATGGGTAAGTAAAGGCATCAAGGAAAAAGAGAATCTGATCTTTCAGCTATCATGAATCCACTTACTTTCTCCCCCTTCAGAAACGTAATCCGTGAAGAGTCTGCATTTCTTCTCTCTTCAAAGTCCTCCATGACCTGGGCTGAATGGCCCTGGGTGTAGCACCTCACCGATGACTCATAGCTCAGGTCTCCGCTCCGAATGATGGGCACGTGCAGGACACCCTCCTTCTCCTTCACTAGGAGCAGATCCTTGGCAAACTGCATGCTGGGCACTGCGGGAGCCGAAGGAAAGATGGAGGCATTGTTAGTGAGGGACAGAGGCATGGTGGCCGCAGCCCTCACTAGGCACTTGGCAGGACAGGTCTACTAAGGGCCGTCTGCCCAGGCTGGCGAGTCAGAGATAGCAAGCAGATTTCAAGGCCTGGTTGCTCTCAGGACCAGGGATCTGCTTCCCTTGTTGAGCGGGCTTCTAATGAAACAATAACTCCATTTTGCACCTGTTTCTCCCAGCGTCAGGGTGAGGTCCCCATCTCAAACACAGGTAAGCAACGCAAGCAAAGAAATGGGCCAGGTATGAGGAAAATTTTGGTTGAGACTTGGATACACACACACACACACACACACACACACACACACACACACACACAAATTCACTTTCCTTCTAAGGCTATAAAAGGAAAAAAGCAGTGTAAGCCTGATGATAAATGGGCACTCACACTGGTCCTGAGGCCAGGGAGATGACAGGGAAAAGTGGGGGTACCGGGAAGGAGGAAGGCACAGGCTGTTTTAGGGAGGGTCGTCCCTCAGCTCCAGTCTTTGGTTGGCAGGTTACTCTCTTTTCAAATGAAGCCAGAAATCTGGATTTTTATGTCATATCCACTAAAATTTTAAAAAGCAGTGAGTTAAAACAGTAAGAAGAAGTTCCACAGAGACAAAACTACTGGGCCAAACAAAAGACATCCACATGCTGAATTTGGTCAGTGGGATAAAAATCACTTTTTCTTTTATAGTTCACATTGGTCTCATTTGACTTTAGAAAAGGACCATAGCCAACCTGTGGTTAAAAACACATGCTTTGCAATCGGCAGGCCTGCATTTCCATCCCAGTCCTGCTACTTACTAGCTGTGCAATACAGGGTAAGTTATTTAGATTTTCTGAGTCCTGGGGTTTTTTATTTATAAATTGGAAATATTATCATCCAACTCCTAGAGGGGTTGGAAGGACTGAATTTAATGAAATAATGTCCGCACGGTGCTCAACACAGTATCTGGTATCATAAGCACTCATATTTGGTAGGAATTATATTATGGTTTGTAATGTCCCCAACTCCAGTATTCTCAATATGAAGAACCACTTTTTTCTCCTTATTTCCTACAGTGCCTACCATGATGCTCTACATTAAGACATGTCCTCTTCTGAGACTAACATCTTGTCAATCGCTGGTTTGTTCCCATGTATGTGTATATATATATATATATATATATATATATATATATATATATATATTTTATGAGAGAGAGAGAGAGCAGGCAGTGAATTGGGGGAGAGGCAGAGAGACACTCAGACGGACTCCCTGCTGAACACAGATTCTGATGTGGGGCTCGATCCCACGACCCCGAGATCAGGACCTGAGCCAAAACCAAGAGGCAGACATTCAGCAGACTGTGCCACGTAAGCACCCTGCTGGTTATTTATTTCTTAATGAGCAGTACAAAGAGGGAGTCCCTCAAGTCACATGTCAAAGTCTCCTGTGGCAGAAACTGACCCTGAAGCTGTCATCTCCCATTTCCCTGCCACGTCTTGTGCATTCCCTGCCAAACCTGAAAGGAAGGAACCAAAAGCCTAGCACTCTTCAAGTCAATATGTAAAAAGTTCTGTTTGCCTCCCATCTGCCCACTGCCCAGAACTGTGGGTATTAGCAAAAACAGAGCAAACTCATTATCTAAGCTAAACCAAACAGTTATCACATATTACCAAAGAAAAACCCAGCAGATCCTTCTTAAAAGAACACAACACCTAAGGGATAATTAACTTTGGCATCAGGCCCTGAACATTTATCCCTTAGGGCTCTGTCACCCAAAAGGTGGCACTGACATGACCTAGCATAGAAGGACAAGGAGGAAACTTGTTGACAGGTAAAAACAACAAGCAAGGAAGCTTTCTGCTCATGAAATGCTTATCTAAAGCTTTGGGTTGATTTTTCTTGCTGGCCCAACAGGCATTAAGTCAGATGAAAGTTAAAAGCAAAAGTGGTAATGTTTGGGTTTTGTCCTGTATTAATCAACCCCAAATTCTTCTTGAGCTGTAAAAGACTGCCCCTTCCCCCCCCACCCACCCACACTTTAATGAGATAGTAAACCTCACTCCTTTCCCTATTTGGGAAAAAAAGGCAGAGTGAGAAGTAAGGGAAGTGGGTGAACACGTCTCATGATGCCTGAAGTTCTGGGGACGGCCCCTGCCTCACGAGGCCCCTAGTCTGGGGGGAGAATGAGGCAAGAGACAACGGAAGGACAATATTCAGTAATAGATTTGTGCATGGGGCTTTATGGCATACAAAGGAAAGGTCCAGCCCAAGTCAGGCCGTGTGTGAAGGACTTGACCCATGTCATTTCATGTCTTCCTCTCAATACCCCAACTACAATCCCCTCCGAAAGTAGGAGCATGGCTCTCAGTTCTGCCTGACTCTGGCACTCCTCTCCTTCCACAGTGATGGGGGGTATGCCCATGAAGTGGGGATCGTCGTGGGGGTGCACAGGCTCGTGCTAGATATCACACTCACTGTCAGCACTCTCAGCGCCCTCGTCACACGCAGCCCAGATTGCACTTATCTCCTGACTTGTGTCTGTCCTGTGTCCTGAAATAGATTGTGGGACTCTGCTTTACTGCACAGCACTGGGCGCCAGTCTTAGGCACGGAAAATGTTCACGATATGCTGTTATCCACTAACCTTCTCAGTAACTGGCAAAGTTAAGTGCAAATGCTACCTCCTGAGATTCGAGGGCCTCTCTGCGGGCAACGGTTAGGCTGGAGATGTAGGAGAGACCCTGCCTCTGGTTCTCTCGAGTTAGGGCGGGTAGGATGCAGTGAGCACGCAGGGGTGTGATGAGATGGTGGCTACGAGGCCTTTCCTGCCTTGCTCAGCATTCCTCAGGTCCACGCCAAAGTCTAACTCCAGATACCAGAGCAGAAGAGGAAAATGCAAATAGGAAAAGGTTCTGAGATGAGTTACTTAGATGATTTAAGGGCCTGCGATCACCCTGTGAAGAAGATGAAAGGCCTAAGGTCACTTTGGAAGGCTAAAGGTTGGCTTTATAAGGACGCTGAGGGACATCAAGCATCTGCAAGTGCAAGGGGAAGAGTACAAAAGTAGAAGACTGAACGCGGACAAAACAGACCTAGGCCTTAGGTCTGGTCCCGTCGCCTCCTCTCTGTGTGACCTTGGACAAATTATTCAGCCTGTTTCACTAGTTGGAGAGTTTGTGAAGATTAGAGAGAAGGTAAGATCTTGCCACCTCACAATGTGCACACGGACGAAACTCAACAAGAGTTAGTGATCACTAAGAAGAAGATAACCAAGAAACACAATCAATGAAACACTACGACGGGCTCCTGAAACAGGGTTGGGGATTTCTTTCTCTGGGATAAATTCTTGACTGAATATAGTTTCTTGTAGCCTTACTGAAAGATGAGAAATATTTTAACATATTCATTTTCTAAGTTTGCAACACTTGTGTTCATCGATAAAAGGTGGAGAGAAGTCCCAGCGGAATATTTCCTGTTAATCTGGGGCAGTGCATTTTGTGTGTGTGACTGGAGTCCCACTGGCAAGTGTGAAAAATTACCAACGTGTCAGAAGAAAAGAAATAACCATGTAATGAAATCTACTGTGTGCCAGGTACGGTGGTAGATACCACACAAAGAGTACGGACAAGCCCAAGCCTTAGAACACATGCTGGTCCCTCTCCGTATGACTTCGGGTGTTTACTCCCCTGATTCTAGTCTCCTTATCTACGGAATAGAAACAAGTATGAAGTCACGAGATTGCAAGTGAGATAATGTCTAGGGTATCACTCTGTAAACTCTGAAGCAACATATGATATAAAATAGTTTAATTGTTATAATGTTGCTCACAGTTAAAAAGTTACCATTTTATGATTCACAAACCTAAATGTAAAAATTAAAACTAAAACATCCAGAAGGAAACACAGGGAAAAAAATCTTCATAATCCTGGGTCAGGGAAAGATTTCTTAGAGACAACATTAAAAGTACAATCCATAATAGAATTATTGATAAATGGCACTATTTCAAAATGAAAAAGGACTGCCCTTTGAAAGACATTATTAAAAAAACAACAAACAAGCCACGGATTAGGAGAAAATATTTGCCAAACACAAATATTTCTCCAGATTTCATGACAGCGCAGTAATAGAGGGGAAACAACTCAATCAAAGTGGGGGAAATATTTGAGTAATACTTTGCCAGAGAAGACACGTAGATGGCCAGTAAGCAAGCACCTGAAAAGATCCCAATGTCACTAGTCACTAGAGAAATGACCTTCCCACAAGACATCTCTGTACGTCTACTAGCATAACGACAGCAACATCAGACGCCCCCAGAAAGCGGAAAACACCAAATGTTGGTGCGGAGGAGGGGCAGCCAGAATCCTCCTACACTGCTGGTGGTAACGCACAGTAGCTACAACCACTCTGGACAACAGGCTGGCAATTTCTTGTAATGTGAAACAAATACCATCATACAATGCAGCCGCCCCACTCCTAAGTATTTCCCCCAGAGAAATAAAAACCTACATTCGTACAAAAACCTATACACAAATATTTATAATCACTCTAGTCCTAACAGTCAAAATCTAGAAACAAGCGAAATGTCATTCCCCCAGTGAATGGATGAACAAACTGTAGGGCATCTATATAATGGGAGACTGTTCCACGGTGAAGGAAACAAACTTCTCGTATATGTAACACAACGGACGGTTCTCCAGTGCAATCTTCTAATGAAAGAAGCCGGACACAAGTTGCTGTACTACAGGATTCCAATGATAGGAGTTTCTTGAAATGGCAAAACCGTATGGGCAAAAACCCAGCAGCGGTTGCCAGGGCTGGAGATGGGGAAGAGGCCGACGGCAGAGGAGCGCGGGAGGATTGTGCAGGTGCTGAAACAGGTCCACATTTTGATAGTGGTAGTGGGCACGCCACGGTAGGCATCTGTCAAAACCCATAGAACTGTCCACTAAAGAGGGTGAATTTTAACTTATGGAAGTTAGATCTCAATAAACCTAGGTCTAAACTATCATTTTGGACATTTGCATTATCAATGTATTACGTATGCATATGCCTAGGTGTGCATTCTCTCTTTTCAAGGGCAGGATATACACATTTCTCTTGACGGGTCCACACAACAACAACACACTGGTGAAAATGGTTGTCTCTAGGAGAACAACCAGAGGGCTGGGACATAGGATTAGAAGGGAGACTTAATTTTCATAGCATACCTTTTTTGGGTCATTTTAAATACTGTATAAATAGACAAATTATTTAAAAATAAATGAAAGCATTAAGGATCACCCTGCTGGGCTGCCTGTTCTTTTTTTTTTTTTTTTAAGATTTTATTTATTTATTTGACAGACAGAGATCACAAGTAGGCAGAGAGGCAGGCAGAGAGAGAGGAGGAAGCAGGCTCCCCACTGAGCAGAGAGCCCGATGTGGGGCTCGATCCCAGGACCCCGAGATCATGACCTGAGCCGAAGGCAGAGGCTCAACCCACTGAGCCACCCGGCACCCTCTGCCTGTTCCTTTTATGGTGACTTTTCAGCCACCGAAAGAGTTTAATTACGGGCTCTGTCATCGACCAGTGGGATGTTAATGAGGGTCCTCCTGCTGTAGGGAAGGAGTTTTCACCTGATCTTCTTAACCAACTCTAGCATCTGACAATTCTAGATTTCATCAACTCTTCCCAAGAAGCCTCTATCCTTTTCTGGCCATCTTCCTGTTACATCTTCAGTGGCGGCTGGTATTTTCCTCATACACTTGCTGTCTATCCTCTCCTGTACACCACCCACAGGACTGCCAGTGTCAGTTTCCTCCAACAAAGATCACACCACTGCTCGGCTCAGAAGCATCTGCTGCTCTTCTCCTCTTACACGTCCCTTAGGCTGCACCATGAGACCTTTTAGAACCGGAAATGAAATGGGGAGGCAGGTGGGAGTCCCAACCTATTTGCTTCTATTCACCTCCTGCCAGGCTTAAAGCAAAAGTAAGCATCCCACACTTTTTCAGAGATGCATCTCTCAAAATTCTATACTTCATATTATGCTATATCTCTCCATCTGACAAAACTGTATTTTACTATCCATTAGATGAACTCCTATCACACCCTAAAACCTGCTTAAATATCACGTCCTTTGTGAAATCTGTGATTCTCCCACACGTAGCTGCTGCTCAATCCCTTCTGCTCCCCTCGCACTGGATTTATAGCACTATTAGGTCATTTATCATAATATGTTCTAATTTTTCTGCTTGAGGGTCTGATCTCCTCCACTAAACAGTGAGCTTCTTGAGGACAGGGCCCAAAGCTTATATATCTTTTTGTGCCCAGCACAGCACCAGAAACATGAATGCTTATTTCTCCCCCATATTTTTATCTGACAGTAGGTACATAACACACGTGCACGTGCACACGTACACATACACACACACACATACACACACATTTCTTGAATGAAAATGTGAATGAGTTCCAATGTCACATACTTGGAGGGCAAGGAAGAACTAGAAATATAGTCAGAGCCATGAGCTGGCATCTCCAATATCTTACCATCCTGGAATGTGTCATTAATTGCAATGACAGCTTGGAAGGGCTTGGTCAGCTCGGCCCCTTGTGCTGAGCTGAGAAAAACCACAAACGTCTCCAGCCCTTCAATTACTGGATACTGAGTGTCATCTAAGATACTCAAGGTGCAATACTAGAAGAAGAAAAACCAAGATGTTAATTAGATCTAGTGCGGTGATCATTTTGCAATACACTGCATCATTATGTTATATACCTGAAATTAATATATGTCAATTACATCTCGATTTAAAAAATAATATAAATATAAATATATATTTATATATATTTAACAATCAAAGTAAACTTTACAGAATGTCCAACACACAGCACCCACTTGCCTTCGGGAGAGCAGCACAGAGATGATAACTTGCTTTCTCTGGTGGTCTTACAGTAAGTCTTTCTAATCCATAAAATAATAGTCTCTTAATTACAAACCCTTAAGTGTTTTGTCTCTAGATGTTTACATCAACAGAGTGTAGTTCCCATCCTCAATCTGTGGTGATGGATATTAGATGCTGACAATGTCACTTGGAGAGTCTGTAGAAGATCTCTCTGGTTTTATTCTCTTGTTCACACAGTGGTAAGGCAAGGATGGTTTAGACTCCTTCATGGAGTTTGGGGAGCCGAACAGAGACAACATTACAGGCCCGTCTGGCCTTTGGCTGCTCTGTGCTCACCTGCTCTGTGACACCGGGCCCAAATTCCACCTTCCTAGAGCTGGGGACATAGTCAACTCCCGGAGTGGCAGACGCTGGGTCTGAGGGCCGTGTTGCACACCAGACAGAAGTGAAGGTAGAAAGATCAGTTCCATGACGGATAACTGGAATCTTCACTGTACCTAAATGGAGATCCATAGAGATGTCAATGGTCACCATTGGGTCAGAAGCCAGTGGGTTTTCAGAATAGTGTTCTCCCTCACAGTGGTAGAGCTTTACGCTGGGAGCCCGTCTAAGCCAACTTCAGTGGCGCTCCTGTGTTCCCTCTGAGGAAGGCCAGGAGGTATTGCCATCCCCATCTTACCGACACTAAGATCAAGAGCAGACCTGGAGGAGGGCCTCACGGAGGTGGTACTGGAGAGACAGCCCTTAGGGGAGAGTGGTTTTGTGGTTTCAGGAAAGACACCGTTCACAGGAGAAAAACAAACTGGAGAGGGCCCATCGAAAAACATCTCAAGCCTATTTTGGGAGAAGAAACTTAGAGACTAGGGCCTCAGGGATGAGCTAGAAAATAGTCAATTAAGAAAGAACCAGCTAGGGGACTCCATGGGGCCTGAAGCTGAATGTTTCTAATTAAATGTTCCTAACTGGGTTGATTTCCCCATTTTATTTGAGTGCTGCACACGTCGTTACTTAAACCATATGTGCTATCGCTTATCTTAGGAATGAAGCTCATCTTCTGTCCACTGTAACATCACACTTTGCCGTGTCCTAACGATATACATGTAGATTTTTAGCGATGTTCACAAGCAAGGTCAGAGAAAAGCTACATGAAAATCCCATTGATCATACTTTTTTAGTCAATAAGTTGTGAGCTGACAGTAGTCATGGCTGAGCACTCAGTGTAGAGGAGAGGAAACGGTATAGGAGAGGTCAGGGTTCTAGTCCCAGCTCTGCCATGTTAGCCACTGATCTTTGATGCTTTACTTCACCTTTCTGAGCCTCCATTTGCTCTTCTGTGTAACGTTCTCTTGTCTACAGAACATAAACGAGAACGCATGGAAAGCCGATGGCTGGGTGCCTGGTGTTCTGTAAGTGCCTGGAAATATGAGTTCCCATGCTCCCTCATTCACCTTCAGACAGGTGAATGGCCTTGACCAGGTGGCTCAGGTCCGTGGGTGTTCAGCACAGCTGCGGCTCCTTCTGGGAGCATGTCTGCTAGCGGCGTGCAGACGACTTTGAGACCTTCGTGGAGCCAAAAGAACGAAGGAGCCTGGGTGAAAGAAATCTGCCCACGGACTGCTTTGGAGTGTTATACGAATGCGAAAGTTTCTTTGGTCAGGACACTGAAACTTTGGAAATTATTTGCTCTGGCAGCTAGCAGCACGCTAAATAACTTACCTCCGTCCTCAACAGATCACAACTTCTGATTTCAGAGGCCAACAGGCTTAGCATCATGCCCTCCTTCCAGACCACACAGATCCAGCAATGAATCTCTGAGCCTGATCCCTCCCTGCCGTCAGGAGCCAGGGCAAGGAAAGGGAATGGAATTCCCTACTCTGCACTACCTTCCATTCTTGGTCTTAATGCCTATTATTAAAGGTCTCGGGCCGACAACAGTGTCACTGAGAAATGTCATTCTCAAATGTCTTAAGAACATTCTGAAAACTACACGGAAATTGTCCAAGGACAGGGTCAGGATATGGGTGATGGAGTCCCAGAGATGCTCTCTGTTACCTGCATCCTCGCTGACAGTGAAAGCCGTGTTGCCCAGGGACACGGTGGAGGCGTCGTTGGGGCCACTAATGAGCACCTTGGCCGATGCCACCCGTCCAATGCGAGCGTTGTTGGAAGCTTCTGCCAGGACGATCTCGAACTCCTCTTCTTCTTCATACTCACTGTCATCGATGAGCATGACATCACAGGTGGACATGGGGACACCAGGCCCGAATATCACGCGGCTGTCAGGAGACAGCCCTCTAGATTTGAAATCCGAGCCCGATTCTAGAGCATAGAGGCTACTTCCCATAGCTGACTTCGGGACTGTGTAGCAAACCGCAGAAACGATGCTGCTTGAGTCCCCTGAAATACAGACGGTGAGAAAACGAGAGCATTTGAGTGAGTGCGTCACAAATGCTGAAGTCTCTGATAATTCGGTAAGCCTGCTTCCCTCTGACACATTGTATCACCGCCTCTGCTCCGACGCGGACACGAACACTTCCTGCGCTGCAGCTCCTGAAGCCTGTGGGATAAGCCACACGAGGCTTTGACACGCCCCAGACACTGCACCGGACAATTTAAAATGGATTTCCTCTTCTGTGAATTTTGTGCTCTGTTAATTCACAAGACTCATTGCTCACCATCTAAGACCACAGTGGGGAGAAAGATAAGAGACATATTTGGTACTTTAAGTAGCAAAGTAATTGTGTCCCGAAGGTAGTGCTCTGAGCACAGTTCACCGCCTTTCTGAATAAACTTCTGCACTTTAATTCCCAGGGAGAAATCAGCTTGTTTAAAAAAAGAAAAACAAAACAAAATAAAACCTGCCTCTCTGTACAAATGACTTTACTTATCAGTGCCGCCATGTCCCTGGAAGACAGCCTGTTCTGGTCCTGGCTTGCTGGCCCAGGGCAGTCAATGGGGCTTGCTTGTTTTCCAAGGGGCATCAGCAAGGGTTGTGCTATCTACGGTATTTGTTACACGAATACCCAGTCAGCAGATTCCATAGAAAACCTGACATCATCACTTACAGTCATGTTCGGGCTTCGAATGGGGATTTAACATCCATGAGTTTTAAGGTTTCAGTATTGCACAATCACAAAAGCACATGATCTTTGTTTTGTTTTCAATCCCTCAAGCGTGGCCCTTTATCCCTCACACATGGCTTATTTCTCATCTGAGCTCTGTACATGACACTCATGTAGGAAAACCTTTAAATATATTTCTGTCTTCCAAAGCTGAGATGAGAAGCCAGTTCTTACAAACTTCCCTCCTTGACCAAGGCTACTAAATATTTGATAGACTGGGTGATTGATTAAGAATCCTAAACTCATGAATAATTTGCAAGGCCAAATATAACCAGTCTTCTAGTCCCATTAAAGAATAAATGGGAGTGCTAACAACTTGAACTAAGAAGAGAAGCCTTCTGATAGTACTCACTAGAGGTAGGATCGTTAGTAGGGTTGTTCTGGGAATTTAAATAAGCTAATACATATAAAACACTTACACACAGAAGTTAATATGACACATGAGCACTTGGCACATAGAATGAACTCGAAAAATGCTAGCTGCTATTAGAGCTCCTTGTCACCTTCGGCACCAACAGACCTTTTCTTTCAATAGGTGCAAACAGAAAACCAGCGCTCTCGTTGACCCGGTAGGTCTTCTTATCAAACTCTAATGTGGGCTCGTCCTCAGTGTCATTAATAATGACCTTCGCCTGGGTGAACTCCCCTAATAGGGCATATGCTGGCATGCTGAGCTCCACGGTGAAACTCTCCACGTTCTCAAACACGTCATCATCATTGATGACAATGGTGCAGGACTTGGTGTCCTCTCGCTCATCAAACTGCACCTGTCACAAAGCAAATAACAAGGAGTACTACTGTGCCTCAGATTTCCCTGCTCATCCCCCAAGAGCATCATTGGAAGACAGAGGACCCAAGGCTAATGGCAGAACACTGAACGAAATAGCTGGTCCTTCCACCTCAGCTTCCTGCTGTATCACCTGGAACCCATGGCTACCTCTTCCTATCCATCTACACGTTGGAGCTGATTTACTGCATAGGGACCGGGGGACGACGGCATCTCCTACTTTTTGGTGACTGTAGAAGAACATGTTGGTAACGATTTATATCTTGTTTTGTTAATTCATTTTGGGATAGCAAGAGTCATTTGATTGCTCAGGTCTCCTTCTATTTGTGGAAAGTTTACCTGGAAAGATCTTTGAACTTGGAGTGTGACATTCTGGCCTTAAGCTGCGTTAGTTTATGAATCTCTACAAATGTCAGATTCCTCATCGGCTAAATAACAATTTCACATACTTACATCATATATTTACTGGGAGGACTATAAGACACAATGTATTATGAAAGTGAGAAGTATATTTTAAAGCACTGAACAAAGGTGAAATGTTATCCTTATCACCATCCACACGCTGCTTACACAACCAAAACTGACACAGAATCCCAGTGTACTGAATGATGGAGCTCGAAGCCACAGAAAGTTACATTATGAACAAGCCAGACTGAATTTTAACTTTATATTTAACTAAATCCCTTGCCATTAAGATGGGCTAGATCTATAATGTAAATGAATTTAGCTTGTTACAAAACAGAGAAGTTATTTTATAGTCACACAATTGTGAACTTGCACGGATTTATTCTGGTTTTACTGTGCAAGATAAAGACAAAACCTTGAAAAGGAACCAGGGTTATGGATTTACCCAAAACTAAAAGGGTAGGAAACAGGCCTGGACCACACTTTGTATAAACTGAGAGAGCTAAAATGTGTAAAATAGTCATAAACCTCTAGGGACACACAAATCTAAAAAATACATAATTTTCATCAGCAGAAAATTACTATTCCATATCTAATCAAATAATCAAATTTAGTTTTACTAAGCTCCCCATTTGAAAACACTTCCAACTAAATGAAACACCCCTAGATCTCTATGTAGTTATAGAACCCACCACCTTTTGTCTTTCCTGAACAAACACCAGTACCAGCTCTTTCTCATTACTTTGCTAAAAGACTCCTGGGCTTATATGTTCTTTTCTAATTCCTCATTTAAATTTGACCTCAGATGAGCTAAAATGCCTCAAAGAGAGAGCCTGCTCCCCTTTACAGAGATTTATGCTGTCATAAGAATAGTGAAATTACTTTGCAAAAACATTGAAGAAATACCTAGTAAGTGCAGGCATTGTCCCCTGTGCCAAAGATGATAAACATGGGGTATCCTGCCATAGAGGAGCTGACTGTGTAAGTCCTCCTCCTTTCTCTTGTGTTCACTCTCTTCTCTCTGTCTGCTTCGTCCCCACCCCCATGCTGGTTCCCACTGCTCTGGTGGAGACCTGTCCAGGCACCTCCACTCCAGCGGCTCTCACGGGGACCTCAACACAGCTGTCCCTTCACGTCTCAGGCACCTCATGGTTGGCCTGTCCCAAGCACAGTCCAGACCAGCCCCTCTCCAAACCTGCTCCTGGGATGGTGTCCCCCTCCCGGCAAGGGGCGTCACCATCCGTCCCACTTCTGCCCACTTTCTAGTCTGCTGTGAAGTCCTATTGGTTCTCACTCATCTGCTCAATCCACCACTCGCCTCCAGCTTTGCTTCGCAACTGACATCATGCACCCATCATCTCTCACCCAGCCTATCCTGAGAGCCTCCTGACCATCCCCACCCTCTCTCTTCCCTTCCTTCAGTTAGAGAAGACGAGGGGAGAGAAAGGCCTTGGATCCTAAAGGCCCCGTGTAGAACACCACGCCTCGGAGACCGTTTTTGGTCATGAAGCAACATGTAAAGACTGAGAAGCTAAACAACCCAACTTCTGCAGTTAAAACTTCCCTGAGGAGTAGACAGACTGGGAAGAACTACGCCCTGTGGGAAGGGAAGGCAGGAAAGTCACTTGAGGAAGGGCGCCAACGGAAAAGGAGGTGGGATAAAAATTAGAGAGGGTGCCACACTTGCAACCAGCACGGGGCAGCTGTGGCTGGTGCCTGCTAGCGACCAACAGTCAGAGGCCCCCTTGCCCACCTACCTGGCCGGCGTACTCCACATAGTCCTGCTGTCCGCGTTGGGAGCCGACCCTGGAGTTGGAGCTGGCAGTGCCTTGCTCCGTACGACACAGGACGATGGCGTACTGGTTCAGGTTCCCACTCCTCTGCACTGTGACGCTGACAGATCCCGCTGTCTCACTGACATTGTAGCTAGAAACACACAAAAAGGCGGTCTCGGAGATCCTGGGCTGGGGCTGTGAAGAATCCCCTTGTGGAACGCCTGTCTCTTCGGGTTGACTGTGGTGTCAGGCACCTCAGAGAACAGGATGGTTGGCTTCTCGAAGAAGCTGGGTTATAAAGTGGGGAAAGGTGTTCACCTAGGACAGTCATGGCACCCAGGGACCAAGTATGCTGTGGAGGCAGAATGGTATCTGCCCCGTTTTCAGAGTGAGTTGAAAGAGATCCAGAAGACGGGCAGTGCGAGGAGCTATGCACTTTGCATTTCAAAACACAGAGGAATGATGATCTCTCCCTAGTGTGGTAGAGCAACTAGAACCATGGTTTCTTAGGAAAGACCGCGGCTTGGAAGGCAGCTGATGACTTCTCTCAGGTGGGAACCGACTGGACTGGAAGCGTGCAAGGGAGTCGGGGCGGTGGCAGGGACAAGAACATAAGAATGGGGCCTGGGAACAAAGGTGTTTAGACAAACAGAGCTTTGTGACACTGGGGAGTGACAAGGTGCTACAGACTAACCGCGTGCCCCAGATTCACATGTTGAAATCCTACCTCCAATGTGCTGATGTTTGGGAGGTGATTAGGTCATGAGGGTAGAGCCCTCCTGAATGGGATTGGTGCCCTGAGGCAAGAGGTCCCCCGGAGCTCCCTGGTCCTTTCACCACGTGGGGCACAAGGAGACGACAGCTGCCTCTGAACCAGGAAGAGGTTCCTCACTAGACACCGAATCTGTCAGCACCTTGAGCTAGGCCTTCCCAGCCTCCAGGACTATGAGGAACACATTTGTGCTGTTTATAAGCCATCTAGGCTGTGGCATTGTCAGAACAGCTCAAACAGACCAGGGCAGAGGGTTAACTTAGCTGCTGCTACGCGCTTGTATTGCTGCGGCAGGTAGAAGACAAACTGTCCATGAGCGAGTGGGGCCTGAGCTGGGCCTTGTGTTTCATCACTGAGGTTGAGTATTGGGCTGGGGCTTCTGTCTTATTGCGGTGAGGGCTGCCAGCAAAGTGCCTCTGACGGGTCAGTCCTCAGTGCCGGTTCCGGGACACTCTGTGCGAGTCAGCCCATTAAACGTTGGCGGGCTGTCCAGAAAAAGTGATCAGACTGTCCACTTATTTAATTGTTAAGGAGATACAAACAAGAGGGAAATAACAGCAAAATGTACGTGTGTGTGGGTGTACGTCTATATATGTATATATATACATCTATATATGTATACACATACACATACACACATACATACACACACACTGAATATAATATTCCACTAAATTCTCTGAGTCTGTGTGAATAAGAGTGGACAGCCCAGGTCTAGGGCACATGAAATCAAGTTTGTATGTTATCCCCCCACCTCCATTCCAATTTTCATCTGAATTATCATGAACTTACTTTCTTAGAATAGTGAGTCTCTGAAATGTAGACTTAAAGAATTATCTGCACCACAAAATTATAATCCTAGTTATAATGTGACCTATAAAATCAGTACTGCGTTTGCCTTCCTTTACCAAAACTGGTGTCTGTTTGCCTCTCAACACCACCCCCCCACCCCAAAGACTATAAAAAATCCTTAGAGAGTATCTATATTAAGCTATGAATCTGCCCAAAGGACATATAATCCTATGAACACCAAAGGAGCTAGGGGAGAACACAAGCCCGAGAACAGAGAATGTAGAGGGTACGGCCCAGAAGCTCTTATTATGGGTCAGTGACTACTTTCAGCCAGTATTGAATGTGTATTTTGTTCCTTATCAGTTATAGTGGATTACCTTTGAAAACTTGAAGCAAAAAACTTGTAGGAGACTCAGTACAGCACAATGGTTAAGATCATTGAGCTTCAGTCTTAGTTTTACTGCTTATTAGCTATATGACTTCGGGTAAATTAGTTAACCTCTCTCCGCCTCCATTGCTTTGTTCTTGCCGGGACAACAACAGCGCTGCTTTCACAATTGCAAGTATTAAACAAGACGATGTATGTCAAGTGCCCGGTACGTTTAGTATTAAAAAACATTTGGTGATATTAATTATTTTTATTATCATTATCTCCTGCCACTACCATCATCAGATGACCAGAGCAGACCCCCACGTATTTTGATCTGATCTCCTCTGCTTGCCTGATTCACTTCTCAAGAACAAACACCAATAACCCTTGTACCTGGTATATTTAAAGCTGATGAGGGACCACTGAACATGGAAGACATTGTCGCTGACCACATTGGGTTTACTGTCTTTCACCAGAAACTGAAAACTATCCATCATCTCACGGATCTTCTCCTCATGTAACACGTAACGGATCAATCCCAAGTTCACATCCTCTGTGAGAAAAAACACAGTATGAATTAACCCGGGGAGGGAAAGACAGCCTCATAGATTACATGCTGACATACCCAGCTTATTCTTCTAATGGGTTGTAGACAGAACTTAATTTCCCAGGAACCAAAAGGGATAGTAATCTTAAAAATAAGTAAGTGTGTCTGCCAGATTTTAAAATAAAACCCCATAGCTCCGTGTGACAAAGAGCTGTCTTTATCCAGGAAATACCGCGATGTTATTGTAAAATAAGAATCCCAGGATCATGGCAAAAAAGTACCTTAATGAGTCTCTCTGGAATTCTAAAGGCAAATCTGAGAGCTGGGAAAGAGTCTTTGACTCCATCCTTGGGCACACATGCTCACACTCACCCCTACTTCCTTCCAAATAAAGTTCTTTGAAGGTATGTGCTACTATGAGAAGCTGGGGTTGAATTAAAACAGCCCGTGCACATGGCACCGATTAAAGTTTCTCTTCTAGGAGAGAACACAAGACTGGGAACAGGGAGACGAGGGAAATACGGTGCATGAGTTGTAAGGGGAAGTTTTTGCAATGACTGTTCAAGGTCAGGTCCAACCGCAAAAGAAGCCTGGAAGAGTCTGACATGCTTATAAGACTACTAAAATACAGGGATGCCAGGGTGGCTCAGTCAGGTAAGCGGCTGCCTTCAGCTCAGGTCATGATCCCAGGATCCTGGGATCGAGTCCCGCATCAGGCTCCTTGCCCAGTGGGGAGCCTGTTCTCTCTCTGCCTCTGCCTGCACTTCTACCTGCTTGTGCATGTGCCCTCACTCTCTCTCTCTCTCTGAAAAATAAATAAATAAAATCTTAAAAAAAAAAAAAAGACTACTAAAATAAAAAATGGTCCACTTGATGTGATTCAAAATAGGAAAATATTTCTGTTGAGTAATATACCCCTGGTGATTTTAATTTCTTTGCTGAAGACTTAAGAAATAACCCATGACCCTTCAAGAATAAAATTAAGCCACAAAGGATCACAGACATTTCATAAAGCATGGTTGTTGTTTTTGTTCTTTGTTTTGAAAGAAAACCAAGCATGTTGCACACTTGAAACTAATTGAACATTGGTGTCAACCATGCTTCAATTAAGAAAAAGAAGAAGAAAACCAATCAACATCACAGGATCTTTCCACTAAATCTCGCCAAAACCTACAACAATCTGGGAACTGAACAGGCATGGTAAAGACAATTTTGTTTTCCTTTTGCCATAACTGAGAATATTAGGAAAAAGAAATCAGGAGAAGTAAAAATCCGAAGTTGGATGGTTAGACACTAAATGATCTATTTGTTTGCAAATAAGTGACTTGAGGGTAAGTAGCTAGAAGTGGTTGTGAGAAACGTCTGGGAGGCGGGGAAAGTTAGCAGCGATTTCTCCCATCTCTCGGCTCCCATCTCCGGTTCTCCTCACCCTGTGTGAAAGTGACAGCAGCTCTGTCGGGCTGTAGCTTGTTCTCCACGTAGCCGTGTTTGGGGCCCGCTGTGATCTCATAGACAAGATGCTGGTCCTCTGTGTCTGGGTCCATGGTCAGCAGTTCCTTCTTGGTGATCAAGTTGGTTGCCTGGAATAGAAACCCATTAAATTTAATTCCTGAGGTGGGAATAAAGCCAGACCAAGACCCTCTGACTCAGAATTAATTCAGTTCAACAATGATTTACTGAGTGCATTTACTGCTGGAAAACTCTGTCAGGATGGAAGAGACCACGAGGACTGCAGCCGTCCCAGCCTCTGTCCTTGAGATGTTCACACTTCATTGGAAAAGAAAGGCTCGTGAGCCGGGTAGTTGTGGCAAGAGCTGTAACGGGAGATACAAAGAGGACTGTATACTTTTGGGGATGGGAGAGATTAATTCCATCTGGATCGGAGGAGGGATTTGAGGTGGCGGGATTTGAGTTTGGTCTTTAAGGAAGGTTTGAACTTTGAAATAATGATAAAATACAGAGAATGTGGCCATGTTATAGCCAATCACAATTCTTGAAATTGAGTAAGATAAATATATGATACCCTGATATTGCCCAAATATACTGGCTAAATTGTAAGTCACTCACTCACTCATTCATTCAACAAACATTTAATAAGAGTAAAAGGGTCTGAAAGAAAAAGAGGGTGGTTAACAGTATTAAATAATAATAGATCTAGTAAGGGGCACCTGGGTGGCTCAGTGGGTTGAGCCTCTGCCTTCGGCTCAGGTCATACATAATCCCAGGGTCCTGGGATCGAGCCCCGCATCGGGCTCTCTGCTCAGCAGGGAGCCTGCTTCTCCCTTCTCTCTGCCTGCCTCTCTGCCTGCTTGTGATCTCTCTGTCAAATAAATAAAATATTTTTTAAAAAAATAATGGATCTAGTAAAATAAGCACAGCTGTGTGACCTTTGGACTTGGCAAAAGAAAGGTCATTATTGACCTTGGTTAAGAGTCATTGCAGTAGGATAGAAGGGAGAAGTAGAAAACCATCTAGAGAATGTTGCTAAGGGAATGGGATGGCTCTGAATATGAGGAAGAAAACCAAATAAGGGATGAGAGGAAGCTGTAGTAAGTTAAAAACCCCCAACCAGTTCTACAGAAAGCTACCGCATAGCCGCTGCTCATACAGACGACTGAGCAGCTCCACAGAGATGAGAAAATCCACATCCTAGAGGGAATGCCCCTCGCAAAAGGAAAATCAGTTCCTGAGCTGGAGAAGTATGTGTGTTTGGGCGAGGATGCGGATTTAATGCTTGACAGGTCACCCGGTAAGAATCGTGGCTTACCTTAAAATGAAAACACTGGGATTTAGGAGCAGAAAGGAATTTCTAAACTAGAAGTCCTCTGAGGATTAAAAAATGGCCACTTCTTTCCCATCTATGCCATATTGCAGATATTCCCCCAAACCCATCCTCCCCTTCTTCTGGTTAACAAACTTGGAGCTAAGCCAGCGAGAGACTCTATTCCCAGCCTCTGCGATGCAACGGACGGGGCCATAGGACCAAACTCTTTTCAGAACACTGAGCACAAGTGATGTGTCTGGCTTCCGGGTCACCGGCTTCAGCCAAAGTTCCCTGCCCTCTGCTTCTCCGTTCTCTTCTGCCCATGGGCGGGAATCCCTAGAACAGCTGAGGAGTGTGGACTGTGCTGTCAACAGCAACAACCCAGGGACGTCAGAATAAGACAGAAGGCATCTGGTCTCTGAAAGGTCATGCAGAGCCCGGGACTGCCCACTTACTGCCACTGCCTATGTGAGAGAAAAAATAAACTTCTACCGTGTTCGAACTTCTGTCTTTCGGGGGTCATTTTGTAAGAACATCTCAAACTATATACAATCCTAACCAAACTCATGGAGCTTGCCAGTCTTAGGAAAATCAGCTCCCTTGGGGGGGTAAACATGACTTAAACTGGGCTTCTATCTCCATGTGGTCACAAATAAGGACTTAGCCCACATTGGTTCACGTGAGTGTGGCAGATGGAAAGGCCTTACCTTGCCATCCATGTACTCCAGCCACTGGAGCCCCAGGTTGGTGACAATTCTAGGAGTGCCATCATCAACCGGGAGGATGTCTACTTGGAAATGCTGAGGTGCTGCTGTCTTAACCTATGGGGGAAGTCAAAAGAGAAAAGTCATCATTCAAGGACATCTGAAATATGTCATGTCCTACCACATACAAAGCTGGATCTCCTGACATCTGTTGGCACCTCAGAATGGGCAGCCCTGCCAGTGTCCATTGCTTATCACCCTTGGCATGAGGCACAAAGAACGCTGATTGATCAAGTGGGGACAATGTGAGAAGAAAAGTTGACTTTCCCATACCCACGCATTCCTTAGATGGGTTCAATATTGCCCTGAGGTGAAACAGCAAACAGTATTTTCCTTTCAATAACTCTTGTCCAAATTTTCAGGAGAGGCAGACTGACCTTACCATTCACATGCTAATGTCAAAATCTCCAGGTGGGATTCTGCCAGGTGTGAGAAGAAATTTCCTGGGAGGATATTTGCTTTCCTTTTTTTTTTTTTTTTTCTGCGAGACAACTGTCCATATGGGGGGGAGGGGCAGAGGAAAGCATTTGTGGGACCAGTGAAAAGAACCTGGTCTAGAATTCCATTCTCATGCAGACACATGTACACACACGCATGGCACGTATGTGGCGAGTCCGGCCCAGAACCTCTGCTTCTGGGACGATAAGGCACACGCCAGCGCGCAGGGCAGCGAGATGCTGGCTTCTCAGTCTTCGGCAACCCTCCTAAATAATTTCCATTTCAACAATAGTACAGTCCCTCTGGAGATCTACCACGACCTTTTATGTTTACCAGAGAGGAAGCCCTCTTGCTGATTCATCCTGAAATCTCTTCTCTTCTGAAAGTCAAATGAAGGGGGAGCAGCCACGGTTCAGAAGAGAAAAAATAAAAGCAACGAGCCACCAGGTGGTGAAGCAGTGCGGACACCAAAATGGCAGGAGATCCCAAGAGCCGTCTCACGGACACCTGGGCCAGCAGACAGTGACCTTTGTTGGGACTGTCGGTAGAGGATGCAGGGGATCTTGCTTCCAGAAAGGAATCATTCCCAGTCATCCTCCGGATAGGAAAGGACCGCACAGGACTGAGGGGCTGACCCTTCTGGTGTCCAGAAACACAGCAGGGCGGGAGCACTTGCTCAGCCACACTGCTTCTGAGCCAGACACGGACCTGCGAGTGCGGGTGGGTCCTCGGGCCCACCTTTCACCGCAGGCGCTGTTGTTGCCAGAGGAGGGCGAGGACCCCGGAGACCCGGCTGAGGAATGAAGCAGTGAGGAAAAACGGTGGCGATGAGGATGGAGAGGCCGCCTTCAAGTTTCTTCCGCACACCTGAACCTTGGAAGGGAGCGATTCTCTTAGGGAAGGAAAGCTCTGACAAAAACTGCAGGAACTCAAGGGAAAAACACCTTCACCTGTTTCACCAGCTGGTCCTAAAACGATGACAGCGGTGGTGACATATGACGGTATTACAGCCAGAGCCCTACGTTGCCTGTGTAAGGCATTGGGCCAAGTGCTCGATGAGCAGCAGAGGGACAGACGCCATCCCCATTTTACAGACATCTCAGCTAGTTAGAAAACCAGAATTTAAATCAGTGTCTTTCAGAGGCGAAAGCCATACTCCTAACCAGGTTGTTATTCATGAGATTGAAAAACTCTGGCTGGCTGAGGGCACACATAAAAGAGAAAGACAATCTACAATCCTTTGAGATTAGCTACTCGAATTAGATGAAAGAAAGATGAAGCGAGTCAACGGTGGGCCAAAGGGAAAAGAGAAATAATGACCGTCACAGGAACAATCACTATCACCCTTCGTCGTGTCCTTTGATCCTCAGACTAACTGAAGCTGGTGATTGGCGTCGTACCCATTTCACAGATGAAAAGCTGAGACTTGGAGAACTTAACCAACTTGCCCAGGCCCGATGAGAGACAGAATAAAAACAATGCTATTCTCGGCTAAGAAATGCCCCGTTCGGCTTCTGGACAACCTCCGGCACCCTCCGCCTCTCTCTCGGCCGTCTGCCCCTCACCTCTTTTCCTCCTTCCTCAACGATAAAGAAGGGGTTTGTCCCGTCCGCCACGGTGAAGGTGAACCGGTCGCTGAGGGAGTTGCTGCCATCGTGGCTGTAGCTAACCCGCTTCTGGTAGACGTCTTCCATGGTGAAGGTGGACGCGGGCCGGAAGCGCTGCCCGTTGGTGGTCCGCTCGATGCTGCCGTGCTGTGGGGGCTGCACGAGGCTGAACGTGACAGACTCGGCCTGTCAAGGGGGAGAAGGGGAGTTTGTAACAGAAACCAGATTCGTTTTGATTCGGAAGATTTATTTATTCATTTGACGGGTGGGGGAGGGGAAGAGGGAGAGAAGCCTCATGCAGACTCCCTGCTGAGCGTCGAGCCCAACCTAGGCCTCGATCCCACAGCTCCCGCGATCGTGACCCGAGCCAAAACCAAGAGTCGGACGCTTAACTGCCTGAGCCACCCAGGCGCCCCAAACCAGACTTGTGAGGGACGGCCCGCAGACAGCCAAGGGTGGTCAAACCCAAAGACGCTTATGAAGTAAGAATTGCATTTTCTTTAGACATATCAAAAATAAAAGTAAGGAGAGAAACTGTATTGGGTAACGTTCTGGTGCCTTCTGGGGTGAGACCAAGACATTTAAATTTGTCTTTTAGGGGTCATAGGGGAAAAACTGAATTTTTTTACCTCTACTAGGGTGATAGGAGCTAGACCTTTTATAACTACTCATTTCCTTCCCAACTCCCCCCCCAACACTTTTCCAAAATTCTCATATATAGAATCCCATATGCATCAAACAGAAGCTAATTCCCCATTTCTAATTGCAGCTTCGAGGGTGAGACACAGAAGGAAAATAAAAGATGCAGAAAACCACGCTCAAGCCTTCCCAGTGACTTGCCACCAACTTAGGATAAAATGCAAAGGCCTGATCTGGGCCAGCGAGGCCCTCCTCTGTGACCTGGTGGCAGGGTTCCTCTCTGGCTGCCTTCTTTCCTCCTGCTTGCTCCCCGCTACCAGCCTCTGCACTCCTTTGTTGTGACTGCAAGGCTCCAAGCACATTTGACCACAGGGCCTTTGTGCTCCTGGTTTTGCTCCGAGAGTAACTCAGATAACTGCATCGCTTGCTTCCACTTCATGTTATCTCTGCTCAGATATCAGCTCCTCAGAGACTTCTCTGACCATCCGTCTAAAACAACGCACCTCCAATCTCCATCTCCTTTACCTTGCTTTGTTTTTTAATTCACAGCCCTCATCATCTCCGACATGGTATTACATGTTCTTTCTTGACTGTTCCCCTAACCAAAGGCTGAAAACTCCCTAAGGCTGGAGCTGGGGTGTGTTCACAGCCCTGTCCTTAGCACCCGGAGCAGAGGCTGGCACGTACCAGGTGATCAGCATTTTTGAGAATAAGTGAAAGACCAAGTGCCGGCAAAGGGAAGGGGAAGAGAACTAACGGACAAGGCGATGGCCCTCTGTGAGAGCTAAGTCAGGCCAGAATGTTAGACTCTGAAAGCATCATGAGAATAAGAGTTTAGTCTCTACATGCCCTGTTTTACTGAATAAAGCCTACTTCTTGGAGGAAGTGCAAATCGCAATATTCCATTGTCATTCAGAGAAGTCTGAATGAAGGAGGTAAATGATAGGAAAAACAAATAGGTGCCCCGAACCCTTGTTTGCTTCAATAAGAAAGAATAAAAAACTGGCTGAAAGGTCATCTAATTTTCTATGAATCACGTAAAAAAAAAAAAAAAAAAAATCAGCATGTTAAGGGATTGTTCCCGGTAATCAGGGGAGAGAATGAATGTATCTAGGAGTTCAGAAAGGGTTTAAAAACAATTCGATCTCAAATATATTAGCTTCTCTTTTCCAGAAGGCCACAGTGTCCTCTGATTTCTAACCTCTCAAGAATGCTTGCACTAACCTCGCTACTCTGCCCTACCCCCGGGGACACAGAATCCCAGTGTGACAGATCAGCCCTCACTCAGCCGGGGAACCGAGGGGATTGCTTTTACCTCTGTGTCTGCATCCACCGCCTTGAGCTCAAACTCAGTGATGGTCTTCCTCACACCCTCCTGTACCCGCAGGCCCAGGTTCCGTACAACAGGGAGCGAATCGTCCACAGGGCGTATGGTGATATGGAAAGTCTGGGTCACCTAAATGGCAGAAAGTGCAGGTGGGACACCTGTCCCCGGCACCCACATAAGTAGAAGGTAGGTGCTCTCTCTCCACTATTTTTGGGTGAGAGCAGGGGAGAGTGAAGCTTGCAGAGTTGCTTTGCACACTCCCTTCAAAGAAGACTTCCGAATCAGAACCCGTTCCCCGAGGGAACGGAGTGCCTTGCCTACCTCACTAATGCCATCGGAGAGTATAAAGGTGAAGGCGTCGGAGTGTTTCTCGGTGTCGCTGGAGTGGACGTACTGAATGTTGCGTGAAGTCAGGTCAGCTTGAGTAAAGGAACGAATCTGGGTACCTAGCAGAAGGGGAAGCGAGAACCAGAGAAAGGATGTCCAAACGCTAGCCATACTTCTAATGCCAGAGAAATGCCACGCTCTCACGAGACGGAGCCCTTTGTATATCTTTTATAGCATTTAAGTGCTTCTCTGAGAACTTGTGCTAGAGTCGTCTGTGTATCTTCTTCCCTACCACAGCATATGTTCCGTGGGAGCACGTGTTAACTTAATTATCTGGCTTCTGCTATGCGCCAAGCCAACAGCAGGTGCTCAATAAATGTTCCTCTCCTTTCTCTGGGGGTTTATGTATGCAGGTCAAATCTGTGAAATGTAGAGCCATTGCCTTAGTTTCCAAACTCCTCTCTCCTAAGTTTTATATGCCCCCATGGCCTCATAGTCCTTTTTGGAAACCTGTCCTAATTTTTAATATTGTGTGATGGTTTTGCTTTCGAACACTGGAGTCTTGGGCTTGGCTACACATAAGCTTTTCTCTGTGACTGGTGAGCCTGGCATCCATGACTTCATTGGATATTCTGCAAGGTCCCTTTCATCTCTCTGGTCTATGATTTCCAGCTTCTCATATACCACCTGGGCCAGGCTGGCAGTTACAAAACCGTACTGCATGACTGTGGGGTTGGCGCGATCATTCTATCTCAACTCTTAAGTGACCTAAATAAAACACCAGCATCCTTTCATAGCATGAATAAAGAGGATGCACATTAAATTTTTTTCAGACTTGTTTTAAAAGTTAAAAAAAAAAAACTCAAGTGATTTTTAGATAATGCCAACATAGCTCACAAATGAGTAACATCTTATGTTTTTAAATGTCCCGCAACATTTAGCAAAACAGCCCAGAATTCTTGCTTCTGTCTTAGGGCTTCTGTGGCTCATGGTCTGTGCCAGCCAAGACTGAAACAAAACCACATCTCTTATTCCCTCAGTGCAAATTCCCTCTTTCCAATTCTGGGTGTTGGGTTATTAATCCATTGAATCTAGTCCTTTGGTTTGGTCCTGAAATTCATTTGCTGCTTCCTGGGACATATTACTTATTACTGTTAATCCTGGCAAAACCAGTTTGGCTTTTGAGTTACAAAACAAACAAACAGAGATTCCACTTTGACTGTTCTACATTTAACTGGGACATCAATATCACTGGCTTTATGTTTCTTAAAAAAAAAATCAACCCGCATGGTTTACATTTGCAACTCTCTTTATCATCTGAAATTTGTTACCTAGATACAACAGCCTTCTGAATATTGGGGCATTATTTTCTTTTGATGAGGAGGCATTTGATATTTCTGTGCTTACTACATCAGCTGTTGACAGGCAAAAAATACGGCCCCCTGTCTTAACGCTTTGTCTTGTGGATCTAGACAGAAATCCATACATTCTTTAAAAATTTAATAACTTCAGACTGTCTGCACTGAGAAGTTTAAATCTCTTTCCCTGCTGTGAATCTATCCCCACAGCTCATGGAGAAATACTTGTCTGGATTCTCACAGTCAACTGGTCACCCACTTCCCTGTTCCCTTTATACGCATTGTTAGTCTGGGAGTGATTAAGAAACGTGATAGATTTTTCCTTCTTGGAAAGCAAGGTTTGGAATTGATCTTTTCTTAACATTTCTTATCGAGAAGAAATTGACATATAATAAATTGCACATACTTAAAGTGCACAATTTCATGAGCTTTGGCACATCCGTGAAACCATCACCTTAATCAGCATAGTGAACGTATCCATCACCCCCCAAATTTCCCGACACTCTATAATTCTTCCATTCTTCCCTTCCTTGTCCCCTACCCTATCCCAAAGCAACAAAACAATTATTTTCTGTAACTACAGATTGGCTGGATTTTTTGTAATTATTTTCAAATTAGAATCATAGAATATATACTATTTTATGCATGCTTTCACTTAACGTAATTATTTTGAGTTTTACCCATATTGCAGCATGCCTGAATAATTTTTTTCTTTTTTATTGCCGAATAGTATTCGATCATATGGTTGTGTCATACAACCAATGTGTCAAACAAACAACGTGTTTTTTTCTCCACTCACCTGTTGTTGGACATTTAGGTCATTCCTAGTTTTGTGCTACTGCAAATAAAGCGGCTATCATCATTTGTGCCCAAGTCTTGGTATGGGCATAAGTTTTTATTCTTGGATAAATCTCTAAGAGTGGAATGGTGGGACTATATGTTGGGTACCTGCTCTACTTTCTAGGAAACTGCAAGCTAAGTGGGTTTTTAAAACTATTTTATAAATATAGATTTTATATTTTTTATAAATACAAATATAAATTTTTAATAATTTTTATAAATTTAAAGTTTATATTTTTATAAATATATATACATATAATTTTTATATTTTATAAATATAAATTTATAAATTTTTATAAATATAAATTTTATAAATATATATTTTAAATATAAAATGTATATTTATATTTATATATAAATATTTGATATTTATAATTAAATATTAAATATTTATAATAAATAATATAATAAAATTATATAAAATAAAATAATATAAGAATAAATAGAATATTTATAATAAATATAATTATATTTTATAAAATTATATAAAATTTATATGAATATATATTTATATAAATATTTATAACATATTATAAATATTTACTATAAATATTTATAACATATTATAAATATTTATTATAAATATTTATATATAAATATACATTTTATATTTATAAAATATTTTTCTATTTTTCTATTTCCACTAGGAGCATATGAGAGCTCTAGGCTTGATCTTCCCAGTTCAACCTAGCCAACACTGAGCACCTACCATGTGAGGAACACTGTTTCAGGCTTGCTTATACCTACTGAGTTTTCTCTTTTAACTGTTCTGGGAGGTCAAGGTTGGCATATTACCTCCATTTTTCTATATTATGACACGAGTAAAATTAGAAAAGCAGTGTGACCTACTCAAGGTCTCACACAGCGAGTACAAGGGCACCACCAGGGTGAAACTCAAGGTTGTCCAGCTCCAAAGTTAATGCTTGCCAGGAATACTTTCTGTACAACTCATCTAACCTTTTCAGGCTGGGCAAGGAGCCTCTTGGATTTTACTTCTATCCTTTAATTTTTTTTTTTTTTCAATATAAGAGTAACACATGCCTATTAAAGAGAACGTGAAAAACGCAGAAATGTGGTAAAGAATCCCAAAAGCCACTCATGGATCCACCCTGAAATATCACCATCGTAATATTTTTAATTGAATCATTTCTTCTAGAATACTTTTTTGGCTGTAGCATTTTTCTTGTCTGAAGTACTGATTTTGATGAGGTATTTAATATGAACACTTAAGTGATGTCCCTAACTTCGTGCCAGAGGGTAACGAGGGCCATGGCATCTACAACAGAAGCTTCAAGAGGGCAGGACTTCTGTTGTTTCTTCACCCCTGGGCACCTACAACAGCGCCTGGCACACAGTAGGTGCTCACAACATGCTTGGTGAATGAACCCAGTTGATCGCTCTCTAAGAGGTCCCACTGAGCACAGATTCTCCATCTCTGCAAACTTAAAAAAATATTCGAGCCTTTGCTAATTGGGTATTGGAAGACTTAAGCTGCTCAGCACCGAGATGGCGTTTCTGATAACACGTTGTCCCTCCTGCCTGTCCGGGCGGGTCGCTACCGTTTGAAACATGCTGGAGGACTTTCGTCGCTTGGAGGACGCTCTCCGTTACGAGCCGCTGGCTGAGCTCTGAGTCCGGCCGTACCGCGGAGCCGCCCATCGACCCTGTCCGTTTTCCAGCTCCCCCGGAGGGCCAGCCCGTTGCAGAAAGCTCAGTCCGGCTCAGGGAAGCGTGCACGGAGGCCGCCTCCTGAAGGAACTGCCTTCCTAGCAGGACGTGAGGCGACTGCCTTGGCCTTCCTGCTCTCTGCAGAGCCGGGGACGGCGCCATGCACGCGGCCCGCGGCCCGGCGCAGGCTCAGGCGGTGGGAGACCCTCACTCTTCTGCTCCAGCTTTTGTTCAAAGCCTCCTGGTGAGGGACGAATTGTGCCGTTCGTCCCCCCATTTCCCCCTTTCATACACTGCAGTCCCGCCCCTCAGTACCTCACGCTGTGACCTTACTTGGAAACAGGATCATCGCTTATGCACGTGGTTAAGACGTGGTCACTGAACTGGGCCCCAACCCAATCTGAAGAGCGTCCCTAGAAGAGGGGAGAGTTTGTCACATGCGGACAGGGACAGGGAGTGCGCCCCACGAGTGCGAAGACGGTCCGCTCTAAGAAGCCAAGGAGAGGCCTGGGACAGGTTCTCCCTCACGGCCCTCAGGGGGGATCTCGACGCTGCGGACAGCGTGACCTCCGACGTCCAGCCCCGGATCCGTGGGACAACACGTGTCCTCTGTTAGGTAGCCCAGTCCGTGGCACCGTGTCGCGGGAGTCTCAGCCCACTCGTATCTCTCTGCTCCTGGGGAGAACCCAAAGGTGTCTCCTCTTCCGGTTGGTGTCACCATCTGAGAGAGGCCGAGGAACGCCTCTGAGGCGTCCTTCCTGACTCACCCCCACGCCTCTCTCAGGCGGACCTCGCCACCGTCCTGTCATGCTGTGTCTTGTCGCGGAGGCACGTGTGCGCGTGTCCATCTGCGCGTGTCCCTCTCCCCAAACAAACCCTCTCCCGCAGGAGCCGCTCAGCGAGTGTTCGGGTTGCTGAGACCCGGGGTCGTGCCGGAGCGCGCTCTCCTCCTCCCTGACTTTGACACACAACTTCTCCCCGTTAGCTAAGCCACCGGATGCCAGGTGGGGTGTCCCACCCCAGCCACCTCGCGGCGGCGTCTGACCACCCTCTTGCCCGGGGCTGATACGCGATCCGCCGCGATCCTCCTAACACAGACACCGGCATGGGCTCCCCTGGCCTTTGTCCCTTATCGCCGGCTGGGAAATGACAACAGTCACAGGAGTCACTTGGACCCGAGATGGGAGCCTCATCTTGGGGTTCACTGAGCCATTTAGGCCATCGGGGCCCCCACCTCTGGATTTTTCTGTGAGAGAAAATTAACTTCTTGTGCAAGACACTGCAGCTTGGGTCTCTTTGCTTCAGAGGCTTAGCTCTATCCTAATAATGTAACTTCTTACTCCGATGCCACGAGAAAAAAACGGCCCTCAGAGTCCCTGACGTGAGGCTGTGGCCCCGCAACCTTGACAAGGGCACACACGGCGCCGCAGAGGCAGCAGGCCCGGGTGTGTCTTCCACACAGTTTGCACAGGCATGTGGCGCCCTGCATCTCCTCGGGGGAGGCAAACGGGATCTGCACGCCTTCCCCGTCTGTCTGACAGGAACAACCGTCCGACCCACGGACTGAGACAGACGTGAACGGGTCCACTTCAGAGCCGCCCCGTGAGAGGGTATGTGAGGCCTGTGGAAGCCGACACAGCCGAGAGGCCCCAACCGGTCAGACACAAGACAGGCCTGAAGTCCGCTCGCTCCTCCGGGAAAGCACCGGCCGCCCCCCCACCCCCGGCTCCCGCGGACCCTCCTCACCCACTGAGGCGAAGGGGGAGGCGCGGGGTCCCTCCTCTGAGCTGCGCCCGCTGCCTTAGGAAAGGGATGCGAGGGGTCACTGTGCATTTCCTCTGAAGGGACACTTTTCACAACTAAAAACAATCAAGTTCATGACTATGTTCTCACTTAGGGCAGACGGGGAAGGGGAGAATTCTGGCCAAAGGAAGGACAGAAAGGACGCGGAACGGGCTTGGCGGGGCAGGAGGGGCAGAGAGCGGGTTCCATCCGCAGTGGGAAGGGTCCGCGAGAGGACAGGGGAGGGGACGGCCTCCTCGGATCTGGCCACAGAGCGTGACCGGAAGGGGGGCTTCAGAAAACCTGGCGGGGGCGTGAGCCGGGGGGGCGGTGGGGAAGTCCGGCCTGGTGGCGAAGGGCAGGTGCCGGGTAGTGTCCCGGGGAGGGGGAGCGCTCCCGTTATTTTTGGAGGCGCCTTCCCAAGAGAAGGGAGAAGTGTGGCCCCCACGAGAGTCTCTCCCTAGGCAGCCCCGGACTGGTCTCGGCAGCCCGAATCCAAGCCCAGGGAAGGCTGAGATTGTAAAACCGAACAGGAGTAAGGGAGGCGGCCTCGCGCTGGAGCCTGCCACAGCCCCCGGCCGAAGACGAGTGCGGCGGGGAGGCACCCGCAGCCGGGCCGACAGTGCCTTGCTGGGGGCTCCGTGCTTTCGAGCTGCAGAGCGTAGGTGCAGCTGCCCCGCACAGCAGCCACGGGTCTGGCCTTTCATCTTGCCGAGATACAATCAGCAGCCTGACGGGATTCTGGCAGAAGCAATGAGCTCATGAATTAGTTATCGAATATCTTCTGCAGCCAAGGTCTTAGGAGTGCTGATGTGCGTTCTTCTCCCAGAACTTCAGGACGAAGTGTTGGCTTCCTGTGCACCAGGGATCTCGGCCGATCTCTCCGACCTTCCCCACACCCGCCACCAGACACTCACAACACCTCCCGGTCCGCCAGCATCCTCACGGTCACCGCGGTCTGCCCCGTCACCTCCTCTGCCAGGCTACCCTCCGCCCCTCAAAGCCCGCCTCCCCACAGAGGCCCTCCCATTCGCCCTCTCACTCGCTGGTCTCTCTGCCTCTGGAATGGAAGGTGCCAGGCAGATCCCACCTCGGGTGTTAAACCCACGATCCCTCTGACTGCAACTCCCTTTCCTTCTAACGGCAGCGTGGCGGGGCCCAGAGTCTCCTCAGACGTCTGGTCAAACGTCACCTTGTAACAGGGAGTTCTCCCCTCACCCCCTTGCTCCCTGCACCCTGGAATGCTCTTATTTCTCCCCCAAAATACGCGTAGCCATTGATACCCAATCTATCTGTCTTGTTTGCTCATGGTCTGACCCCCGATATTAGAGAGAGCAGAAGCCCGGTGAGTACGTCCCCTATTCTGTTACTCCCCCGGCTGAATGAAGGAAGGGTCTGGAACCTGAAATCCAAAGGATGCAAACCACCGGTGCCTCTACGGTGTAGGAAACAAAGACAACTCCACCTTTAGACGGCTCATCCGGCAAGTGTCTCCCAAGCCTCAGGTCCATTCGGCGGCCACGTTTTACAGGTTCTGCCCCCCAAATCCTTCCCTCCCTCCCACTCTCCACCAACTGCTACTGACTGAACATAGTTTACTGGGCGCTGGGTACGATCTCTCACGTGGTTCTCGTCTTCCCATCCCCACGACCGCCCCTCCAGGGGAAGCTTTACTACCTCCTACTGGGCCAGATGCGAGACGTCTGACCCATTGTCACTGCTCCCCTCGCTTTCTTCCTGTCCATCTGCTAGCACTGGATCAACGTCACTCTCCTTCCCTGCTCAGAATTCTGCAGTGACTCTCCACACCTGCTGAGTTACGTAAGGATCCCTCATCCCAGCTTTGAAAACCGCGTAAGATCTCCGTCTACCCATGGGCCGCATCTACTCCTATTTCAGAATATAAGCTTCAGCTAAACCTGCCCACTCACTATTTTTTGAATGTGCCCACGTGCCATTCCCATCTTTGAAAGTAACACCATTTCTGGCTGCTCAAACTTTGCTTCCAAGGGCCAATTTTTTTTTAAAGATTTTATTTATTTGTCAGAGAGAGAGAAAGAGAGAGAGAGCACAAGCAGGGGGAGCAGCAGGCAGAGGGAGAAGCAGGCTCTCCACTGAGCAAGGAGCCCAATGTGGGACTCGAACCCCGGACCGCGGGACAATGACCCAAGCCGAAGGCAGACGCTTAACCGACTGAGCCACCCGGGCACCCTGTAAGGGGACTTTTAAACACCACCACTGTGCATCTTCCTACCTAACACAGCCTCTCCCATTTTTGAACTTCTAGGACACCAGGTTTACACAGTTCTGAAAATACTTGCTGTATTCTGTCCTCATCAGTGGTTATGGGCAGAGGTTCCTGTCTCGTCCAACAGAGCACACTGGAGGGTGAGGGACCTCCTCTATCTTTTTTTGCCGCCTCAGCAGAAGCTCAAGTAGAATCTTGCCCAACACACATGCTCACTGGCTATTTCCTGAATTACATTTTTTAAACGTGGTGCGTCATAACTGTGCCAAGTGCTCAGACGTTAGAAGAATGGTTTTGCAGTGTTCGCCCTAAAAGAACTGACCATCTGGTCATGGTGAGAAGACTGCTAACATAAAGTTGTAATTGTCTGTTCAACTTCGAGCAAGGAATTATTGAGCATCTACTGTGTGCCAAGTATGATACAAAGCAGTACATAATGGTCAAAATCAACAAGGCAAAAATAAATATTAACCAAGGCAGGTTCTAGGTGTGTGTGGCTTACCCCCAACACTTACAAATCCCACCTTTTGGTTGGACGAAGCAAGAGAGGACAGGCTCACCTGGTGAGGCGGCATGTTCCAGGTGGCCCAGCTCGGGCTGTCTCGTGATGGTATAGACCAGGTCTGTCGGCATACTCTCCTGGTCAGTGGCAGAGAGCTGCAGAGCGGTGATTTTCTCCGCTGAGTTCTCATCCAAGACCAGCCCTTTGTTGGTGGTGATGACTGGTGGGGAATTGTCTTCTGAAAATGTCAGAAACAGTGATTGGAAAGGGGATCCTTTCAGCCTCCTTTCTTCAGTTCCGGGCCTGGGGCCCAGGAGTAAAATCAGAATAACCCTTGGACCTGTCCCTCAAAGAGAGCCCCAAGGAGCCAGAGCTTCTCGCTACAGAGAGGATAGGGTTCCAGAGTCCCACGGAGCTGGGTAACAAGGTGAGCACAGTGTACACTCTATGACCTCATACCTTCTGGAATATTTTTAGAAACCCAATGCCCCCTTACCCAAAACGCTGATGGAAAATGACTGGCCCATCAGCGTGTTGCCTTCTCCATCAACCACATCAAATTTAAAAGTGAAGCTCCCGCCAGATTCTCCTTTCCTGTGTCTGTATTCCACTTGGCCTGGAAAAAAGGACAAGATAATGAAGATTCACGATCAGTGCTTTCTGCTCTTATTTCTGAAGCGGGAAGTGGGGATCTAATCGGTATTCTCACCAATGACGCCATTAACACCTTCCTCTCTTGGACATTGCTTTAGACATTTTAATCTGAAGTTTTCAATTCCTCCCTTTCCCTTCCCACTCTTGACTTCCTCCTCATCAAAAACACTCTCATAATGAAATCAGCCCAAGCACCACCGTTCATGGAGGCTCAGCTTTTGGGAAAGACTCGAAGGAAGTAACCACATGGAAAATGTGCGGCGATGGCACCCGCATCATGGGCCAGATACCCACGTCGTGCAGCCCATATTCTCCCAGAGCGCCTCACTCCCACCTCCCAGGGCAGCCTTAGGTCATTTCTGAAACAACACTGAATACAGCTCCAACCAGCAAGTTAACGGATACATTCTATACACTCGTCACAAAGATCCATGGGGAGAAGCATGAACCCGACATTTTTGTTCAGCCCCCGCATCACGTCCAGGTACCTCACAATGTAAATGTAACCAAACATCTAGGGGGAGGTACCCAGTCTCATTCTTACAAAGAGACACCGAGGCCAAGAATAATTAAGGAACTATTACCCCGTGGTCCACTCCAGGCCCTTCGGTAAAGTACAGACAGGCCCAATGAGAATTCGGCTGTGACCCATCTGAGTGTCAGTGCATGGACAAAACCTTTACTTCTGCTCCTCAGGGCCGTGTTTCCATCTCCAAATGGAATTGCACATTGTCCCATGACTTTGGGTTACTTTTTTTCCCCCCACGATGTAACCTTCCCCCTCCTTTTTTACTCCTGAAAGAACTGTAGAGTAACGCTGGAGCATTTAACATTTATGCTTCTACGTTACATCAGCATTTCCTGGAGGAGGGATGAGCTATGTCATCTCCCCCGGGCGGCTCCGATTTACGCCCTTCCATTTTGCTTAGTTCATTAACTTGTGCTCTTTGGGGAGCTGAGGAGAGATATAAATTGCTCACCTAAGGCAGGCATAATTTCCACCTTAATCCATCCCAATTCACTTCCTTTTCCTTTTCTCTCTCACACACACTTTTTAGCATCATAGCAAGTCAAAATTATTTTTTTCCCTCTATAATAGCCCCAAATTTCATCAATGCTATGTCAAAGCATGAACACATTTTAGCCAAGAAGGACAGTCTCTTTTTTTTTTTTTTAAACAAAAATTGGAGGAGACAAGAAAGAATAAATGAAACTATAACCAGCTCTCATTCAAAACAAAGAGTGCAGTTTACTGCCGCAAGCCACCAGGCATTTAACTCCCATTTGCTACCGTGGGTGGACTCTGAGTCCGGGCAGGTGCAAGGGAGCCAGCTGACCTTGGCTGATGTCGGCCTGGGTGAAACTCCGGACGGGGCCTCTCACGGAGATTTGTTCGGTGTTGTCATTCTTCACCATCTGCAGGCTCCCCGCGCCAGGATCCTCCTTCATTATGTACATCACCTGGCGGTCGTCCGAATCAGTATCTGTCACTCTCAGATGCTGCTCTGTGATGCGTGCTACAGACCCTGGAAGAGAGTGGGAGACAGGAGGTCATTGTCCATCACTGTCAAGTGATTTCAGGAGACCAAATGATCACACGTTGCCTCGGTTTAAGTGAGTACTGGGTGCTTGCACTTCTCCAATTCCAGCTGCATACATTTTAATTTCCCTAAGTGAAACAATCCCAACTTCCCAATTTGTTAATCCTCCCTTGGGTTTAGATCTGAGCCCTTCTCTCTCCTGATCCATTTCACTCTCCCTGTGCTGTGCTCACTCTACTCCTGGGACCTAGCAGTTACCCCTTTCTAGACTGATGTATCAACTCCTACATCTTTGGTGAAACCTTCTTGGACCTAACTTATTTACCGTCTTGAGGTTCATTAAATCATAAGCAACAGATTTACATAAACTTATAAATGCATCTTGTTGCCACCTCAAACCAAATAGTTAAAATCAACGTTTACAAGATTATAAAACAGGGGGCTCTGAGTGCTGGGCCCTGGAAGGCTATGAAGGTTGCTGGGGATGGTGGCGAGACATGAGCAAGTGGTGAACACTTCTTCTCAGGGCCTTGCCCCTTGCTTTCCTGTCCAGCTCATATTAAAAATAGTAAATTCAGGTGAAGTAGATGCTTGTCATTCATGTGTAATACATCCTAGTTGTTTGGCTGAGCCCTGGGCCTCCTGTGCGTTCTTGCTGGTAATGCCAATGATGCAAGACCGAACTATTCTTTCCCCAGGCCATTCTCAGCAAGCAGCCCCGAGGGATGAGGTGATAATCTTCCTCTGGGACAAAGATCAGACTTGCTTATTGTTACTGTAACACGGGGAGTCCCCCCAAGCTCAGCGTTCTTCTTCTGTAACGCCTCCCACTGCTCGTGAAGGCATCCCTCCGGGCCTTCCGCATCGTCTCCACCAGTCTTGGAGTGCCAAGGGAAACGATACAAAGTTGCTGATGGCAATGCTGTCCATCGTGCAGTGAGTAACAAAGTATGTGGTCTCTGACCCAGGAGCCTCTTGTCTTCTATCAGCACCCATGAAACACCGACGGGCTGACTGACCGGCTTGTAAATAGGCGAGAGGGAAATCTCAGATCGATAAAGGGGACTTTTGGGAATCTGCCAATTTTCAGATACCATCATGCTGTATAGTTTTCACTACAAGACACATGTGAAACTAAGGGTAGATAAACACATAGGACCCCACTGGGATGCAGATGTTCTGGGGGGAAAAGGCACACTAAGTGACTCCCTACTGCCAACTGATTCAAGAATGACATGTCACGGGTCCTTCAAGTGCTGCTTATAGACAGGCAAACTTGCGAATCTTATACCCTAGGATACCACGTCTAGTGACTCTCAGTTATTTTTATAATCTCTTTCGTGTATGATGGCTTCTGAATTGCACCCCCCATGCTCCCTTGCCACTTGAAAGTAAGTGTTTTGAAAACTCTGTTGGATTTCTTCTGTTGCTGTTGCCGTTGTTTCCCATGGGGCTGGCTGGGCATTGGCCTGAGTAGCTGGATACACTGAGGTTTTGAGGGCCCTGGAAGTACTCTAAACTCTTCTCAATCTCTTCTCAAATTCACAGACAGTTACACAGAGATTTACATTAGTCACTCACAATGCTTGTGTCCCTAAAAGAATAGCTCTCCCCACCTCGGGTCTCTCTGACTTCTGAAGGCCTAGTTCAATACCCTCCCACAGAGCTAACCCGCGCCCTGACAAGGACGGAATGAATGGAACGGAGGGACTGCAGCTGCTCTCTCCCATTCCCGCAGTACCTGCTGAGAGTTGAAGGCCTCGGTTTACGGCCACATTGGGGGAGCCGCTTGTAGGCAGCTCTATGTATATCTCCATCCTCCCGGTGTCCATGTGGAGGCCATCCGTGAGGGAGAACCGGAACTCATCCACTGCCACCCCGGGGCCACCAGGCATGTACCCGACCAGCCCGGCCAGCACATCCTGGTAGGTGAAGGAGGAGCCTTGAGTTAAAACCCTTCCATTTTCCAGAGGCTCAGAAGCAGTTTCCCTCCAGAGCAGATGGCCTGAAGAAGAGAGTAAAGAAAAACAAAGAAACAAAAGTAGAATACATATGGCACCAAAGAATGGCCCGATTTTGTCAGCTAGCATGAGCCTGGGTAGACTGTCCAGCACCTCAGAGGCTCTTGGTGACACACACACATAAATGACCAATGACTGAGAATTTTCTATAGAGGCACAGGGGGCTGATCTGTGGCCTCATCTACAAATAAAGAAGATAAGATCCAACTTTTCCTGTTCAAAAATCTCTTAAGGAGACACAATTCATGTGGTAATACAGTGGCTTAGAAATCAAGTCTCCCTCTATGAACTCAAACTCGCTGCATTAACTACACCTTATTTTCCCCACCTGCAAAGTGCAAAGAGCACGCTTCTGCTGCTTTCCTTCTAGGGCACCTGGGAGGGGAGAAGGGACTGTGTTTTGAATTCCTTTTAAATTCAGAAGGACACTAGACATCTTTGGGTGGGAGCATATTTTTCTGTTTTCAAGGGTCATGTGTATCATGATGGGACAGTTAAAGTGCTTCATTAAAGAAAGCAAAAGTGAAGGAAGATAAAATGCATTGACCAACAGACTCTTCTATTAACCTTCCATCGACAGTGAAACTTCATCTTTAAAAGACCACGGGGGTTAGGATACACTAAGGTACCACCTGGGAGATGAAAGTTCCAGAGCTTTGGCTAATACCAGAGGGACGGCACTTAGAAAAGAAGTAGGTGAAAGATTCCCATGGTGGTTTTTACCTCTGGTTTAATCAGGAAAAGTGCTTTCTTTGCAAAAGGATCAAGTTCATAAAGACATCCAGCTCACCTCTAACCTGATGTAAACACCTTGTGCAATTAGTAACAAGGGGGCCGCACTGTTCCTTGCACGAGGTGGCCCAGGACCATCCAGCAATGCAGCCTGCTATGAGAATAGAACTCTAAACCTGTCTTGCCCGAGGTTATATAGGAGAGCAAGAAAACAGCTGAAATTGAATTTCCGAGACACCAATTACCTGGGATTCAGACTTTTTAGAGCCACTGGTGTCCACGGTGACCCCAAAGAATATTGGCTAGCTGTGAATCTGATTATACTCTGATGCAAAGAATGGGCTATGCACAGGAAAAGCAGAGGAAAAACCAACAGAAATCTGTGCTTATTCTAAAATCCTAACAGCCCTCTCGATTAAGAAGCTTGCCATGCAGTTGGTCCTACCGTGGTCAGGCTTTTTTGTCAATACAAAAACCAGCTCATTATCTGGAGTGTCCAGGTCCTGCAGGCTCAGGGAAGAATTGCTTATCACCACTCCCGAGCTCAGCTGCACGCCGAGGGGCCGCAAGGTCATCCTGGGAGGCTCGTCGTTCTTCCTCTGATGAAAGCATAAAATATCAGGTCTCACGCGGATATTGGTTTAAGAAAGAAAATGCACCTTAGTCAGTGAAAGCACCATTGTTACATCAACTTTCACTCTCAAAATAGTATTTAATGGTCACCATCTTCAATTCTCCGTCAAAATGGTTTGTTTGAAAGAAGAGCAAGTCACACCAGCAAAATGTCCCCTTGAAAAGTAACGGACGTTCTACAGAAATCTTCAAGATATTTTCCACGGGGACAGTGATCGTATTTTTTGGACCAAAAATCTGGACATGTGGTTAGAGAAGTATGAGTATATTTTGAGGATAAAAGAGCACATTGTTTGAAATCAAAACTGTCCTAGAAAACCCGAAGAGTATCAGAGTACTGTAGGACGACACCATATTTAAAGGTGTGAGTTCCTAAAACTGTCTCCCTGACCCCATGCCAGCCCCTCTGTACCACCTCGGAAGGTGTCCTTTCCTAGGAGAGAGGGTATTCCATTGTGAGTTTTACCTTTTCTCTCTCTGTCTCACCGGGCTGGGAGAGCAAGCTCTCCAGTTGCTCAAGTGAGAATAAATACAGCATCAAGGAACAGGTTTCTTTGATGTTACAATTTAACAAATACATGCATCAAAAATGTAAGAAAAGGCAAGTATGCATGTGACTAAATACAATAGTTTCAGGGGATAATAGGTATATGTTGGTTTTCAGCTAAATATGAGACTGACACTGTTTCTCTGTCTGACCCTCACAAACCGTTTTCACACAGAATGAACACATTTTACCCCGAAGTGGAAATTCAGATTTCCAAATCAGACCCTCTCCAAATGCTAGCCTTAATTCTACAAGTGTCCTCAAGGTCAGGATTGTATTTTTAAGTTGACCTTGAAAACTGAAGGTTAAATGCGATCTTGTTTTTGAGCTCCTGGAAGGCTAGCTAATGCTGGGACATTTTTGTCAGAGGCCCCCTGTTCCAACTTCGAAATCTTTACCTCAATGGTGATATTGATGCTGTGGACTTCTGAGCGACTGTGTCCATCACTTACATAAAAACTAAAAACGTCATGCGTTGGCTCAATGCTTTCATGAACGCTCTGAAAGTAATAAATGTAGTTTTCCAGGACATCTTGAATAGGGAATGACGCCTCTGGGTCACTGGTAGTTCCAGGGCCAAAACGATCACCTGCGTCAACATCAAGACAGAACTTTTACCTTGATCCACCCGTGCTTGCTTACTAGGCTGAACTAGAAAACATGACAGCATTATCAACAAAAGACAAAATACGCTAGAGGATAAAAATGGAGGATGGAAAGAACAGAAGGCTCGAAATGAAAGACTCAGGGTTAAATTCCAGTTTCCCTACTATTTCTCATCCACACATGGTTTGCCTGCCCGGCTGTTTCGACAGGGAACCAAATGAGATAAGATGCATGAAAGCACTCAGAACGTTACTGTATATAGCAAGAATTAAAAAAAAGAATCCGCGGTTGTTTTGTTAGAAATCTGTGATAAAATCAGTTCTCAGACGAGTAACAACACAAAGGCAAGGTGCCACCTTAAGCTTTGGTCAGTTTCAAAAGCACGCTGCCTCGCACACCAGGCAAGAGGAAGCCACCTCCTCCTCCTCCTTCTTTTTTTTTTTTAAGATTTTATTTACTTATTTGACCGAGAGAGCAAAGCGAGAGAGGGAACACGGGCAGGTGGAGAGGGGGAGGGAGAAGCAGGTTCCTGCTGAGCAGGGAGCCCAATGCAGGCCTTGATCCCAGGAGCCTGGGATCATGATCTGAGCCGAAGGCAGGAGCTAAACAAATGAGCCACCCAGGCACCCCAGGAATCCTCCTCTATGTAAGAAAAGATTAACTGTATACTTTATCTAAGAGATACCTCAATAAGCGTGTTTTCATTTGACCTCAGTTCCTTAAGGAAACCTCCCCATGGGTCAGAGCTCAGCCCCTGGGATGGCACACCAGGGCTGCTGCGATGCTCCGGGACCATCCACAGCCGTCCAAGCACTGAGATGCTCAAGTTCCATGCCGAACTCTGGACATCGAGCTGGTTCTGGTTAACTCTTCTTTTCATCCCAACCCCAGCCAAACCCGGAAAAGGCCAAGGGGAAGAGTAAACACTGTCTAAATGATGGATGGCTTGTCTCTTCCTTGGTCTGAGTCTCTCTAATTGATTGATTTTAAGTTGTTACCACATTTTCCTCTAAAGAGAGGAAAAAGAGAAACCCTGTATCTTCAAACATCCCCTGGATACATATCAACAAAGAAAAGTGTGTATAGAATTTCTGAAAGCAACAAAGCTTTCTCTTTGTCTCTTCCATGGCTCTTTGCAAAGATCAGGTCATAAATCAAAAAGCCACTGACTTCCTGAATTGTAGACAGTGTCATTTTTTTGGTTAACCTTCCAACAGAAAGGCTAGGACTGAAAAAGTGTTACTTACAATTTGTTTGAAATTAGAACTCAGGACAAGGGTTTTTTCTTCGACATGAACTGTGTTAGATTTTACCCAACGGATTTGGTTCCTCTTGATACCAGGAGCATGGAGGGGTCTGAGCGACCTGTGACCGGATAGTCCCTAGCACACACGGTCGGTGTTTCCAGGACAAAGTGCTGTCATTCCTTCGAATTTTTATTTTCCCTTTACACTGACCGATAGCAAATATGAAAAATGTGGCTTGTTTACTTGGGTTAATAAACTAAATGATGCCTAAAAATATACTCCCAGAGAGAAATGTCTCACTTCCTGTCATTGGAAAATAAGCCATTCAACAAGTGAATGTCACTGAAGCTTTAAGCACCAGCCTTCCCAGTTTCAAAACTGCACCTTCTGCTTTTTCACGTAAATCGTTCTCATTAATGTGCTTCCTCACCTCCTTCAGCAGAGTACACTGTGTGCAAATTAAATCGTTCCTGATGCACGCAGGCTCTCATCCCGAGCATCTACTACCGTGTGGTGCGGGAACCAGTGACGCACGCCCTCGAGGAGGTCAAGGTGGGTCTGTTCCATTTGCGTTGGTCCTAACTGACTGTAGAGCCCGTGCTGTTCCTTTCCCGCCCCACAACACATGACTCCGCTTCTTCCTGGCTTGCTGGTAAGAAGTTAAAGCTGCTCCTTGTAATGTTTCCAAAAGGCGTCCTGCGGCTGCTGGGCTCTGAATCCGGAGAGCTGGCTTCATGCACACAAAACAGGCTTGGGCTCAACACCCCGGAGAGACGGCTGGAGCCCTTAAAGTGTCTTGGGATCATTATCTGCACCCCCCGCCCCGCCCACAGCCGCCTGAACACCTTTTTCTTACTCCCAGGCTCATACTGACGCAGAGCAGTGATTCTCCAAATGCGGTCCCCGGGCCGGCAGCTGTGGCATCGCCTATGAGCTGGGGGGAAACGCAAACGCATGGGCCCCCCCAGCCTCTGCTCAGGACACTGTGTTTTCACGAGCCTCCAGCTAAGTCGTGTACACACGAAAGTCTGAGAATCACTGTTTAGAGAGCTGGAGCTTGGCAGAAATTTGACTTCTAGGCCAGGGAAATACTCCCCTGTAGGCAGTCCAGGTTAATGCCAAAGCACATTAGGGAGACTTTAAAAAAAAACAAAACCCTGGAGAGAAAAGAGGTAGAGACGGGAGGCAATGACCCTTTCAGGTCTCCCCACCTTTGTCCATGCCCTTCCCTCTGCCCGCCGTGAGACTGTCGCTAACCCTTCCCCTTGCAACAGCCATTCCCGCCTTCTCAGACGGAATCCACTGTTTTGCGCTGTGTACCTCCTCAGGGTTTGGCCCTTTCCCTGTGCCAGTGTGTCTGGTTTCCTGCCATTTACCGATCTTCCTCTCTGCCTCCCATTCAAGGCAGGGGCTGTGTCTCCCTCACCTTCACATCCTTTCTCTCTGGCACAAACGTGTTGAGACAGATCTAAGTCGGCGATAAATCCGAGTGCCCGCAATGAAAGGCAATATTGGGGGAAGGACCCGCAGTTTTCTGGAGGAAAATGAGGCCGCCGCTAAATGGATTTCAGGGGACAAGGCTCCAACCCCAGGCCCCATGCTGGCGCCAGACACGCTCAGTCCAGGGCCTCTCAGCGGGAGCTGCTACTGACACGCCAATTAGAGCCACGCACCAGCCCTCGGAGATCTCACCGCAGAGGCAGCCGCCGGTGACCTGCGGGGACCTGTCTCAACTGCCAGTCACTGCGGTCTCGGAGGACCGAGGACAGGACACGCCGTCTCGCCTCTCCTTCCCTGTGACACGCAGCAAGGGCAGCGGGTGTCCAGGGCAGATGGTGGAGCGGGGGGATGTTGAGGGGTCACAGACGGACAAGCAGGCCGTCCAATCCATGTCACAGCCTTCAAAGGAGCTGAACCCGGAGCAGGGGCTCAGGTGAGCCACGGCCGCCTCGCAGCGGAGGACAGGCATCCTTATGTCCTTGACCCTGGGCTCTGAGGCCATGGGTCCTTCCTCTCCCCGTTGCTGGCGCGCCTGACCCCCACGCCGCTGCCTTGTCTCGCAGCCCTGAGGGGCCTCCTACATCTTACCCGATCTTCTCCTTTGTTCGGCTTCTTACCTGTCCCCCCGCCCCCCGGGGTCTGCGGCCACAGGAAGGTAGGGGTGTCTGTTCCTTTTGTGTCCCGTTACACCCCTGTGCCTGGCACGAAGGAAATGCTCAGGAGATTCTGAGTGACTGAACCTCCCTCCCTCCTGTTTCTTGGAAATGGATCTGTTCCTCCTTAGCCCCCACGTCCAGCTTGGACTGGAGGCAGCTGCTCCCCCCACCCTCCCTTGTCGCCAGGTCTGGAGCCACTCTGCCGCCCGGCCACCGCCTACCTGTGCCCGCGTTCTCGATGCAGCCGAATCGGGGCAGAGCGCTCAGCTTAATGACGGCGTCGCCCCGAAGGCTGTCCTGGTCGTCGGCGGCGAAGAAGTGGTGGAAGGAGAGTGGGGCTCGCCCTCCCTCGTCGACCTACGAAAGAAGAGATTGTGCAGTCCCCGGCGGCCAGAACTGCCGTGAAAAGAGCCGGATCGGAAAGCGCTGCCTGGGGGCACCTCCCAGCACCGGCTCCGCGGCCTCGAGCAGGCAAAGCCTCTGCAGACGGGATGAAGAACGGGCCGCGGCCGGCCGGCTCTCGCTCCGCGCCTCGCAGAGCGGCATTCCGACACCGGCTCCTGTGTCTCCCTTCAGAGCGGTGCGGCCTCCGTGATGGATCTGGTTATGAAGCGGCTCTGGCCCGTTCTAACCCCCACCTGAGCACAGCTGCGCGGCGGCGCGGCTGCCTTGCTTCCCTCCCGTCGTTCCAAAGCCTGCAGCCCGGGGATGACCCGTCCGTCCTCCCTCGCGGACCGGGAGGGTGACTGTCCGGCAGGCGCCCCCACCCAGCAGGAAAGTCCCGCTCATCCCCTTAGGGTACATACTGATAGGGGTGCAGGAGGAAAGGGCTTCCTCCCCACACCTCAAAGTGAGTGCACACCTTAAGGTTAAGGAGGAAAATGAATCCATCTTAGTAAAAGCACTTGCTGGACCTAACTTTTTTCCTTTAGGGCCCTGCTTTGTATGCTAACCCCGTGACCTGATCCTGGTGCTTCTGCTGGCCTGTTGGGGCGCCTGAGCCTTTCCACTCTGAACAATGCTTGGCCAGATGTAGGAAGATCTACGAGGTACAGAGTGGAAGCTCACCCTGACTCTGGCGATGGAGAAGAGCCAAATGGGTTCCCAGGGTATGCAATATCAGAACCATTTGGAAACAAGGCAGTTTTACGGATTTTTAGTTGCTTGGCAAAACCAGAAAAACTCTTTGAGTTTTTGGCATGTGGTATGTACACGGAGCAGGACAAGGAGATTGAATTAACTTTTATGGAATCCCTACCATGTGTTGGTATGTACTGGGGGATTTAAATGGTATTTTGTTAACTATCAGAGCAATCCTTTAGGTAACAGGAATAGTTACAGTTTAAAGATGAAATTGGGGCCAAGAAAGATTATATCGTTGGTCCAGGGTCACTCAGCTAGTAAGTAACAGAAGCAGCACTTGAACTCAGGTCTGGGTAACCTCATGAATGGGACATATCTTATGGCCCCCTCCCTCCCCACCCCTAGGAACTATAAATAACCTTTACAGTAATAAATATTAGCTTAAAAAGTGACTTGGGGACATTGTCCATCTCCCCATATTTTAGTTCTCAGAAGCATTAGATTTTTAACTCCTGAAAGATATATTCCATTTATAATTTTACTTCCATTACTATATGTACCTAGTATAGTATACAAAATACTACACACACTTAGCATTTATGTCTAGCACATGAATTTTTTTTTTACTAGATAATGTAAATACAATTATTTGATCTTCTGCATATATTTTCTCATACTTTCTGAAAAACTCCTGATTGAGTTTGCGTATCTTGACACAATTGCCTAGACACTTTGGAGGAAGAACTTGGCAGCCGATTCAGGTAGAAATCCTGTATTTACATCAGAACGGATTTCATCTCTGCACAGCACTCACTGCCCATTGCTCTGAGAACCATTTACCGTGATGAGGTCAGCAAACGCAAGGACTGGGGGCGGCTTCTGAACAGGCGTGATCATGATGGTAAACATCTGATCGTCCAGACGGTTGCGGTCCATATCGGAGACAGAGAAATGGAAGCCATCAGTAACCAGACCGTCAGTCTCAGACACAGCGGAGTACCTGCAGAGGGGAGGGAGAGCAGAATCAAATGAATGAGCTCCGGGACAAGCCACGTAAGACGGCTGCATCTCTGTTTAAAAATGCGGCAATATAATCTTTCAAGGGACTACCGGTCAGTTGCTTAAATATTTTAATACAATTTTTACAAACTCTGTCAAGTAATACAAAGTGGTTGTATACCTAATTTTCTGGTTGTTGACATCTTCCATTGTGAAGTTGGAGACCTCGGAGAGCTCTTCTACCTCAGGTCCGGACACTCTTAAGAGAGCACCATACGTGGGCAGGGAACTTAACTGAATCCAGATCTCTGAGTCGGGGGAAGAATCATCCTAATTGGGCAAATATGAGGCAAGACATGAACACACCCTTGTAGGAATAAATATGTCCAGTAGGTAAAGATCATGCTTACTTCTCTGCCAGTTGAAAAGGTCTCTTTCCATTTGTGATAAAGCAATGCCATTTCAAAGTGCATGAAAATCCCATTATTTATTCTTTGTAAAGTACCTCTTGGATAATGTCTTCTTTCAAGAGTAGCTCAAGATAACAGTGAGGAAATGCACTTTAGGCATGGGGCATAAAACAAAGAGATGCCCTATTGTTCCTATAGGAGCCTCACAGGGTTGCGCTTTTATGACCTGTATCTAGTGAAGAACAAAACGTGGTGGGCGACGTAAGTCACCGTCCCATAAACACAGTGGTAGGCTTCCTTCAGAGTGTCAAAGGATGGTTTGCTTTTTAGAAACCGGTAAAATTCCATTATAACATGTAATACAATGAGAAAGAAAATTCTGTGAAAGAGAAAGAAGGGAAGTCATTTAGCTTAGCCAGTGACTCACTTTAAGTAATATTTGACATGGGAAAAATTTTAGCGTAACAGAAGAACTCAGGAAATCTTACGGATTTCATTTCATTGGGATGATGGAACCCACAGATACTCAACCCCCGAGATGACCAATCTTAACAAAGACAATTTTCCTTTCCTTCTGCATGGCTTATTAAGAAATAAAATTGGCTTTCTGTGTTTCTCCACGGACAACAGCTGTATGTCTTAATGAACAATTTCCTCTGTCTTTAAGGATATTGTGGAAATATCTAGGAGGCTGGCAACATCTTCTTGGAGAGCTTCCCTGAGTCATTCGTCTTTTAGAGCAGTTGGCTGTGAACATGGGGGCACTCTGCACTTTGCCACGGCAACAATGGAAAGAAATATTGCATTCCAAGTACCAAGTGTACTTTGAAATGCAAATTTCCAAGCTTTCGTTGTAGAGCAGGTTGAAGTATGGATCAGAAATGTGCTCGGCATAGAGACCGGGTGATCTGGGGCAGAGGATGTTAGTCAGTTCTTGCTTCTACCTCTAGGGGCCTTTTTAAATCGACAGGTCAGAGCCTCACTGCAAGGTCACAGAATTTTCCATATCTCCTTACATCACCTGACACAATTAAGGGAGGAAACTCAAATTCATCAAAGCTGCAAAACTTCAGGAAATTTCCCCTAAATTAATACTTTAGAAGGTTCTCTATTTTTCCACATGGGTTATCAAATACAATAGGCAGACTTCCAACAGACTATTTCCTAGAATTACTGTGAGTACCCTCTGAGAGAGAATTTTTAAAAGACAGCTAAGAGTTCTAAGGTATTATCTTGTGAGATGGTGATGAATTATAAGGACAGAGCTCCTGCCTCTTGATTAGAATGAATAGCTTCAAAATTCCACATTGGCAAATTTGGCAAAAAAAAAAAAAATGCTTATTTCAATGTCAGGCAGATTTATTTTAATGTTTCAAATCTCAAATGACTGCTTGGTTTGAAAAAGTGTGAAATCAGCTAGGTTTTTTCTTCTGAAAATGCTAGCAAAATTTCAGAAAATAATTATTAATTATTTTTATAATTAAAGAAAATTACTACTTTGCCAATCTAAGATATTATGGATACATAAAATCTCATAAGAATGTAGACTTGTTCTCCTGTAATTTTCCTACCTTCTTACCCCTTTTGTATTGATTTTTTCATTTTCTTTTTATTGCTCATACATCTATTGACCCACCATTCAACACAAGGACTAGAACACTGGTAATTAACAATCATGTGTGTGTTCCTCCTTTACCCTGTCCTTGGGCCTCCCATCACCCTGGGTTTTATTTCTCATTTCCTTGAAATTCCTTGATATTATTTGATATATTACTACAAAGTATTTTTAGTTTTTCAAAAACTTATGAAAAAAGAGTTAGTTAGACTTTCCCCTTGTGGGACTTACTTTCCTTTTTACTCAGTAGTGGACCGCTGAGATCCATTGATATCATTATACGCAGCAAACGGTTCATCTCTATATCCCACAGAGGAAGTGCATCACAGGTTATATTACCCTGTCGATGGGCATTTGTCTCGATTCAGTATTTTGGCTACTACAAACACTGTTGCTCTGAATTTTCTTGGGCATGTCGTTTGGTATACATATGAAACTTTCTCCTGGAGAGGAATCTAGGGGTGGAATGGTGAGGGTATATGACTGCTCTTCCTCACAGGAAAATGCCAAATTCTTTCCCAAAGTGGTTTGTTAAGTTGACTCTTCCATCAGCAAAGAACCTTCTGCAGATCCGTCTCCTCTCCAACATCTGGTACTTTCAGACTTTTAAATTTCTGCCACTTGAATTGGTATGATATGGTATGTAGTCTTTTTTGCTTCCCTTGATGCCTAAAAAAGTGATTATCTCTTTTTATATTTATTGACCCTATGGATTTCTCTTCTGAAATTCCTATTACTGTCTCTTGTTCATTCTTCTCCTGGGTTATTTTTTCTTCTTGATCTTCAGACATTTTTTATATTTTCTTTGTTGTTTTTGGTTATATGTATTTCAAATATCTGTTTCCAATTTGTAACTTGTCTGTTTTTTGTATTTCTGCTGTGTTTGGGGGAATAGAAATTTAATTTTAATATAGTCAAGTTTATCAATCTTTTCTTTACAGTTAGCACTTTTTGTTTCTTGTTTAAAAAATTCTCTCCTTTCCCAATATCTAAAAATATTTACCTATTTGCCACAAAGAATTATAGAGTTTCAGTGCTTGATTTGCCTGAAGTTAATCTCTGTGTACAGTGTGAGGGAGAACTACAAGTTCTTTTTTTATCCACATGAACAACCATTTTGCACAGGTCTAGATTTTAAATAGTTCCTCCCGTTTCCACTGATCAGGCTTTCTCAGTCTGTTTTACATCACAGTTCTGTGCGTCGGTCTGTTTCTGGACTCTGTCTATTGTATTCCTGGGCTAACTGCTTTAAACAGTGCAGGTGTATAATCACTCCTCATACCTGATAGGGCAAGCCCCTGCTCTCCTATCATTCTTTTGCACAATTTTGGCCCTTCGTTCTTTATTGTAAAATCAGCTTATTAAGATCCATAAAAAGTGCACTGGGCATTTGACTGGAACTCAATGGACTGGAAAGATCAGTGTGCAGGAGAACTGATACCTTTTTGCCACTAAATCTTCCTGCTCATGCATAGGGCATGTCTTATTGTTTATTGAGTGTTTTAAATGTTTGTCAATTAAGTAAGTCTTATAACATTCCCCGTAGAAGTCCTGTCTAGCTTTTGTTAGATTTAGTCAAACAAACATGATTTTTATAATGCTTTTGTAAGCAGCAGCATCATTTTAGTTACATTTACTGGCTATTTTTTGCTTATGTCTAGCAATGCTATTGCTTTGTCTGTCTTCTATCTGACACCTTGTAAATGCTCCCTTTATTTCTAATACTTTGTCAAGACATTCTTTTGGATTTTCTTTACTTGTTCATTGTATCAGTTTTCCCTAGAAATTACACATCTTTTGTTACATTTATCCCTGGATATGTTTTATGTGATGCTATTAGAGATAGTATCATATTTTGAACTACTGTATTTCTGGCTGGTGCATAGAAATACCATTAGTTTTTTAAGATTAATCTTCTATCTTCTTCTTAAGTACCCTGGCAGGGGTTATTATGCTAGTAAGTGGTGAGCCTGTTTTAAAACTCATCCATTCTAACTACAAAACATCCCCCCACAACTTGTTTACCTGCAGTGCATAGCAAACTGTTAGGAAACCATCATTTAGAAACAAATCACACAGGATCCCACTTTTGCCTTTTGTCTTTCTTGACACCATGTCACCCTCCTGCAGTTAATAACACACTAATTAAAAACAGGCTCGCCTGCTCCTACGCTTTTATATTCTGTTCCATTTATGACCAGCATTTCAGATGGCTTTTCCAACCTTTCTGGATGTTCACTGCAAACTTACTAACTATGCATATCTGGAAAAATTTTCCCCATGACACTAAATACAAAATTTTTCTACAACCCTCAGAGAAAGTTAGTATATAACTTAGCTAAGTCTTTAAAATATGCTATGCTTTCAGCAGGCTCAAACAGTTCTTTTGGAGTCTTTCTGCTCTAGTGGGTAAATTCACATTCAATCAATTTCTGAAAATACATGTTCGGTTGCCAATGGGCTCGCATTTTGATATGCAGCTTATAATATGCAGTTAATGGGCAGGAACTGCTCCTGGAGAGCTATTTTGGCCTGTCAAACATTTTTCAAGCCTTGGTGATCTATTGATTAAATCTGTATTCATGCATTTTTATGAATTCATGGAGTTTCATAAGATTCAGAAGACCATAACCTATGGTAAAAATCACCTGTCAGTTAAAAAAAAAAACAAAAAAACCAAAGCTGTTCTGAAACTATACTAGACCCATGAGAAGAATCAGGGTGGAATGCAGTTTCCCATAATTTAAGAAAAGACAATTTGAGGGGAAAATCTGTGCTAAAGCAATTGAAGCAATTGTTCCCAGGCCAATGCTTTATCTCACATGCTACTATCCAGGACTAGAGTTACAGCTGGACTCTAGCCCAGAAAAGGATTACTTAAAACTATATAGTATAAAAAAACAAACAAACAAACAAACAAACAAACAAAAAAAACAACGAAAGAAAGGAAAAGCCCAGGTCATTGGTGGGAATTTTAACGTTGGTAAGGAAAAATTCAATACTAAGAATGATTACCATTCAAATAACCATCATTATTTTCAAGGTATTTGTCAGAACTATTATGTTTACATAGCGAATTTGTGTATGTTTACAACACACATAACTGAAAAATAAAATTAATTATCCTCATTATCCTTAGCTCCAGGAGAGAAGAGTGTAATTAACCAGGGTCACTTAGCAAGTTAGGGCCAGATGGAAAAAAAACCCTGGTGTCCCTCAAACTACCCTTGCTCCCCTAAATACAGGGCTTCTTTTGGGGCATGGGATGGAGCATGAGTCAGGCATCGTGCCTAGGAAGCCTGGCAGAGAGGTACTGCCAAAGGAATGTGCCAGCATTCTGTCTAGATCTGGCCCTGAGACCAAAGCTGGTGAAAGCGGGCTTCCTCTCAGTGGGCCATGAAATATTATTACTTATTAGTCATAAATCAGGTGTGTTCTTCTAAAGCGTTCTTTCCTCAAAATTGCCATTTGAAATACTATGGATGGAGCTTTAAAAAACGGGGACTCAGGCTTTTCCAGCATCGGCACTGCTTCCTGTCGGCCGTCACCCATCCCTACACAATCTCATTGTGTTTCCATCAAAGTTCCGCTCGTTCCCTTGTCTGCTCATGAGACGCAGGGAGCAGCCAGAATAAACAATGGAGTGGGGCTCTGGGAGGCTGAGAAGAAACTTCCTCGGACGGCCGCCTACCTGATGCCCTGAATCTTCAGCCGTGGCACTGCTCCCCAGTCAAGCCCAGGGAGAGGGTGCAGTGAACAAGAAGACACAGGGAAGAACTTACGACATAAGCGAGGTGTGACCTGCTGATTACGGCTGTGCTTTTACTGGCCACGGTGATGCTCAGAGAGGCACCAGCAGCCAGCTGAGGCCCCCGGTCCTCTGAGAGTGACACCTCCACTTTCACTTCCACAGTTGTCGCTGACATGCCATCTGTGACTGAGATCTCCATGCTGTCCTCCCGGGCAGAGGAGCCGTCGTGTAGGTACTGCAGAACATTTTTCTCAATATCTCCATATGTGAAGGTGTCACCTTCCGAGGGGAAGACAGATTGCAAAGCCAATTCCTTCTGGGAATAACGCTTTTCACGTATATAACACCTTTGTTCTCAGGATTTCAAAGTACATATAGGATCATATACTCTGGGAGTTGTAAGTTAATTAGCTCAACCACACACCCAGTGTAGGATTCCCTTTACGCCACTCTTCAAAGGGGGTTATTCAGCCTGTCCTTCAACACTTCTCAGGGTGGGAGGCTCACTGCTTTACAAGGCAGCTAACTAATCCCACGGGAGATAGCTTTGTTTAAGTTCTTAATCATACTGAGCTCAAATCTGCTTCTGTGAGATCCAGTCAGCATTTTTAGTTCTAGAGAATAAAGGTCAAGCCTCTACTCTTTAGGACAACTTAATCTTGGATCTAACCTTGACACTGAAAATTTTGAAAAAAGTTAAGAAAATAAATTATGGTTGATGGATCTGTAGTTTTAGTTGGGAGTATAAGGTTTTTCTAAATTCAAAAATACCTAAAAATTTAAAAACAGACTTAACGTTAGAAATCCAAACGTTGTAGGTCTGGAGTATGAATTTTTAACAGATTTCACAGGTGTGTGAAAAAAGTCTCAAGGTCATATAACTTTGGGAAAAACAGGTTTAAACAAAATTTAAAACTAATAATTTTTTGAACTGCAGGATTTATTAGAATTTTAGAATCTTCAATAGGGAAATATTAAAGCATTCCAAAGTTGTTTGGTCATGGAACCCTTTCTACAAGAAATGCCTCTTAGTGTCATGGGCCCCAAGGATTCCAGAGAGTATAACTGAATAATTGGTCTTCTTGGATGTTATATTCAACTCTACTTCCTGACAGATTATTGGTGTTATGAATGAGACTAAAGAATTTATTCATTTTCTGTATTTGCCTTCTAAGTCTTCTCTTTTGACACTGTGTTATTGTGATTTACTGGTGCTAGTGGTATTGTGCTTTATAAAAAGTAATAAAGCTAATATTTTATAAACATCTTTAGATAGTATATATTAGTTACACAGTATAGGTTAAATATAATGTTAAAGCAACTGGGTTCTGACTGGTAAAGCTCCTTAAGTAGTTCCCTTAGGATGCTAGAAATCTATTCTGATGATATTTCTTGTGTTCAGTAAATTTTTAAAAATCTGCCTTTGTGACTCCCAAATGCTTGTTGGTTGTTCTTCAAATTCTATCTAACTTCAAAGTCAAAGACTTGTTCCCCTCTCTCTGCAGGGATATTCAAAAGAATGCATGATTACATGACTATTAGGAATTATATAAAGGTTTTTGAGAAAGTACAGGTTGTTGAAATAAGCATATAGCATCCCAAAGTGAGTACTTTGAAAGAGATAATACTCACTTTGATGGGTATGGGCTAACTATTACACAATTAGATTGAGCTGTGTTCCTTGTGCTTCTTCATACTTTCTAAAACAGTCAACATGTATTATTTTTCTATAATTGAAGAAAGTACAAGAAATAGGACTTTGGAAAGCTGGTCCCATGATCTACCACAGTGTTACAGCACGAAGATACTACTTAAAAAATGTGTTTCCTTCTTTATGGATGAAGACACATGTCGTTTACACTGTCAGAGTTTCAGTGCTAAGGAGACTGTGAAAATTAACGTGGCAAACTAAGGCAGACAAATTCATCTCCATGACCTAACCACAGGAAAGTGGCACCTGATGCTTCGTATGAGGTGGTTCTAAATGCATTTACTCCAGATAAATCAGCCAATTTCAACCAATTTCACCCACAATTTGAGGCAACAGCTTCACTGTCTTGGCTTGTGGGTGCAGAGAAAGAAGTCCCAAATCTTTCAGCCAATGGACTAAGAACTAAAAATTGTTCCTTCGAAGTCTCTCCTCATTGTTTGTTCCACGGACTTGCTTTAATTCTTGTCTGAGACATAAAACTAGAGCAAGAAACCCTCCGAGCAGGCCAGTGACAGAGGAAGCAATTACCTGTGGCCATGGGCCCTTGGAGCTCGGCTGTGTACTTCAGAATCACACCATGCTCTGGAGGTTTCTGGAGCTCAAAGAGGAGTTCCTCAGGAGCAGTCTTGGTGTCTCTTATTACCAGCTGAAGTCCTGCAGTCAGGAGACAGGTCACTGTGAGAGGACGTGTACGTTCAAAATGGTATGTGTTGCCTACATTACAGCTACAGGGTGCTGGAAGCCACGCTGCAGGCAATCTGATGGTTGTAAGAAGGCACTGTTGACTTCCGGTCAACCACAGAAGAGTGAAAACTGATGATACAGTCAATTCCCAAATTGCAAGTTGTTAACTTACTTCCCAAAGTTAACTTGTAAGTAGGTAGTTCTGAATTAAGAACACCTTTCCATAAAAATGAGGGCACAGAAGCCGACATATAGGTCAGTCCTGACCGGCTGGGGTAGGTTTTCTTCCAGAAAAATGCTCCCAGAAACTGCTTTGGCTTTTCGTTATTTATTCCCTTCTTTTTCTGAATCCACAGAAGAGCCAAGTTGTCTTAACAATGGCTGCTAGGGGGGCGCCTGGGTGGCTCAGTGGGCTACGCCTCTGCCTTTGGCTCAGGTCATGATCCAGCGGGCTCCCTGCTCAGCAGGGAGTCTGCTTCCCTACCCCCGCCACCCCGCCTGCCTCTCTGCCTACTTGTGATCTCTGTTAAATACATAAACAAAATCTTAAAAAAAACAACAACAACAACAACAACGGCTGCTAGGGCCATCACAGAAGTGAGAAAGAACAGGGTGGTGTGGCCGTTGTCTTTGTGCATGAGACTTGTTTAGAAATTGGATGATAATTAATTTCAGGCCAATACTCAGGGGGAGAAACTGGATAAGAATCTGTAGAGCACAGCTAACAAACCTCACAACATCCACTGTTTGCTTTTAAAACTCACCGGGTGGAAGAATAAGGAAATTGCTAAAGAGTAAGTACACTGAGAGCTGAATAAAACCACGTACAAAATAACCAAGCCCAGAAGCTTCGCAGCTTCCGAAGGTTACTGTGATCTGTCATTTCTCCTGTTGCTCTCACCTTCTAGACAGAAAACAAGCGCAGCCACTGAGACTGCTCCCCTCCCTTCTCGTCTCTGCCGGAAAACACATTCTGTGTTGTGCCCCATCACTGAACACTGGCCTGGGAAGGGCTTATTTCCTTCTCTCTGGGCTGCTTCTATTTGCGTGGAAATGGGCAGAGGGAAGGACACAGGTGAGGAGGCATATCCCTTCGGGAAGAAGAGGTCACTCTTTCTTGGCAACCATCAAGAGGTTTAAACAGGGACTGCTGCTGAAATATGGTTCCATTCCCAGAGGCATGTTTCTTTTAGGCTCAGTTCCTACCTATAGCAGCGCTGCCTCCTGGGCTGACCTCAAGCAGGGGAGCTGTGACCCGGAATGCCGGCAGGTGCTGGTCAGCGGGAAGCAAATGAATGGTGAGGACCATCTCCGGACTTGTGTGGGCTCCATCTGAAACTGGAAAGGATAAACACACACGCACATTGACGTGTAGCCTGGTCACCAGCAGGTGCTTCCCAGGAGATTTTCAGATCACCTGGACACTTTGAAGTGATGCTCACAAATGGAAAATATAAGCAAGTAAGGAAGATCCTGTGAGCTCTCCTAACGAAGTTTTCTCTCCTGGATAATGAAAAGGCTAAAGGACCATAATAACAACGTCATTCTATAAAGCAAGCTCCACGACAAGGTGATACTGGTAAATGTTAGTGGAAAAGAAAGTAATACAAAATCTGCCCCCTTCGATGATGCCAGTAAAGACTTATTTATGAGGGGCACCTGGGTGGCTCAGTCAATCAAGCATCTGCCTTCAGCTCACGTCATGATCTCGGGGTTCCGGGATCCAGCCCCGCTTTGGGCTCCGGGCTCAGCAGAGAGTCTGCTTTCCCCTCTCCCTCTGTCACTCTCCCTGCTTGTGTTCTCTCTCTCTCTCTCTCTCTCTCTCAAATAAATAAATAAATAAAATCTAAAGATAAAATTAAAAGACTCTTATTTATGGAATTATTTTTTGATTAATTCTCCTCATGTCTTGGAAAAATATTTTCTTTCAAGAGATCTCGTTTAGAAATGACACGTCTGTCTCATGAGGAAAGAGCTTTTTAAAAAGGACAGAAAATACCCACGCAAGTATCTCAGAAGGCAATTATCGGGAAGCAAGCAGACCTATTTGGTTTTTACCTGATTGTCACACACATTGCAATAAACGGAAGATACTTTGTAAGTAGAACAATGACTTTAAGATTTTATTTCCCTGGATTATCTGACATCCAAGTGAACACCCGTCACCTGAGGGAAACGGAAGCAGAACTGTCTGGTGCTTGACTCTGATTCCCGCCTTCCTGGACCTTAAAGCACGGTCGAGTCTCTAAAGCCAGGTTTGGAAGAACATCTGTACCACCAGTTCACCAATGTGTTTATCGGTAGTGGCTACGGAGAAAACACTGCTGTTGATTGTTCTAAATGTGAACGCTGCCTGCATCTGGGCTGGTTTCCTTCGTCCCTTTCTTCTGGACTCAGCAGCCAGTCCGCCGGAGACTGACATCGACTTAAGCAAAGTAAGGGGCTGCTCAGCGGCTGCTAGTAATGATCCCACTTGGGCTTTAGATTTGTTTTTTCCCTGAGAACAGATCTAAAGGATATGGCTGGGTTTTTATAAGGTGCGCTCCATGTCGTAGAGTGGTCCAGAAATAGCCCTACCGAAGGAGGAGACATTCCCCCTGCGGATGAAGGTTTATGGCTCTGCTCATTTGGCCAAATATCATGACGGTTGCCCCTGCTTTGTTTATGCTCGACCTCCTCTCTGGAACATCAAAGACAGGAACAGACAATTCCTAATGTTTGGAGGCTTGGGGAACAAACACAGGAACTTTTCCACAAATTTCAGCAGATGCTGATTCTCTGAGGCTTCTGGGATCTAAGTTAAGGACACGTGCCTTAAATAAAAATCACTATTGTGAGGTATAATTTTACTTTTTGAAATGTTTTACATTGATTTCACTTTTAAGCGGGGGGAGAGCCTCAGGGAGCCTTCACCGTCCTTACTGCTACAGAAGAGGGAGGGAAAGGCCCGGAAACTTCAGAGTCTCGGTAATACCACAGCCAGCAGCGTGACCAACGCGTATCTTTCCCTCTGTGAGTAAATGGAAGAAAGCTATTTTCTGGCACATATTTTGTAACTAGAAAATATATCAACGGGGTGCGGAGTTTTGTAAACAAAAATAAGAACTTACAATCAAAATGTCAGCAATTATATGTCTAGCTGTCCCTTTAAGCAACGTTTCTGATTTCTCTGAGAAACAGTCAGTTTGCCTCTTTGGGTCAGAGGCCCCCTGCGAGCACCACTTGCCTCGTGTATTTCCCTTGCTCAGGGCGGCTCTGCAAGCGTCTGGGCTGGTCTGAAGCTGTCAGGTCAGGAACGGCAGCTTCCCTTCCTGTCTTAGCCGATCGGCCAAATGAGCTGTTCTTCCTCACTCTGGGTCAATGTCCGGGCTCCGGCTTGTTGCCACCTTAGCTCAGTATGTGCCCAATTTAACATTTTCTCTCACAAAACTCTGCTAAAGGGATGGCTTCCTACCAGTTTCCAAAAATGTTCTCCTTAAAAAAAGGGAAACTTTTATACCCTTCACAACAATGAACTTGAAATGGTTCATGGACCTACATGTAAAAGGCAAAACTATAAAACTCCTATAAGACAACAGAGGTGAAAATGAGATGACCTTGGGAAAGGTGATGCCTCTTTAGATAAAACACAAAAGACACGATGCATGAAAGAAATCACTGATAAACTGGACTTCATTAAAACGAAAAACTTTTACTCTATGAAAAGCAATGTCAAGTGTATGAAAGGAAAAACCATAAACTGGAAGAAAATATTTTCAAGACTCATCTGATACAGAATTGTTATTAAAAATGTACAAAGAACTCATAAAACCCAACAATAAAAAAAGAGCCCAATTAAAAAACAGGCCAAAGACCTTAACGGATATCTCACCAAGGAAAATACATGGATGGCAGATAAACACGTGAGAAGAAGCTCCTCACCATGTGTCAGCAGAGACACGGAAATTAAAACAATTTTAAGATGCCATTATGCACCAATTAAAATTGCCAAAATCTGGAACACTGACACCACCAAATGCTGGTGAGGATGTGGAGCGAAAGGAACTTACACACTGCCGGTGGGAATGCAAAGTGGTACAGCCCTTCTGGAAGACAGCTTGGCTCTTTTTTTTTTTAAAACAAAACTAAATATACTCTTACCATGTAATACAGCAATTGCACTCTTTGGTATTTACCCCAAGGATTTGAAAACTTAAGTCCATACAAAACCTGCGTACAGATGTTTCTAACAGCTTTAGTTACAATTGCTAAAGCTTGGAAGCATCTAAGATGTCCTTTAGTAGACAAATGGATGAAATAAACTGTGGTACTTCTTGACAATGGAGTGTCATTCAGCACTAAAAATAAATGAGCTACACAGCCACGGAGAGACACAGAAGACCCTTAAATGCATATTGCTAAGTGAACTAAGCCAATCTGAAAAGACCCCATACTGCGTGACTCTCACTCTGTGACCTTCTGGAAAAGACTAAACTATGGAAGACAGTAAAAAGAACAGTGGTTGCCAAAGGTGGGAAGTGGGTCTGGGAGATGAACAGGAGAACACAGAGGATTTCTAGGGCAGTGAAAATATGCTATAGGATATCACAATGATAGATACATGTCATTATTCACTGGCCAAAACCCACAGAATGTACAACACCAAGAATGAACCCTAGAGTAACTACAGGCCTTGGATGATTATGACATGTCAGTGTAGGGTCATCCTTAGTAAAAAATGTACCATTCTAGCAAGTGATGTTGACAAGGGAGAAATTATGCTATGCCTATGTATGTGTGGGGGCAGAGTGAATGGGGAATTCTCTGTACTTTCAATTTTTTTGTAAACCTAAAACTGCTCTAAAAAAATTCAATCTTTAGAACAATTTAAAAAAAAAATTCATTCAACAACAACAAAAGAAAGAAAGAAACCAACCAACCAACCTCAGGCAGAAATAAGATAAATTAATTTGAGGTCAGCCCAACATCTATTTCCTTTACCCTGTATAATAGGTTCCAGGGCCATTTAACTTACAGTCCTGGAGAAGGTAATAGTTAACACCTTCACCTATTCAAGCTTTCAGGTAAAAGTTGAGGTTTAGAAACCAAACAGGCACACTCTTATGATACTTGTTTTTCACAACCAACACACATACAGACCAGACTAAATAAAATATCCCATGTTCCATGTCAGAAACTTGTATTTAAGTCTTGGCTCTACTGTTAACCAGGACTGGAGATCTGGGCAGATTACTTACTCTAATGACCCTTCATTTTCCCAGTCTTAAAATGCTAAAAATAATACCTGTCCTTACAGTCTTATTATGAGGATTAAATGAGACAACTTATATTGCAAAGTGCTTTATAAAATGTAAAATACTATATAATCTGTTGTATATTATTACTGATTGTATGAATTATCTAGAAGATGATCACTGGAAATGAGCTGATATTGGGTTCACATCAATAATAATAAAACACTGGGGGCACCTGGGTGGATCAGTGTGTTAAAGGCTCTGCCTTTGGCTCGGGTCATGATCTCAGGGTCCTGGGATCGAGCCCCACATTGGGCTCTCTGCTCGGCAGGGAGCCTGCTTCCTCCTCTCTCTGTGCCTGCCTCTCTGCCTACTTGTGATCTCTGTCTGTCAAATAAATAAATAAAATCTTAAATAATAATAATAATAATAATGATAATAAAACAACACTGGATAAAGAAATAATAAGGCATCCAAATTGGAAGGGAAGAAATAAAACTGTCACCATTTGCAGATGACATGATATTATATACAGAAAACCCTAGATGCCACCAAACACTGTTAGAACTAATAAAAAAATTTAGTAAAGTTGTAGGATGCAAAAGCATACAAAAATCTCTTGCATTTCTATACCCCAATAATAAGCTCTTGGAGATGTTAAGAAAGTAATCCTATTTACAACTGCATCAAAAAGAATGAAATACCTAGGAGTAAATTTAAGGAGATAAAAGACCTGTGCTTGGAAGAAAGAACCTGAAGAAGACACAAATAAATATAAAGATATTCTACGCTCATGGATTAGAAGAGTTAATATTGTCAAAATGTCCATAACAACCAATGCAGTCTGCAGATTCTATACAATCCTGTCAAATTTCCAATGGCATTTTTCACAGAAATAGGACAAATAATTCTACTTTTGTATGAAACTACAAAAGACCTGGAAAAGACAAAGCAATCTTAAGAAAGAAGAATAAAGCTGGAGGCACATGCTCTCTCAAACTGTATTACAAAGCTGTAGTAATCAAAATAGCATAATATTACCATAAAAACAGATCAATAGAGATGAATAGAATAGAACAGAGAAGCCAGAAATAAACTTACATGCATATGGCCAATTGATTTATGACAAAGTAGCCAAGAAGATGCAATGGAGAAAGACAGTCTCTTCAATCCACAGTGTTGAGAAAACTCGACAGCCTCATGCAAATGAAGGAAATGGTACCATTATCTTATGCCACACACACAAAATAACTCAAAAGGGATAAATACTTGAATGTAAGACCTGAAACCATAAAAGTCCTGGAAGAAAACAAAGGCGGAAGCTCCTTAATATCAGCCTTGGGGATGAATTTTTTGGATTTGAAACCAAAAGCAAAAGCAACAAAAGCAAACAAACAAGTAGGACTACATCACACTAAAAAGCTTTTGCACAGCAAAGAAAACCATTGACAAAATGAAAAGCCAAACTACCAAGTGGGGGGAAATATCTGCAAATTATATATCTGAATGGTTAAAATCCAAAATATATAAAGAACTCATACAATCAGTAGCAAAACCCCCAAACTCTCCAATTAAAAAATGGGCAGAAGATCTGAATAGTAATTTTTCTAAAGAAGACATCCAGCTGGCCAACAGGTACATGAAAAGAAGCTCAACATCACTCATCATCAGGGAAACGCAAACCAAAACCACAATGAGGTATCACCTCACACCTGTTAGAACGACTCTACCAAAGGACAAGAAATAACATGTGTTGGCCAGGATATGGAGAAAAGAACACATGGGCACTGTTGGAAAAAATATAAACTAGTACAGCTTCTATAGAAACTAGTATGACATTTCCACAAAAAATTAAAAACAGAAATAGTGGGGTGCCTGGGTGGCTCAGTGGGTTGAGCCTCTGCCTTTGGCTCGGGTCGTGATATTGGGGTCCTGGGGTCGAGCCCTGTATCGGGCTCTCTGCTCAGCGAGGAGCCTGCTTCCCCCACCCCCTCGCCTGCCTCTCCGCCTACTTGTGATCTCTGTCAAATAAATAAAAAATCTTTAAGAAAAAAAACAAAAAACAAAAAACAAAACAGAAATAGTACATAATTCAGCAACTCTGCTTCTGGGTTATCCAAAGAAAATGAAAACACTTTGTGTGCCTGGGTGGCTCAGTCGGTTAAGTGTCTGCCTTCGGCTCAGGTCATGACCCGAGGATCCTGGGATCGAGTCCTGAGTTGGGCTCTCTGCTCAGTGGGAAGTCTGCTTCTCCCTCTCCCTCTGTCCTTTCTCCACCCCCTGCCAGTGCACGTGCTCTCTCTTTCTCTCAAATAAATAAAATCTTAAAAAAAGAATGAAAACACTAATTTGAAAAGATATACGTACTCCCATGTTTACTGAAGCATTATTGACAATAACCATGACGTGGAAGCAACCTAAGTGTCCACTGACAGATGAACAGATGATGAAAAGGTTGCGTACATATGCAATGAAATATCACTCAGTCATAAAAAAAGAAAATCTTGCCATTTGTAATAACATGGATGGACCCCGGGGGCGTGAAGCTAAATGAAACAGGTCAGACAGAAAAAGGCAAATACCATATGATCTCATTGATTTCTGGGCTCTAAAACAAACAAAACCAACCAACCAAACAAACAAATAAACCCAAGCTTAGAACTACAGAAAACAACAAAGAGGTGGGGTGGGATTGGCGGGGTGGGGGGGGCTCTGAAATGGCTGAAGGGAGCCAAAAGGTACAAACCTCTAGCTATGACTACGTCATAGGGGTGTAATGTACAGCATGGTAACTACAGCTAGTAATATAGTATTACATTAGGGAGACAGTAAATGCTGAAGTTACAAGAAAAATAATTTGTAACTATATATGGTGACTGATATTAACTAGACTTATCGTCATGATCATTTTGTAATACACCCAAATACTGAGTCACGATGCTGTACACCTGAAACTAACACGATGTTGTATTTCAACTTGTTACACGTCATGTGTCAACTGCATCTCAATTAAAAAGAAGCAATGACACAACAATGAAATTTACTGTTGATTCAAGTGTGATTCTAAATCCTCAGAGAAGGAAAGAAGGTCTGGGAGTTTGAGGGAGATGTCTTTTCTCTCCAACAAAAATTTATCCTACATGGCATAGAACAGGACCTACGGGTGGCTGATTCCAATGGAACAGTCAACCCCAACTAAACAGCAGCTTAGGGTGTCGTCTACAGCCAACCATCCTCACACCAGACCTAAAACAAGAAAGCTTGTCCCTCTGCTGTTCTACAGAGATGCCAGATCTGACCACACGTCTGCTCGCTGGCATGGAGCTCCTACGGCGTGGGGAACCAAAGCTGGGATGCCGGGGTCTTCCATACACAGCTTTCATCTCCCTCCAGGAGCAAAGCAATCAAGGAAAGGCTCAGTTCAAGACACGCTACACCATGATCCATTAGCTGAGTGTCACTTGGAATGGCAGGACCAGTCATTGTTCTGGGAGCTTTATATATGCATGATTATTAGTTATCATCCCCACTGTTGAGCGAGCATGCAGGCATAGAGAGGTTAAGAAGCATTCTCAGAGCAACTGACCCCCGGGGCAGTCTGCATCCAGAGGCTAAGAGCTTAACCACTATCACCTCTTTTTAATAGATACTGGGACTGTTTGAAACGGGACCTAACCCTAATCTTTGGAATACTGGATGGATAATTTTCTTCTATGAATACAGACTCAAGCTATTACTATTTAACTAGTCATGAGACTATTCCAGAAAAACTTGTCTTATATAACTTTTAAGCAGTTCTTAGAAAATAGTAATGACGAAAGAAAAAAAAGTAAGGACTAATAAGGCAAGGAAAAATCCCATTTTCTAACAAAATTACTATTAAAATCGTCACCTGTGAAGTGAAATTTCACTGATTCTGGGAGACCTGAAACAGAAAAGAGAAAATCAATACATTGGTGTGCATTTGGGGGTCAGAAATAGATGGAGAAGGTACGAAATATGGGGCAGAGGTTAGAAAAGTAAAGCACGTTTTAACCTAAATAATTATGGTTTGAGGAAAGATCACCAGGTCTTTTGTTAATGTTATATTGAGTTTAATGGTGCCAGCACTAATTTTAAGTAACAAAAAGAATGGCAGAGTAGAATAATTTTATATCCCAGTAGTTAGAGTGATTTATAATACATTCATTCAGATCCCATTTTATCAGTACATAAAATCCTACAAATCGGTGAATGTGGATGATGTCGTATATCACTGACAGGCTCTCTGGTGGGTCAATTCCATTGTAGAATTGAGTGATGCCTGGAACATTGATTTACACACTATAACGATGTGAGAGATTTATCTCATGGCATTTATCCCATAGATTATACAGGACAGGGCTCTGCTCTCTCTAAAAAGGCTCTAGGAACTTAGGCAAGTATAATAGATATGGAAATAACTTCAACCATGGCTGACACGTTTTCCGTCCCTCTAATCCCAGGATATCCTGAGTTTCTTTGTAAAGTAGGTCTTTTGAAGTAGGTGTTAGAGAACCATGAACATTTTCATGGGCTAATAGTTACCCAGTTACCAAACACTGGGGATCCTCCTTAGAGAGGAGGCCTATACCCACGTTTCAATATTTTCAAAGAAGAGTTAATCATTTTCTGGACAATTGCATTTATGTATATAATGGAAAATGTGACTTTAAATGCTTTCTATAATTTAAGATGTAACTCTAAAATTATTTAACCCATGTTCAAATTACATAAGAAATCACCAGTTGTTCTGGATGAGTAAGGCTACTAAATAAACATAATATTCCGTATTAATCATGTTATGTACATACACCTTAAAGATCATAAGGGAACAGGCTTCAAGATTTTTAGAATCATTCCAAGGCACAGAAGTATTTAGGTATAGGACTCAAAACTCCTGCATTCCGGTCAGCAGCTTTGGGTACTGGGTCGAGGGGAGAGATAAGGGATAACGAAGATTAACTCTCCTGGCTCAGTGGAAGGGCACAAAATGGTTTGTATTCAAAGAAATCCAGTTATTCGGGATGCCTGGGGGCTCGGTTGGTTGAGCGTCTTTCAGCCGGAGAAAGTCTGAGAGTCTCCCTTTGGATCAGGTCATGATCCCAGGGTCCTGGGATCGGGTGCTGGGATCAAGTCCTGCTTCTCCCTCTGCCTGCCACTCCCCCCTGCTTGCACACACGCTTTCTCTCTCTCTCTCTGACAAATAAATAAATAAAATCTTAAAAGAAACCCAAAAACTAGTTATTCTTTTGTTCAGTCTTCTCTTCCTTTACAAACGGTGGCTTCTGTCAAATCCTGGCCCAAACGGTTGCATTCTTCATTCCCCCGGGGGACCTCCCCGGTGTAGCCTGGCATGTTTCTCACCGGATTCCCCTCCCCCACAGCCCACCCGCCCTGGCCTCCTCCTCCAATCCACTCACATCCTGCAGCTAACGAGTTCTTCATGAAAGACCATCTCCCCAGATCTAAACCTCCACTGGATTCCTATTGCTCTTGGGATAAAGATCTAAATCCTGACAGGCTTCCAGGGCCTCTGAGGTGTGGCCTCTCTCTCTCCCTCCAAGATCATCCTTGTTCAGCTCAACCTTCTATATTCCAGACACAGACTTTTTGTGTTTTTTTTTTAAACCTCCAGAATGTCACACTCTCTCCCCTCTCAGGGCCTCTGCCCACGAGCTGTGTGCCCTTCCTTGGGAAATGTTCTCCCAAGTATCCCAAGAGGCACATTCTGGCTGATGAGCATCTACTCGTCCCTCGCTGGGGCAGCCTCCACTGAACTCTTAGTCTTGGGCAGTTCTGTTACTTCGAACACCACTGAACATTTTTCTTTCTCTCCAGAGCTCTTGCCTTAGTCTACAATTAAACACTCATTACTGGGATTATTTCTCAAACTCTGTCTCCCTACCTAGGTCCCAAAACTCACCAAGAACAGGATTCATGCCTCTTTTTGTTCACCACTATACTCTCCAAGACCTCACAGCCACATAAGAGGCCCCAAATAAAGATTTATTGAAAGCATGCGTGCATGCATGAATAAATGGAAAAAAAAATGAGGAACTGAGCCCAAACTACACATTGGCCCACAAGCCTCAAGTGATTTTGAACAGCTAAAGTGTCAGAAGGACAACAGGAAGAGTTGGGGAGAAGCTGCCATGAGGCTCCCCAGAGAGTAGTCGGGGTGCCTGAGAAGGGAGGAGAAGGCATTACCAGCGAAGGAGAAGGCCATGATCTCCTGGAGGTGGGGAGCTGCCGGGGGAGGACGGTACATGATCTTGCCCTGGTTGATGTCTTCCTGTGTGAAATACCGGACGGGAGAGTGAGGCTGGTCCCTGTGTTCGATGATCCCTGGGGAGCGAGAGACGCAGCATCAGCACCGACAGTAAGTCTGATGGTTGACGGAATGCCTGGGGCCATAAATCTGCCTTTCCCCCTGGTGGGGGAGTCGTCTATCCTTCAAGAGCAAGTGCTCTCCCGTTTCTCTTATCATACCAATCTCCAGTCATTCAAGAAAAAGGCAAATCTGAAACCGAAACAGACTTCAACAGGATCTTTTAAAAAATGCTTAATTGAATTACAGCTGACAGTACGATATTAGTTCCAGGTGTACCACTTAGTGATCTGACAATTGTATACATTATGAAATGCTCCCCACGATAAGCGTAGTTACCATCTGTCACCACACAAATTGATCACAGTATTATTGACTATATTCCTTAAGCTGCTTTTTTCATGCTCGCGACTTGTTTATTCTGTAACTGGAAGTCTGTACCTCTTAAACCCCTTCACCATCCCCCTCCCCATTCCCCTACCTACCACCCTTCTGGCAACCACTAGTTCATCCTTGGTATTTATGAGTTTATTTTTGAGTGTTTGTTCGTTTGTTTTACTTTTTAGATTCAGACACAAATGAAAGCATATGGTATTTGTCTTTCTCCGTCTGACTTACTTCACTTCGCATCACAGGTCCAAGTTGTGTTGTCACGAACAGTAAGATTTCATTCTCTTAGGCGTGAGCACCATCCCAGCCCCACATCTTCCTCATCCGTGCATCTACGGTAGACACGGAGGCGGCTCCCCTATCTCGGCTGTTGTAAATAAGGCTGCCGTAATTACAAGGGTGCATGTATCTTTTAGAATTACTGTTTTTGTTTTATTTGGGTAAATACCCAGTTCCTGGATCACACAGTAGATCTATTTTTAATTTTTTGGAGAAACCTCCATACTGTTTTACACATCGACTGCACCCACTTATACCCTTGCCAACAGCGCACAAAGGTTCTCTTTCTCGCACATCCTCGCCAACGCTTGTAATGTCTCACCTTTTTGATACTAGCCATTCTGACTGGTGTGAGGTAATACCTCATTCTGGTTTTGATTTGCATTTTCCTGATGACGTGTGGTGTTTGAGCCTCTTTTTGTGTGTGAAACCCAAATAGATTTCTGACTAGAAGTCATTGACCATAATCAATAGTAAGACACAAACTACTACGCCTAATATAACTTAGACTAGGTAATTCTCTACAAGTCATAGACATTTCACCATAATTTGAGATTTTTTCGATAAAGTTTAAAGGTCAAGCTTGCTGAGAAAATGATATAGTTTGGGCTCCTGGTGAGGCTATAATGAGAGTTTTCTCAACTTACCCCTTTCCTTCAGAAACACCTCAGCCTCTGTGATAACCTTTGGCAACAGGAACATGGATCATGATTATTCTAAGAATTGGATTTGGAATTTTAACTCTGGGATAAATCTTTAGAGGCTGAAAATTTACCTCTCGTTTCTAAATTTTGTAGGCACAGAAATAATGCTCTGATCACCTTTCATGTCCTATCAACTCTTTCAAAGAAGGACACATGGGAGAGTTGGTGTTGAACTAATTCAGGTTCTGAGGGGCTGAGACCTATAGTCATTCTCCAAAAGACAGCCCAGGCTGCTGGACGGAGAGCTCCACTCTGCCCTGGCAATGTAAGGAGAAACGCTCTTGCTTTGACTCAGCAGATTTAGAAAAAGAGAAGCATGACTTTTAGGTGTTTCGTTTCTCTGGACTTTATCAAAGGGGTAATATAATTTAATTTTTAGACATTTATCTCTCCTGGGGGATTCGATAATGTGGAAGGCTCGCATCCAGGGCAATGGTTGGTCTCGGGAGGGCAGCCTCAGATTCAGGAGCAGAACTCTTACTAGAGCTAATCTCCTTTCCATGAGGGACAGCCACACCTCTGTTAGGGACAGGCTTATTAGTTAAGCCCCAAGTTCAGCCATCTAAAGAATGAAGAGTGATGGCAGGGGCCCCTTCTCCTCTCTGCTGACTGTGGTTTCACATGTTCATTTTCCCTGCCACGAGAGGGGGGATTCATCCAAAGGGGAAAGGCACGGAGTGTGTGCGGCTCAGCGCACTCTGCACTCGCTGGCAGAGCTCCTTGTCCTGAGCACACGCTCATTCCCATTCTTGTCTGTTCACCTCTCCTATCCTTTGCCAACGGGAACTGTGATGTTTTCAAAGGGCAAAAGATGAACTCACCTCAGAGGGTCTGTCCCTGCAGACCGTGCCCATGTCTGCCCAGTTCTGCCCGCGCATGAGAGGGGCAGCTCAACCCAGTGATTCAAGTTGTGCGCACACCATATTGTCCAGCCAGCTCTGGCATACCAAAGCTGACACACTCATCTCCATCTGTCTGACGACAGTGTCTCTTTCTCAAGTGGTCCCAAACTCAGAACAAGGGAACAGAGAGCGTGAATAATTGTTACTGCTTAAATCCTCAACAAGTACCTGCAGACGAAACTCCGAGCTTTGAAGATACGCCAACAATTAGAAGACAAGAGCATCACTCAAAAGGTTGACTGCATGTCTTACCTTGATTTGGATGCAGAGGTACAGTGATGTTGTATATAATCTTTCCGCTTGGCCTCTCAGAGTCTATGAAGGAGAGGGAATGAGGCTGAATCACAGTCAGGGCATCCTCCCGAGCCTAAACAACATTTAAGGAAGAAGAAGAAAAAACAGGGTGATGAAAACAAAAGCCAGAGGCAAAAACAAACCTTATTTAAAAAGCAGAAACAAAAACAACAACAACAAAAATAAAAACAAACACGCTCACTCTGGGCTTTTAAATTGGTTACAGCAAAGTTTTTTCTGAAAGCTCGGAAGAAGGATCTGGTCTCTTGCACTGCAGATCTGTCTTGGCCTTAAGAACCTCAGAGGGTCGTGAATCTTCCTCCAGTTCTCTTGCACTCTCCCTTCCCCTGCTAGCTGCCCCAGGTTTGTGTTGGCGCATACTGTGGGGTGTCCCAACATGACCACTTTTCCCCAGGTGGGACTCGCAGTGGGACGCGTCAACACGAGCCAGCAGAGCCTGCTCTCCTCCCGTCCTGCTGTTTGCAGCTGGGTCACTACATCTCTGCTCCTCTGACGTCATGGGCTGAGGCTGCATCTGGTAAGAAGCCCTCCCTGACCACCCCAGCTTTGCCAACGGGAACTGTGATGTTTTCAAAGGGCAAAAGATGAACTCACCTCAAACACCAAAAGACACTCATCATTTGAATTCAGAAGTTTAGAAATTACTTATTAAAGCACATAAACTAGTGCATGTTTTCTTTGTCTCCATTATACCCTTCAAAAGGATTACATTTTGCTTTTCTCATCCAGTCCTCAGTATCCCATGAAGGGGTCAAGCAAAATTAATCAAAAGGCCAATGTGTACATATATTTTACTGTCCATTCACCTGTATATAGCCATAACCCACCAACAGTGACAACTCTCAAAAAGAGAGAGAGAGATTTCAAATCCCATGACCAGGCATAACAGGCAGTTGGGGACAGCAGCAAAAACATACAGAATGGAGAGGAGAAAAGGGAAAAGCAGTGTGAGGACAGGCCCCTTGCCTGGGTCATATATGCCGTTAACAAGACAGAACAAAAATATCCGGCCCTTGCCGGCTCTTCCTAGCTGACCTCTGCAGGGTTGAGTGGGACATGCTGTCCGCCTCTTTGAAGCTCTGCTTCCTCCAGAAGGAATTTCCCCACTTGGGAAAGGATTAAGTAGGGCTCAGTCATTCCCATGCAGGAGGGCGTGGTGCTCCTCCTGTAAACCCTGAAAAGATTGAAGGTTGCAGTTGCTTTGTAAGTGTCCTGAAGGCACACTTGTCCCGGGAGAGGTGGCATTTGCAGGTTGGGACAACCCCCCGAGAGTCCAGAGTCATATTTCAGGCCACTGCTCGGGTCTGGAATGTCATGAGTAAGGACAGTAAGAGTTACAAACAGCCGCTGGTCTCTCACTCTAAAATAAAACAAGTAAGGACAACAAAGGAAAAATCTAGGCCCTGTGGGAAGTGTTTACAGCCTACGCGAGTGTGTACACATCTATGCCCGCGAACAGGTGTGGGACAGCCACGTGGACAGAAAAGGGCAGGCTCAGTACCTCGTTCAGCTCCTCCCCTTTTCATCCCGAAGCCGTCCGAGTATCTGAACATTCTCGGGCTACTAGGAGATATTTTTGACGATCTAGATGCCCCTAAAATAATCCAGCCATTAGAAGAGGGGCTGGGCAGAGGAGTATGGACCAAGGGAAATACATGTGGCCAAGAAAGCACATTGTATTATGGAATTTATTGAGAGAATTTCTCTACTGATAGAACGGGCAGGAGGTAGAAAAAGTAAGGACTTGATTCCCTGAAGAAAGCACTATTGAGTCTGACATATATCAAAGTACAATCAATTTTAATATTGGGTATTTGGAATGTTCAATATTTATCAATTAAACATAGTAAGAAATGAAAGATTGCGTTTCATAGAAATCATTACAGAAGACACTTTTTTATTAAAATATCTGTCAACAATCAAAAAGTACAGAATAATGTTTCTCATAATGCCCATGTTACCTATGAATATGTCTGGAATCCAACTGCTTCTCCCCAGCGCCGCTGCCACCACCCTGCTGGGAGCCACAGTCACACCTGGTCACCAGGACAGCTTCCCCACTGATCTCCTGTTCTCCTGCCCACCTGCAATCCATTTCAGCCCAACAGCCAGCCTAAGAGGAGGTTCGACCTCTGTGGCTCAACACCTAGTAGGGGCTCTCCATTTCACCCAGAAAAAACCTGAAGTGCCTCCAAGGGCCCGTGAGGACTTACAAGATCTGCCCCAACCCCTCCCTCTCCCCGCCTCCCTGCCCCCAACACACACACTGGGCCCATCTGTGAATCTGAGATTCTCACACACACTCACTCTGCTCCAGCCACACTGGCTTCCCCGCTGCTCCCGGAACGCTGAAGCCCACCCTGCAACTGGACGTATCTAAACACATGGCTCCCTGGGCCTGGAATGCTTTCCCCTCGCGCCCCTCTGCCTCACCTCCTGGAAGTCTTTCTTTAAACATCTTTGTTTCAATAGAGCTCAGCTCATTTACATCTGCAATCCGGGCCCCTCTCTGCTGTTGCCACTACCGCATTTCTGACCCACTTGACCTTGGTCTTACCTTTTGTTTTACCATAATACTTTTCACTCACATGCAACATATGAGTTATTTATTTGATTTACGACTTATTGTCTATTCCCTCCTGCCCCAAGACAATGGAAACTCCATGAGAACGTGGATTTTTGTTTGTGGATAGATCCCAAGCACCTAGCACATGAAAGAGCTAAATAAAAATTTGTTGAGTGAATGGAAAATATCATTATGAGAAGATTAGGCTAAGAAGTAAAATAATGAGAATACTTTTATAGCAACTTAATTAAAAAAATATTTTCCTTCATCTTTCAATGTTGTCTAAAGAGAGGCAAACACTTCAACATGTAAGCCTTAGCAAAGGGTATGTGTAATTTAAATCTCTGGGATCCTAGGTCAGGATTTATAAACAACATTATTATTTCAGCTGCCATTAAAAGAAAGACCACTTTCACCTGTCAACTGTCATATTAGCAAAGCAGCAAAGCTCATGGCTGGCCTCAGAAATTAAGAACCTATGAAAAATAAGAAGATGAGATGAGTAAAAGGGGGTTCTACAAGAAATCATCTTCTCACACAGTTTGATTAGGACAACAAAATTAATTCACTCCCCTACTCATGTAGCGAATATTCAGTCAGAACCTATGCTGGGCAGGTACCAAGCAAAGAGCTGTGGGAGACACACGATGAATCAGATGCAGACTTTTTCCTCAAGGATTTCCGGTTTTTGGTAAGGGGAGTTCATAAATAACTCCAACGTAGAAACTGCTAAGTACTGTGAAAGGCTCAGATAAAGCACAGTAGGAATTCCAAGGACAAAGAAATTTCCAGAAACTGCAGATAACAATTTTATTAGTGTTTGAAAAGGTCTCAAGAAAAAACATGGACCGATAAGTCCGTGGCCATAAACCCAATACGGCATGCCCAGACTTGAGTCTACAGGACAAACAGCTCAGCTGGTCCAACCGAGCCCCTGCTCACCCCAGGAAGAGTGGTTTTAAGAGAACTCTTGTTACAGTGATCACTCCGGAGACAAGTAGAACTAGGAGGGCTTCTGCAAGGCCTTCCTCTTGAGTGGTGACCGTGGGCAACCCACCTCTGAGTACCACAACTATCTGAAAAAGGACGTAACAAATATGCTTTCACATTAAGAGATAAGAGAATTTCCTTCCCCTTTAAGAAGAGAAAGGAAATACGATATTCAAAGTATGTGTATGTATGTGTATACCCATATGATTAATTCATTTGAATTTGAAGGTGAGATAGTGAAGGGAATTCTTAGCTGTGTGAAAGTAGGTCTGAAAATGATTCATTTCGTCAACAGATATTCACTAAGCAAGTACTTCTACATGAGTCATTGCATTAAATGCGGAGAAGGTACCAAGATTAATTAAAGATTTTGTCCTTAAGGATCTTCTAAGTCAAACAGTGGATGGTTACTTGGAAAACTGAGTTAATGTAAAGTTATTAACTTATTTGGTGAATCTCACATTATGCTATGCTATTTACTGGTAAACATGCTTGTTTACAGATCTCCTTGCCCAAATTTGACATATATATCTTAAATGTATACATCTCAGATCACACACACACGGACACGCAGACACACACAATCTTATAATATTATTCAGACTATACACATCTTACACATGCATGTAGGCACATAATTCTGGTGGAACGCTACAAAACAAAGTGGTAGGACACCATTTAAAGGATCGGATTTGATGAAGAGCATTATAGAAAGGCCATAGAACAAATTTCCATTTAGGCAGGTATTTTTTTTTTTATGCTGCTTTTTACTCTATGCAATCTTCCTGGGGAATCTCAGGCCCAAGCATTAAACCACCACATGTCATTAATGATTCTCGGAGGTTTATCTCCCGCAGAGAGTATCTACTGGTCTTTTGCCAGCCCTTACCAGGCACACCTTTTGTAAGCGCCTCCCACTGAACTCATCACGGCCTCCAGCGCTCCCCCTTCCCGGAAGTCCGCACACATTCCTGACCTCAGTGAGGGGCGTCCTTCCATATCAGAAACTGGGCCATTTTACCCACTTCTACACAGTTGACCTCTACGGCTCTAGATATCTTTTAATCTCTCCCTATGTTTTTTACACCATCTTAACCACTTTTAAGGGCACAGGACAGTAGTGTTAACTGTATACACATTGTTGAGGAACACATGTCTAGAACTTTTTCATCTTTCAGAACTGAAACTCCATACCCACCAAAGAAAATCAACTCCCCATTTCCCTCTCCCCACCTCTACCCCCCACCCCTGCAGGGGCCACTACCTTTCCACTTTGTGTTTCTGAAAGTGTCACTACTTTAGGTAGCTCCCGTAAGGGGAATCAAGCAGTATTTGCCTTTTGGTGACTGGCTTATTTCACTCAGGCAATGTCCTCAAGGTTCATACATTCTATAGCACGGCAGGACTTCCTTCTTCTTCAAGAGTGGATAATATCCTGTTGTTGTATATAACATAATTTCTTCATCTATTTATCTCCCGAAGGACATTTAAGATGCTTCTGCCTCTCAGCCGTATGCATCCCGCTGCAGTATACACAGGTGTGCCACTGTCTCTGAGATCTCACTGACCCCTCAATCCCTATTGCTACTGCATGCGGTGCATGCTACCAGCCCTTCTTGTTCGAGATGCCTGTAACGGCCTATGCCTTGGCCTCCTCGTTCTCTGTCTGGACCCCGTGTGGCGTGTTATTTACACTACAGCCAGAACGATCTTCCTAAATTGAAAATCTGATCACGCCCCCTCTCTGCTATGAATCATTCAGCATCCTACTTGCCCAAAAACATCCTTTCAGGACAAAATGGAAACTCTTCATCTCATCTGTAAGGTCCTCTATGATCTGACTCTCATTTCTTACTTCTTTTTCACCTAGGGATTTATGCTCTGGCCAACTGAACTCTCTGCAATTCCGCAAACATGTCATGTTCTCCTGTGTCTCTCACTTTTTTCACCTGCTGCTCGTCTGCCTGGCACGAATTTCCCTCTATTTGTAGTCTAGATAAATGGGGTTTCAAGTGTGGTGAGCAGAGCAGAAGCAACAGCATCACTTGGAAACTTGTTAGAAATGCACATTGTCAGCCCTAGTCCAGATCTACTAAATCAGAAAACCCTGGGGTGCGCTCCAGGAATCTGTGGTCTAGCCAACCTACAGGGGATCCCAAGGAGGCTGAAACTTGAGTCCAGCTCTAGAGCTAATTTACACTTCAACCAGCTCAGCTCACCTCCAAGAGAAAGCCTTCCATGACCACCCCACGCTCCACTGGACTAGGTGTCTCCCTACTTGCTTCTATAGTATGACTCTGCTTGCGTATCATATCACAGCATTCATCATGTCCTGGTCGTCCTTGCTTACTTATTTGCTTGTTTTAGACTCTAAGTTGCTTGAGAATAGAGACTGTGTTTTATAGTCATTGAATCTCCAATACATTTCACGGCCCTTGGGATAAATTAGGGGCTCGAAAGTGTTTATTGGGATGACTGAATGACTGGAGAGGGGGACTCCTGTCCTTAAACACAGATATGGGTGTACAATATTTGTATTTAGAACACTCATGATGTATCTACCAAATATGTGCAAAACGAGTGTGCTTAGGTGAGTCCAAATCAGTAAATAGAAAATGTGTTTTTGTCATAGATTTCAAGTATGTCCGATAGTAATGGCCCCAATTAATGTCAAAAGAAATACAAGCTATGTAGATTTTAAGGAACAAAAGAGTCGACTAATCACATTTTCCAGTAAACTCACTTTTGTGATATCCTAAATTAGACAAGACAGATGCGATTTGCAAACATGCGACCTGAGGCCCTAAAGGTTAAGTAGCGTGAGAAGCTTCTAGAGGTCCACAGCTACATAGTGGGAATGGCACCACCGTCATTGGCTCCTGGACCATTTTTCCCCTCTAAACCCAAAATAATACTGCATTAGCATTTGGCAAGAAATGTGTATGCACATTTTCCTTTACACTTTACAGAAAATTCTGATCCAAGTTCCTCCAGTCAAAATGATGAATTATAGACCTTATAGTGCTGCTGAATTATGATTTCTTTAAATTATGGTTTATGGTGGAAATGCTGATACCAGCTATTCATTAAAAACTTTCTGTTTCCCCCTTTATGTCTCTGTCATGCCCCAGACCCATAATTTCTAAAACCACGGCTGCTCTCTTTGTTGTGGCTCAGGGCTGATACACTACTTTGGAGTGTAATTATGTGGGCGCTAACTAAAATGTGAATCCTTTATGATTAATTTACGAGGTCTTATATGCTTGGGGCTCTGTCTAGAACAGGGGTTCTGGCTTCCCATACCCCCTAGACATGGGGTTACATTGCAGCTGCTAATTGTCTGAACTAAGCTTCATGTACCAATTTAGCTGTCACCTTGCTTCAAACCTTTCCATGTGCCCACACTCCTTCCTCACAGCGCACAAGACCTTCCGTGATCGAGCTCACCAGGCTCCACATCCTCACGCCTCCTCTGCCTCCTACTGACCTGCTGGCGGTCTTCCCACCCACCACGTTGTCCTTCCCCTCTGCGTCTCTGTATGTGCTGCTCTTGCGTCTGGGAGAGCCCTGCACCTCACCTCTCCGTTCCTTCTGACCTGCCCCTCGAACTTCCATTTGGGTAACTGGTACTTATTTCTTTGGATTCGGCACAGGCATCCCTTTCTCCAGGAAAGTTTCACAGTAGGAAAACAAAACCAAACGCTCCTCACAGGGCTTCTAAAACACAGACTGACTGTTTCTCCAGCGAGGTGGAGCCGGAGCGGACTGAGCAATGACACCCACATGGTTCTGGTGAAATGGACACAAGCTCCAAACTCCCTCCAACCACTCGAGGAGGCCCCGTGACCTCCGGGATGCTCTAAAAAGGACAGAAGTGGTGGACGGGAGGTTGTGGTAGATTCCACATCACCTTCCCTACGCTCTGGAATTTTAAATTTCTTATTCACGTCAACAGGAAATGTGTTCTCGAGGCTGGTTATTATTGGCCCCAGGGTCCACATTCTGAGTCACGCATTAACCAGACACAAAAGCGGGGTGCTCTATTAAACCCCAATAGCGTGCCTCCTCCAAGCGGAAACCACGAGCCCTTCCACCCAACTCACAGTCATATGGAGAGATGCTCCCCGCGAGAGTTTAGGCGCCCCGGGTGTCTGCGGTAAGATCGCAATGTTGAACGTGCGGCTCTCCAGATGTGTGTGGGCATCTGTGGCACTGGACACCTGGAAGGAAACGTGACACCGGTGAGCCTCTCATCCTCTGCTGGGCACAGCCTATTTGTGCGTGTTTGCTTTTCCCCCTTGAAACCATCTGTCTTGGAATTCTATGCATTTTTGCATTATGATTTTCATTCTGCTCTTCATTTCAATGCTAATGTTTTACTGATTATAAAAAAAACATGTAATCATTTTAGGCAGTTCTAAAAATGCAGAGAAATACAAATAAAAACTAAAAAAGTCAGAATTTCACTAGGTAAAAATAGAAGTTATTAACATATTGATGCATTTTAGTTTAGTCTATTTTCTATACATAAGTGAAACTTTAGATACAATTATGTGTTCCACATTTTTACCAAATGTAATACTGTGATGTTTTGCTATTTCATTAAACAATCTTGAAAACATGATTTTGGATAGCTACGTATCTCATTATAAGCATATATATGACACATGATTTATATGTGATTTTTTTTCTAGTTCTTTAAACTTTATCCAGCATGGATAAGTACACCTAGACTATAAATGACAAATCTCAGCCTCATCACTGTAAAAGCGAGATTAATAACATTTACAATTAGAAGAGTCACCAAATTGACCTCTTTTTGCTTCAAAATGCTAAAAAATGATGCTTTGCCTATGCCGTAGCTCCTCTCCTCCCTCTGTGATTCTGAGCTGCCCCCTTGAGCCCTCCATCTCTCCTTTGTCTGCTCCACCATGGGCTTGTTACAAGACCTGCTGAGGCCGGAGTGGGTGTATGTCGTTGCGATAACTCCACAGGGGAGGGGCGTGTTCTCTCACTTCTGAGGAGAAAGCAGGAATGGCAGTCCTTTCCCTGTGTCTTCTCAAGTTATGCCCAACAGAAAAACTCTCTTCTCTATCTCCATCCCACCAGATGCCTGGACATCAAGCTTTGGAATATCTACACGTTTTCAAGAAGACATCTTATGGTGTGTCATTATGAATAATTCAGTAACAATAGCTGTAATTCCCTAACATCTATCATGGGCTCAGCACCCTGCTACCTACTTTTCAAAAGTTATCTTACTTATCTACTTATTAATCTATCTACCAATTAGCTATTATCTCCTATTTTAAAGATGAGGAAACTGAAGGGCAAAGAAGTTGAGCAAGGTGTCTAAGTCATGGTCAATAAGGGTCAGTGTTCAACCGGGTCAGCAGGTTCATGATCTTCCCACTGACCAAGATGGCTCAATTTGGAAGCTTTAGAATCTTAGGAAAGGGGAAAATATGCTCTATTTTTTGGAAAAAAAAAAAAAAAAAAAAAAAAAAAGAATGGAACGCTGTGTAGGTAGTGAAATGTGGACATACTACCAAGCAAAGAAATCACTTCTCGCTTCCTTAGTAAACATACCGGTGTGATATAAACATTGGTCTTTTCATAGCGAAACCCCCAAGGCCGTTTCAACATGATCTGAATATACCAAAGCCAGAGTTCCCTCCTATGCCCCAAATGATGCAAATGTACATGCTTTCTTCTCACTGTGCCATACTCTATTTTTTTAATGCCACTGCGTTACATAAATCCCAAGTTTTCCATGCAAAGTAACATATGGGGTACATTGAGGGCTCATGACAGCACATCAGCATTAAAATAGAATTAAATCCATGCAACTCATTGTATTTCATTTTCTGCTTTAAAAAAAAGAAAAGAGAAGGGAAGAAAGAGAAGAATCATTAGAACAGCACCTTTTTTAGTTTAAAATCCTTCTGGGACACTAAAATGATGAACGAGAGAAGTTGTAACCATTTATTTTCGCACACAGCTACAGTGTCTGCGTCATTTCAAACCAAAAGATGAGGCAAGCCTATAAAACAATGAGACTTTAAAATCACACGAAACTTCCACATCCAGGAGAACATAATCTCAGAGAGTTGTTTCACATTTGCAATAAAGATGCCGTCCGTGCTCAGGATGCACTTTCTGGAATGCCTTCAGAGAGAGAGTTCACAAATCACCGGAGGAAACCGAGCTTGTTGCTGCGTAATTGCTCCCTGTTTTAACCAAAAATAATTACTGCTCTTCTTACCAGACACGACTCTGGCTGACTTCTGGCATTTGGGTTAATTTTTTAAAGATTATTTATTTATTTATTTGACACAGAGAAAGAGATCACAAGTAGGCAGAGAGGGAGGCAGAGGACAGGGAAGCAGGCTCCTTGCTGAGCAGAGAGCCCCATGTGGGGCTCGATCCCAGGACCCTGAGATCATGACCTGAGCCGAAGGCAGAGGCTTAACCCACTGAGCCACCAGGGCGCCCTCTTTGGTTATTTTTAAAAATCAACTTCCAAAGGATGATACACTGTCACTACTGAGGATGTGTAAAGAAAATCCCACAGATTGTGAAGAAGATTTCAGGTCAGGGTTCTAAACACGTCTTGAGGAAAATGTGTGAAGACTCTCTAAAGGGAACCACTGTCTAAGTAAGAATGTTCAGCCACCGTGTCTCAAACTCTAGAGCATCTCTTTTTAAAAAAGATCAGTCACTTTTGCTTTTCTAGAATTACCCGTTAGTAACCAAGTTGCAAAGGCAATCCAGTATCATTTTGAGCAGGTGAGGAGACTCCTTCCCAGGGAGGCGCCCCGTATGGAGAACGTCCTCCGTCCCGACACCGATAAAGGCAAAGGCAGACCTGAGGATTCCAGTTTGCTGAGGTGCCTTCTTATGATTGAGGTCTTTGCCTCCGTTCTGACTCACTCTCCGAGGACTGTGCAGTTCCCGGGGTGCTACAAATGAGAAGGCTAACTTGGCAGAGGGCGCGGGAGGCTTGCTCACCCCTGGGACGTTCCAGATGCTCAGGATCATCTCGTTTTAATACCGGCCAAGTTTAGCTCATCTGCTCCCTGGAAAAGCACCTCTTTTGTACTGTACATACTAGTCAGGCAAGGAAGACGTACACACCAGGCCTCAGGAACGGAATGGACGGCAACTTGAACACGGTGGGCCGCTTGCTGTGGCAGCTTATCCCCAGCTGGGTTCATGGACAAAGGAAAAGCCTCAGACTCCGAGGGTCCCCGGCCCCGCGTTGGCTGATCAGCCCCCATGAGAGCTGCTTTATATTTTCTCTGACATTTTCCCAAATTCTTCTCGATGCTGTTTCTCATTCGAAGTTCCTCATTCCTTTGCACTTCTATTCAAGTCTTTATTTCCAAATTGCCCTTGACGAAAGTTTGCCCACTTTTATTGATCTTTCCCAAGCTTCAGGTTTTGTGCTCATTATCAATTCTCCCATTTTATACTGAGTCAATTCCTCTGCTTATCTTTGTGAATTCCTCCCTTTTGCTTTCCTTAGGTTTCTCTTGTCGTTTTGTAGCTTCACTCAGTCCATTTATTTCCATGTTTTTCTGCTCAACAATAAGAGCTTAAAGCCATCGATTTTCTTGAGTATTATTTTGTCCACATCATTTAAGTTTTGAGGAGTTATTTCCTCCTCATCAACATTTCTTAATAGTTTGCCATTTTGATGTACTTTTAGAACGAGTAATTTTTTAGGAGACTGTTTAAAAAATTCTAAATGGTTTGCCTTCTTGGTTTGGCCTCTTATTATTAATTTCTAATTATGTTTGATAAGTGCCAGAGAACGCGCTCAGTATAATTTCTTGTTCTTTAATTTATGGACGGCCTCCGTACAGTCTGTTTGTCTTAGTCTGCTCAGGTTACTATGACAAAAATATATAAACTGAGTGGCTCATGAGCAAGGGAAACTTATTTCTTGTACTTCTGGAGACCGGAAGTCTGGAGCAGGGTGCCAGCTTGGTTAGGTTCTGGTGAGGGATCTTTTCTGGGTTGCAGACCACTGACTTCTCATTGTGTCTCCACGGCAGGGAGCAGGGAAGCAGGGGCAGCGAGCTCTTTTGTGACTCCCATCAGTGTACTAATCCCATTCATGAGAGGACAGCCCTCATGTCCTCATCTAATCCTCATCACCTACCGAGGGTCTCACGTCCATATACCATTGCACAGGCAGGGGGTAGGATTGCAACATACACATCTCAGGACACAGACATTCAGTCTATGGCACTGGTATTTGCTCAAGCTTTATAAATGGCAGTAACACACCCACACACATGTGACAGGCAGTATTCACATGTTCCATACGTATTAACTCATTAAACCCTCATAGTAGCTCTATCTTACAGATGAGAAAAATGAAGCACAAGGATTTCACCAAAGTAATTTTCCCAAAGTTGTACAGCCAGTGCACAGCAAAACTGAAATATGAACCCACTGGGTTTGGCTGCTAAGCTTCTGATCTTATCATAAGATGGTAAATGTTCCAAAAACATTTGAAAAAATATTTTTTTCCTCCATAGGGCACTGTAATATTTGGAAAAAAATGTTTTTGCTAGACACTTTGGCCATTATCTATTATAAACTCCCTGCCACGCGATGACTCTGCTTGTAGAGTTATTGTAGGACTGAATTGGGAGATTAGAAAAACTCTCAATGCTATTAATTACATTTATTCTTCTCCCAAAGGTAATTTCCAGGAGACAGAGAAAATGACCCAAATTGCTTAAAAATAAGAGCGAGGGTTTTCATGAGACCATCCAGACATCAGAAAAGATGTCAGTCAGCCGCAGAGGGTACCTGGAAGAGGAAGGAGTCACTCTGGGCTGGGACTCCCGAGTGCCTGTACCACACGATGCCTTCGTTGATGTCATGCTGGGTGAAGGTGCTGGTGGGAGTTGCTGTCCTCCCATCAGGCAGGTGCTGCCCTTCCTCCGCGGGGCTGTCCGCAGGCATATCAACCAGCAGGACCACCTCTCCTAGGAAAGCCACAGAGTTAGTGAGGATCTCTGGGAAAAGTAAAAGTTGGTCAGAGCTCTCATCTCCTAGGCTACTATGTATTTATCTTCCTTCCTTCCTTTCCTTTCCTTTCCTTTCCTTTCCTTTCCTTTCCAACAGAAATTAGGTACTCCTTTATTTTTAACCCAAGGCAAAGAAAAGTATGTTAACACAGAATTCAACAGGCATCATCAAATTCACCTCCAGACACAGAATTCCCAGTCTCTCAGCTAAAACACACTGAAAGTAATTCAAGGGCACTGCAGGTATGAAGTTACCAACTGTATCAATTAAATCACATAAAATCGTGAAGACAGAAACATTCACGGGCTGCATGGATTGGGCACTGGATGGATTCATTTGTACCTGTAACTTCTGTGTAGCAGGAAATGAGTTCTGACCCACATGTTTTTAGTGTAAACACAATGGGAAATTTGAAAAAATTCAGAGTTACTCTTGGGAGAATTCTGTACAATGAGAATGATGTTAGCTGGCCCTGGGATGCCTAGGGTAGGGACTGCAGGAAGCACAGTATGCAATGGTTCAAACCCAGCTGTGTGAGCTTTACATGGGCTTTGTAAGCCTCTGTTCCTCTTGGTAAAATGAGAATCATTCATGGGTATTCAAAAAGGATGTTGGTCATCCTTATCATTATGTTATTTCATCCTTTTTTTTTTTTAAGATTTTATTTATTTATTTGACAGAGAGAGACACAGCGAGAGAGGAAACACAAGCAGGGGGAGTGAGAGAGGGAGAAGCAGGCTTCCCGCTGAGCAGGGAGCCCGATACAGGGCTCGATCCTGGGATCGTGACCCAAGCTGAAGGCACCCGCTTAATGATGGAGCCCTCCAGGCGCCCCTGATTTGATCCTTATGAAGATGCTCTTATTATCTGCATTAAAAGATAGGTCTGTAGGCTCAGAGAAGTTCAGTAACTTCTTCAGGTTCACAAATGGTGTGTGAAGGAGTTGAGATTCGAATCCGAAGCTCAGACTCTGGGTCATGAAACTCTGTCTCCAGTCACTGTTATTTTGTGTTCACTGTCCTGCATCTACCCTCCAAGAACTCCTCTTGTTTTCTCCTCCATCATTCCATAGACCTCACTGGGATGGAAGCAAGGAAACCCAAATCTAAACGACAGTCCCACCGATCTGGTTCTAACGCTTGCTCTGTTTTTCTTAGAGTGAGATTGCAGATATGGAGGTGTTATGGAAACAAGTAAAATTTCACCAGGACAGTATGCCCTCAAGTGTAGACCAAACAGGAGAATGGATGAACCACTGAAAACAGAAGCCACGTTCTCATGAAAATCCACCTAATAATAAATCTGGGAGAAGCCTCCGTACCACTCAGATGGTAAGAGGAGGGGAGGAGGGAGAGGGATACGTTCTCCAGCAGGAGACCCAGATCTTAGTACGCTAAGTGTACTACACACATTAGACAACTGAAAACACCCTTCAATTACACTAGAGCAATTTTCTAACTTGAAGGAAATATTCCTTCTAATATTTATAGGCCCTAAATTCAAATTCAAAATCAGCATAATATCCTGGATGGTGATGAAGTACTAAAGTAAGGAAAAAGCCATCAGTAGTCTTCTTTATAAAATCATGTGTAGAATCAACTCCCTCTAGTTTCCTTTTAGTATTGTTTCTCATTTATACCTAAGTCACAAATTCCGTTAGCCATCTCTCTCTGGTTCGACCTCTGTTCAGAATATATGTGCTTTTCCAGGATGTAGATTGTTTAGGAATGTGGGTACAGCTGCAAAATATTTGAAAGCAGACTTCTACAATGCAAATGTAGAGAGTAGAAAAATAGAAAATACTCAAATGCTGATTTCCTAGCTGTTCTTCTTCATAATAGGAAAACTAAGCAGACCTAATGAAATAGACCTGTTTTTCCAGATTTAAAAAATATTGCCATGTTCTGCAGATGAACAGGAACCAGAGGATATTGACTAATCCCATAAATTTCGACTCAGATAATAGTGACTGAATGCATGTCAGGTGCTAGCCATCACGCTAGCCCCTTCAGGAATGGGGATTCAAAGATAAGCGAGGCGTAGTTCCTACCCGTAAAATCATCCCCCATAAGCAACCACGAGCCACTGTAAGATTTCAGTAGGTGAGTGGCACGAACTGGCTTAGAACACAAAACATATACGATCAGAACACAGGGAGCCTATGACCGACCCGTTAAAGAGGCTGAGTTTTATTTTATAAAAATGGTAATCATAGTAGTTAACATTTATGTAGACAGCTGGATCAATTGTGAGACAATGTAACATCCGGATGAATGGCAGGAAGTTTGGAAAGAAAGAAACAGACTTGAGAGTCACTAAGCAAGTGGAAGCAACAGACCTGGACACTTGTGGTTGTGAAGGGTGAGAGACGGGGAGGGACCGGGGAGTCCCCTAATGACAGGAAGGGCAGCAATGCAGCGGATGCATGAGCAGGAAGGCGGGGTGGGGGGGGGGAAGCTCAGCACTGGGTCTGCTAAATACCAGGTGCCTTTGTGCTAAGCCCATGAGGAGATGGAGAAGTATCAGTATTTTCTGGGGTCACCGCAGCAAGGTGAGAGCTTTTGTGTCATACCCCACCTCTGCTTTTATTATGACAAATGCAGGCAGCTGACCTTTCAGACATATGAAATCCAGGCTTACAAGATAGTCTAGGTTTAAGAAAAGGAATAATAATCTCCACTTGGGATTTCCTGAATCCCGATGTCTACGGTTTAATCAAGAATTCCGAGGGGGAAATTTGATAGGTATTAAGAATTAGAATCTCACTGGAACCTCCATGAATTATTTTGGGATTGACAAAATTTGTATTAAAGCTTTCTTACTCGATGCTAAATAATTTAGAGTTGGCAATGTGTTGGATGAAGTCAGGTTTTCCCCCCAGTGATACTTAAGTAACTTCATTAAAACCATCTCATTAAATTTATTTTCAAACTTGTGAAGTAGCTAAAGGTACAAGTATTAATCAACTTGTCCACACTTCTATTTGAGAGCAGTGATGAGTCTGCAAGCGGTGGAACTTGGGTCCATCACACATTTACAAGCAGTTTACATTTGGTTCAGTTCCCTGGTCAGGGCTTCACAAAACGTCTAAAGCCCAGCCGGGACATTCTAAGGTGAGGAGGGAGTGCACAGTTGGTGGGGTGGCAGGGGGGAAGGAGTCCACAGATTCACACCACCGCGACAGATGGATGTGAGCAGACCGGTGTGCACTGGGCTTCCAGTTCCCACCGCCGCCTTCACTCCTGAGTGCTTCTTAAGGGTAATGTGATTGGATTATTACTAATAGGGGGCTCTGGACACACAGAAGGAGGATTGTGTTCATAGGAAGAAGTTAATTAAGAGACTTATAGTAGGATAGTGTCACAGGCAAGCCTACATGGCATTATCAAGCCAAAATGGCTTAAAAAACAATTTAATTCAGCACTGTTCTTTTTAAGAGTTAAACAGAATACTGGAATATTGGGCTGTCTCTAGGAAATTAAATTTTTTGGCTTTTAATGATCAAGATAAAGGTAGAGAATTTAATACATCAAATGAGTCAAAGATTTTTAGGGCTGAAAAGGACTTAAACATTATCGAGCTAAAAATCAGTGGATAAAAGAACACAAAGTTGAATAAGGTCGGCGGACTAATTAGTAGCATTGTATCCACTTGGCCTCCTGGTTTTGATAATTGTTCCATTGGTCTGTAAGATGCTACCGTTGAAGGAAGCTAGATTAAAGGTATTCAAGGGCTCTTTGTACTATTTTTACAACTTTTCAGTAAGTCTAAAATTATTTTAAAATAAAAAGTTAAAAAAAATCATCTAGCCTAAACTTTCAAAGAAAACTAAGGCTCAAAGGAATCCACTTGCCTTCCTCAAAGTTACACAACTATAATAAGACACCCCAGCTAGACCAATGATTTTATAATTATATTAATTCTTAATTAGAGTATGCTTTTCAATATCTTTGTTACATTGGAATTATTTTTATTTTTAAGTCTTTTTTATTTAAAGACTTTATTTATTTATTTGACAGAGATGACAAGTAGGCAGAGAGGCAGGCAGAGACAGAGAGGAGGAAGCAGGCTCCCCGCTGAGCAGAGAGCCCAATGCGGGGCTCGATCCCAGGACCCTGAGATCACGACCCGAGCCGAAGGCAGAGGCTTTAACCCACTGAGCCACCCAGGTGCCCCTAAGTCTTTTTTTTTTTTTTTTTTTTTGAGAGAGAGAGAGAGTGTGTGTGTGTGAGTGGGGGGTGGGAGGGTAATGGGAAGGACAGAGGGAGAGGGAGAGAGAATCTTAAGCAGGCTCCACACTCAGGTGCAGAGCCTGATGTGAGGCTCCATTTCAGGACCCTGAATACATGGCCTGAGTTGTAATCAAGAGTCGGTTGCTTGGCACGCTGAGCCACCCAGTGCCCCATTGGAATTACTTTTAAATTGCACAAAAGTTAACTTTTTCCCCCTCACTACAGAAAATACGTAATTTTAAAAATCTGGAAACCAGAGAAAAACAATTATTCCTGTGCTATTTAACATGCCAAGAAAGTTTTTATTTGTAGTGAGTAAATATTTTTCACTTTGAAAAATATAATTTTCATTTTCAGGTGATCTTTTTAATTCTTTTAAAAAACATACCTGCCTATTCTTTTATTTTTATGGTCTTGGTTATTGCCTTACAGTTTCAATTCCTTCTTTTGTGTCTTTAAATCATTTTAATATGCTTGTTTTATAGTTTTTATGATTACTCCTTTGCTCGAAATCCTTGGAATTTTAAACATTTTGTTCATTTTTCTTGTGATACTATGGATTGTTTCCTCATTTGTTCTGTAATTTTGAATTCTGAGCTAATCTTCAGCGGTTTGGGCTGTGAGAATCCTGAAATTCAGAGTTGAGGGTAGACGTTCCACAACAGTTTCTACCAGTTTCTGCAAGGGACCCAAGAATTATCATTGGCCTGAGATTAATATTCATATGAATGTCTCAGCTTTGGGTTTTTCAGACCACAGGCAAGTAGAACTTCACCCTGGATCTGCGGGAGAAACAGGCCTGAAGTTCTTTCTTGGCAGACTTTTTTGCTCTACTCCAAGCCCTGGGAAAAACAGGAAGGTTTCTTTGCCATCTCTCTGGGCTGGTGCCCTTCTTGTTTTCTATTCTGTCCCTTGAAATGAAAGTCTTTCCAGAGTCCCAGTTTTATGCAAGATCTTAACTTTTCTATTTCTGCATGAGCATTACTTCTCAAGCCCTTGGGTTATGGGGACACATACAAGCCTCTCAGGGAAGGTGTCCATCAGCTCACGCCCAGACTGGCTTTAAGCTCCTTCTCTGTTTGCTACCTGGAGATTTCTCTCTATTCTTGAAAGGTCAGCCACGAGTGCCCTATAATTCTTATCATCTTTTATCCACCTTTTCTAGATGATGACAAGGGAAATATTTCCAAGTTATCATTCTCTACTATCTTGGTATGAGTGGAAATAACAACAAAGATCTTTAAAAATGTTTTTATGTAAAACTTTTTTTTTTTTTTTTTTAAATCTCAACAAGAAGTCTGGAGATGTTCTGGAGGGGGCATAAGGTGGAGTGTGAGAGCCTGAGCTTCAAAATTAAACTGACATTATTAGCTATATATGCTAAAATGAACTATGTATTAGCAAGTTACTCCCTCTGTAAAATGAACCTATTTTAAAACTTAAATTTTGGATTTCATGTATACTAACAGAAAATTTAAATTTTGGATTTCATATATACTAACAGGTCTACATTACTTAGCATCTCACCTGATACAGAATATGTGTACACTACCACAGTTATTTTGATGATTCTGTGTTTAAATGAGATCCGTGAGGTATTAGAAAGTCAGTATCATTGGCATCACAACCTTGCTGCATGGCGTCACACCATAGCAAGTCCAAGATTGCTGGATACAATGATGAGATCATGAGAAAGGAAAAGAAAAGTTACCAAACTGTGGGTGGTCCTGGGTAATTTTGTAGATGATTTCTGAGGCACTGGCACCAGGAGCTTCAGCCTGTAAGATTCTGTTGGTGATCTGTAGCATTCCGCCTTCTGGAACCCACACCACTGAATTAGCCACAAGCCGAAGGCCTGCATCATTCTAGAATGGGGAGAGAGTACAGAGTTAGCCCAAGCCAAAACAAACGTGTGTGTGTGTGTGTGTGTGTGTGTGTACACACACTATACATAATGTATATTATATACATTATTATATACAAATTCTATTTACAAATCCTATATACAAATTTATAAATATATTTATATATAATATGTATTTTTACATTTATATATAATATGTATTTTTATAAATATATATTTCTCTGTGTATATATGTGTGTATGTGTGTGTGTATATACACATATGTATATATATATGTACATATCAGCCCTTAAAAACGGAAGTTATCAGGTACTATTGTTGCCAGCCATCATCTAATAAGAGGTATTCATAGCTCCAGAGTCACACTATGGATTACGTATGTATATTGTGTGTAGACACATGTATGTGTATGTATATATGTACATATCCTATTTTTTTCCTTTCCCTTATCATAAGCAAATAACTTTTTTCATTCATCCATTTCTTTCTTTCATTCATCCCTCTCACTGTCCCTCCACTCTCCCCATCCACTCATACTCAAGCACTGTACACTAAGCACCTATTAGAGGCTGGCTCTCTTGCCAGAGGCCCGAGATATATAAGAATGGCTAAACAAGATGTCGGTTTGAGAACGTACGGTCTAGTCATCCCGCCACAGACAACGAATCAGGGCGTATCACAATGATACTCTGTAAGAGGCTGGAGCAGGGTGCTGTGGGAGAATAAAGGAAAAAAGGGGGTTTCCTCTTTGGGGGAGGAATGCTCAGGAAGGCTTTCCTATGGAAATATCATTTAACTCTTGAATGACCAAAACATGGCCCTTCTAAGAGAGAAGTGCTGAAATGGACTCTGTGCAGAGGGCCCAACAGAGGCAAAGACATGAGACAATGCCCTGTGTCTGGGCAAGAAGAATTTATGGGGCCAGGAGAGGGGTGAATAAGAAGGGACACTCTCTTGAAGTTGGCTGGCGGAGGGTTAGAGGATATACTAAAGGTCTCCACTTATCTTGTAAGCCCAGTAAAGTCAACACGCGTCTTCAGGGAAAGAAGGGGGATGAACAGTCTAGGGTTTATAAAGTCTCCATCAGCAGGAGATGGAAGGGGCTAGAACTGACATGTGTCTGGAGCTGTAGAAACCATTCAACAAATTCTTGTAATGGCTCAGGTGAGAGAAGATGAAATAGTCATTGCCGTGGGAACAGAGTTAGAACCAGTTTCCAGAAACACTAGAGGCCAAACTGACAGGCCTTGATGGCTGGAAGTGAAGCCTTAGAGACAACAGCTGGGAAGAGCTGACTGGAAGAAATCACCTCTTTCGCCTTCCCGAGAAGGCAACCATTTTAATTGCTAAAGCTACTGTCACGAAAGTGCTACCATTCTCTATTTGCAAGGTGTGCACCTCTTCCAAAGCCTCATGACTGACATTTTCCATGGAAGGAGGTTAGTGAGCCTGTGTGTGTTCAGCTTTTAGTCTGTTTTCATACTTTAAAAATCAGTAAATGTGGGGTTCTAAACTAGGGCATTTCAACGGGGACGTTTTTATAAATTATTGTTATTACTTTCAAATATGCCAATATTTGAAACACCCGAACAGAGCAATACCATTCCCAGGAGGGGCAGATTCAGGGCAGAAGACAACAAATAGGCCTTTGCAGTCACTTGGCACGAGAGCATTTGCTCCCCACAAGAGGTGGTCCTGGCCGTTTTCACCACAGTCACCAGGGAACGGAGTCAAACAGTGCCCAGGAGAACAGCAGCAAAAGCACCTTCTATTATGATCAGTGCTCAGGGGCAAACTCCCTAGAATTTTCTCCCTTCACAATTGATACAGCATATTAGTTACAAAAACATCAAAATGTGCCAAGAATTTTCCTCTATACTTACCCCCACCCCCGAATTCTGGGGGAGAAGTCCCAATTAACTCCAGCAGAGTTTCATATAAGATAATACACTCAGACCCAGGTGTCTTAATTGCCAGAAATCTCTCTAATAGCACCCACCTCGTCAAGTCTGATCATGGTTACAGAAATCAGTCATACGCCAACAACCATATTCTGGGACTGATAAGGCAACGTGGTTTTTCATATTCCAAGCAAGTAAGTACTGTGACCTGAATGCATGTCCCCAGATGTCCCTCCCACTACATTTCTATCTTGGCCACACTTTACCAATACAATTCTCTAATTCCTGTGTGACTGTAAATCTTTAGGAGACAGTACTCCTTTTGTGTCAGTGTTAGAACAAACATCTGGAAGTGTTAGGCAACATCTGGAAGCTTATTACAAGTTAAGAATCTCAGACCCCACCCCAGATCCTAAATTAGAATCTGCATTTTATTTTTTTCACCAACTTTACTGAAGTATATTTGACAAATAAAAGTTATACACAGGTAAGGTGCACAATATGATGTTTTGATGTACATATACATAGTGAAGTTCAAGCTAATTAGGAAATCACTCATATAGCTACACTTTTGCGTGTGTATGTGGTAAAAACACTTAAGGTCAACCCAGTCAGCAAATTTCAGGTATATGATACAGTATCAAGTATAGCCACCATGCTATACATTGTATCTCCAGAACTTATTCATCTCTGGTAACTAAACGTCTATATCCTTTGACTAACATCTCCCCATTTCTCCTACCTCAGCCCCTGGCAACCACCATTCTGCTCTGCTATTATGAGCTGGGCTTTTTAAGATTTCAAATATAAATGAGATCATGCAGAATTTGTCTTTTTTCTGTCTGGCTTATTTTACTTAGCATAATGTTTTTCAAGCCCATCTATGCTGTCACAAATGACAGGATTTCCTTTTTTTTAAGGCTGAATAATATTCCATTAGATACATAGATCACAATTTCTTTATCGATTTTTAAAAAATATTTATTTGTTTTAGAGAGAGAAAGCAAGCAAGCGGGGGTGGGGAGGAGCAGAGGGCGAGGGAGAGAGAGAGAGAACCCTGAGGCTGACCCACCACTGGGTGTGAAGCCCGATGTGGGGCTTGATCCCAGGACCCCAAGATCATGGCTTGAGCCGAAATTAAGAATTGGCACTCAACCAACTGAGCCCACCAGGTGCCCCTCTCTTTATCCTTTTATTCATCAAGAGACACTTAGGCTCTTTTCATACCTTGCCTATTGTGACTAATGTTATAATAAACATGTGAGTACATATATCTCTTGAGACACAGATTTCATTTCTTTTAGATATATACCTGGAAATGAGGTTGCTGGATCATATGACAGCTCTGTTTTTAGTTTCCTGAGGACCCTCCATACTGTTTTCCATAATGGCTGCATCAATTTACATCCCCACAGAGAGTGTAGACAGGTTCCCTGTTCCCAGTACCTTCACTAACACTTGTTATCTTTTGTCTTTTTGATAACAGCCATTCTAACAGGTATGAGGTGATAACTCATTGTGGTTTTGATTTGCATTTCCCTGATGATGAGTGATACTGAACATATTTTCATGTACCTGTTGGCCATTTTATGTCTTCTTTTGAGAAAGGTCAGTGCAGGTCCCAAGGCCACATTTTAATTGGATGATAAAGATGATGATTTTGCTATTTGAGTTGTCTGAGTTCCTCATATAGTCTAGATATTAATCCTTTATCAGATATATGGTTTCAAATATTTTCTCCCATTGGGTAGGCTGCCTTTTCATTTCATTGACTGTTTACTTTGCTCTACAGCTTTGTACTCTGATGTGTTTCCACTTGTATTTGAAGAGGATTCCCAGGGGATGTGGAGTCATGCTAAAGCAGGAGAAGCAGAGCTCAGGAAAGAAATAGTAATGGGTCCAGAGTGGTTCTCCTGAACCCCTTAGACAGGTCTTTCAGAATATTTACATTGATAACTTCTGTTTCCAAATCATTTGTTTATAATACATAAGAAGAAACAGACAACTATCTAAGGGAAAGAAGTATAATTCTTCCCACTCATTACGATGAAGATGGTTTTATCAGTTGTCTTCTTCTGGGAGAGAGCCCAGGAAAGATTCAGGAAGAGATGAATAGAAGCCTATATATCATCTTTTCTATAGTTAAAGTGTCCAAAAAAGCCAAACAAATTTTAACGCATTTCCCCAATGATTCTGACATTCTGACATTTTGCAATGTCATTTATCTCCTTGTAGTTTTTTTTTTCCTTCTTCTACACAATGGTGCATATATCCCTGTAAGCTCAAGAAATTAGCCATAACATGAGCTGAATAATCTCCCGCCTAGTGATGTTTTATATGTCCTTCGGGGTACCACATTAGAAAGCAATAAAATCCCAAAAAGGGGCTATGGGGGCATAATCAAAAGAGTGCTTTAAATTAAATAGTTCTTCTAATTCATTTCATAGAACAATGGGCATAGGGAAATGTTGGCAATAAAGTTTGGCCATTATATATTGTGTTACAAATAAAAATATTAATGTTGTAAACCAGAAGTAAGGACCTAGGCTTCTATCATTAGGAGGAAAAATCTCACAAATAAAATGAAAACTTCCTCCCCTAAAATAAGTGTTGGGGCATACATGATGATTTCAAATGACAGTGTACCCTAACCCCAGGTCCAACTACTCAAGCTAAAAAATTTTAAAACTTAATCAAGTAGAAAAGGACTATAATTGGATATAATAACAGTCCTAAGATTTTATTTATTCTGTTTAAAAATGCCTTATTTTGCAAAGGTTCATTTATACCATAGTTTTTTAAATGCGGCCTTAAAGGGCACTGTGGATTTTAGGGAAGGATAACGTAGGGTAGCCGTAAAAAGTGAAACTTGGATGCTATTTGCCAGGATAAAGGATGGAAAGATAACTGGACCGTTTTGGTGTTTGTCAGTGGGTGTACGCCCCTCAGAAGCTCTGTTCCTTCAGGTCAAGAATATAGAACCTTCTCTTCATGTAGATTTCAACTCCATCAAAAATAAAATTTAGTAATCAAGAACCAGTTTTTGAATGTATACTCTGAGCAACACATAAGATGCCAAATTGAACAAGCTAGTAAGTCCACAAAAGATGAAACCCTGGGGCACCTGGGTGGCTCAGTTGTTAGGCATCTGCCCAGAGTCCCGGGATCAAGTCCCACCATCATGTCCCGGATCAAGTCCCATGTCCAGCTCCCTGCTCAGCGGGGAGTCTGCTTCTCTCTCTGACCCTCACCCTGCTTGTTCTCTCTCTCTCTCTGTGTCTCTCTCAATAAATAGATTAAAACCTTAAAAAAAAAAGATGAAACACTGACATGTGGTAAGGATTTATTTATTTATGAGAGAGACTCTTATTCAAAAGCTTAACAATTTTGTGCTATACTTCTAATTGTCACAAGCACCCTTATTATCAAGAGGCATCCATGCCAGACAACCACTGGGAGGATAAGTTTTAAGAAAATTGAAGGAAAGCACAATAGGGCCGCTAGTCACACACAAGCCTTACCAAGCTCAAACAGCCAGAGCAGACTTAGCAACAGAATTTTCCAACCAGTTCATAGCATGATACTTGGGGGATTTTCACATCAAAGCATTACCCAATGGCAGAAAGTAACTGCTCAAACAACAACAAACGAGGTCACAAAGATCATCAGATTTATTGCCAAAGTGGAAAAGGAGGCATGATTTCCAGAGATGCCTTAATTAATTAAAAAGAAGCTTGGCTTGAAAGACTGGCAGTGGAGAGAAACCCACCAATAAGCTTTTCCCTGCCTACATTTTAGCCCTTATTAGATGCCGAAATGCTTTAAAATCATATCTCCAGTGGGCTCGGGTTTGGTAATCCACACAATTAATGAAAGCCTGTTCAGCAAGCATTCTTTATTACCTTTTAATCTTCTTGACTTCTTTTGCCTCCCCCCACCCCAACAGAGCATGTTTCAACATCAGTCCTGAATCTATTTTCTCTTCAGCAACTCAGCATAAGCCTGGAGGGCAGTAAATTTCCTCACTGCCAGGCCAAGGATGAAACTTTGGAGGAAGTGATGCAGAACTTGAGAAGCGAGAGTGGAGCCGACAGCTCCCACGCTTAGTCCCAGATAGGCCACCTCAACATCAGCAGAGGTGGCCTGAAGGCTTCTCAGGTGCAGGAGAGGATTCTAACGTAGGAACACAGGAACTAGCCTCACTCAAGCTGTCTCATCTCTCCAAATATCTACGCATCCAACAAAAATGCGCTGAACTCCTAGGATGTGCCTTGCTCAAGAGAGGAAGACTAAAAGCGTTGCTGCTCACACACAGTTTTCTTTTTTTTTTTTTTCTCTCTCTCTCTCCTTTCACCTGTGGCAGTGGGTAAAGTTTTCTATTGAACAACATTGGGATTAATTTGTACATCCATTCCTCAGGAATTAGACCTAATCCCCTTCACCATGACACTTAAACCACCAGGTAGACATCAGCCAGTAATTGGCCTGACTTCAAGTTTAATACACAGGTGGGCTCAGTGTAGGGACTTGGATGCCCACCTTCAGAAGTGGCTATCAGAATGAAATCAAACATGTCTGACCATACACGTACTGGAAGCCATTAACAGCTGAAGGAGTTTTTTTTCTTCCTGGGCTCCGGCAGACTTAGGATTATAAATAGCTTCACTTGTAACAAGATGTGGTGAGTCCAGAGGGAAGATTCCAGGAGGCTTAGGGCCCAGACTGCTTGGATAGGACACTGACAAAATGACTAAATTGCTGTCTCCACTCTGTCAATGAGGGGGATCAGAATATATATGACCAAAACATCAAAAAATATGGGCTAGAATGAAAAAAGCTATGTGGGTTAAGTGTGATGAGCCAGAACACACTTGAGTCAAAACCACAGCTCCAACAGGAAATACCTTTATAAAAAAATAAACATTTTTAAACTTTTAAAAATGTTTAATACCTTTTCTTCAGTTTCCCTTTTTTGGAAAATTAAGAGATAATAATTGTACAAACATCCTGGAATGATCATGAGGATCAAATGAAATAATTTACATCAACACGACTGATCCAATAAAGGTTACAAACAAAACAAACAAAAACACCTCCCACCCATAGTAGAACTTCTAATAGAAGAAATAAGGTCAGGGCGCCTGGGCGGCTCAGTGGGTTAAGCCTCTGCCTTCGGCTCAGGTCATGATCTCAGGATCCTGGGATCGAGCCCCACATCGGGCTCTCTGCTCAGCAGGGAACCTGCTTCCCCCTCTCTCTCTGCCTGCCTCTCTGCCTCCTTGTGATCTCTGTCTGTCAAATAAATTTTTAAAAAAATCTTTAAAAAAAAGAAAAAGAAATAAGGTCATATGGCCCCGCTCCTAACCTTCTTCATTAAAATATTGTAAAAATCAATAGAAGAGATTTAAAGAAAAAGTACTTTGAATTCCTGAAAGGAAATATAGTATATGCATTCGTAAAATATCAGTATTACAGAGTCAGATTTATTAGTACGTCCTGATGGATGGTTTCATTATCCCAGTTCATTGGCTTAGAAGCCATTAATTAGTTCACCAGACGGACACATAAGCACAACACTACAGGAGATGGAGTGATGGCAGGAGGAAGGAGGAGGGACAGACATTGTAATACTGACATGAATCCCAAGGTATAAGTGCTACAAAAATTCTCAAGTTCTGTGCTTATGTCTTATTTATAAATTAAACTTTAATTTTTGCTTGTTTTGTTTTGGTAGTCAAAGCAGTTAAAATCCTAGACATACCCTTCAACCTTAGACCCTAGCATACAAAATGACAGTGCCATCCACCAAACCGATCTCCAAATGTGGAGACTGAAACCACTACAGGAAAGGCAGCTGCGAGCGTTGCACTAAAATCCTGTAACAATCTTTGGAAGGAAACCAAGCAGGAAGAAAAGAAACTTCCTGTGTCTGTCTAGACTTCATCTCTTCAGAACTAAACCTCATCTCCCAGGGCAATTGCAAGAGGGTGATAATTAGGATTAGCTACAAGGTGGCTATCTGCCAACTCTGTTCTCATAATCAGCCTTCACTTACTCCCCTCTATCTCATGCCACCATCACTGTTTTCATCAGCTGCAAATCATGAGACAACAGCCTGAGAAACTAGCCAGCAGACTATGTTACATCCAAGCTGTTCACCTTTGCAAGGCTCCATCGCAGAGACTGAACGATCTTCCGTGAGAAACTGACAAGTCATTTCTAAACTGTCCTCGGCAAATCCATCTCTCTAGCTAATCGTCAATGACACTTTGGTGGCTACTGATATTTGGAATGAAACGTTCAATAAAAATGATAAGTCTCCCAATCAACCACCATGGGAAAGAGCCATTGTTGCTAAAACAGAGGAAAGAGCTTCTAGCGAAATATCATCAAGTAATTAGTGGTTCTGAAAATGTTTTTCAGTAGGCTTCTTGGCTCTAGCATGGGTCAGCCCAGTCCCTAAACGTCACAGCCACCCCATTAATAGTATCCAAGAACATTCTATCTACTAGGTGAACGAGTATTTTTAAAAGTGGTCATGTATTAATTTTAATATTTTAGAAGTACAATTCTACATTAAGCCCATGATTTCATATGCATTATTAGGATGAGACCACAATAAAAAATCTGATACAAAGAAAAATATTAAGTAAATAATAGAAAAGATATTCGTGGGTATGACAAAGACATACGGAGGTGGCATGGGAATGACTCAGGCCGACAGGTGTTCCTGTGATTACTAAAAGAGAGTTTCCTCACCCTACTTGAGCTGGGCTAACAGAATGGCCGAACCCATCTTTTTCGGTTCATTATGATCACCTATGAGCTTCCCATTGCATGAGCTGTTGCGGAAGGGAGACAAAAACAGGGGTGCGCTTGATTCGTATGATCAGACTTAGGCAGCAGACAAGAGCATCAGCGGACGATGAGGCATTTTTATGGCAGCAAGTCAACATAAAGGTGTGAAAGTGTCCCTTGTGCAGAGAACATGGGGACAGGTCCTTCAGATCAAGGAAGCTCCTAACAAAACATACACTACTCCCTGAGATTGGGTATTGTGTTCTGTGAATCTCTGAACATTCTAATTATCTCCGTAATAGATGTTTAATCAATGTTTGAATACATACCTATGCATATCTTAACTTTATGAATATTTTAAAATAATATCATCGACAAAACTTCCTATCTAGGTGCAAGGAAACTGCCGCTCTAGGAATCCCACCTACCTGGGGCACCAGCTTCACACGGAACAGTATATTTTGAAAGGAATGCCCGTCGGTGGCCTGCAGGACTGCAACATCGGACACGCTCTCCGAGCCATCGTGAGCGTAGTGGAGGAGGCCCCTGGAGAGCTCATCCAGCCGGAACTGGTAGATCGGGGCTGAAGGGGACTGAAGTGTTTGGAGCAATTGGCCATGACGTGGCGGGTCAAGCACGTCGACCACGACGTCCTGTGGGTTGTCGTCATCTCGGATGTCAAGCAGCTGCGTCGTGATGGTCCCTCTCTCTCCTCTGCTAATACGGAGGGCCTCGTTTCTCAGCACATAGGGGGCCTGAGGAGTGGAACGGAAGGAGGAGAAGTCATTTAGCAGGGAAGAGGGCGACCCGGTGACTAGTTACTGTTGTGCACAACCTAACTGATGATTCTGTGCTTTTGAAGGGAACTCTTAAAGCTCCAGCAAAGTGCCAAATGGTGGCAGAGTCAAAGGATTTGTCGGAGGTGTGGGCAGTTGCAGTAGCCAGAGCAAGTGAGATTACTTCATACTTCGGGTTCTGGAGTTTTCTCAAGCCACTTCAAGGCCATCATATTCGCCAGAGGAAACGGAGATGAGCCTTGTTTCCAAGTCTCTGCTGTCTTGATTTACACTATATCCCCTGCATTGTAACTGAGATCAGCCCAGAGTCAGGAATCCCAACCAGTTTTCTGCATCCAAGAGAGAACAGTAAGAGTCATGGAATCTTTTCCCTGGGGTTCGGGGTTGAGTATTTCCCTCTAGCGACACTGCAGTATGCTGACTTGGGGTAATATGTTTCTGATTCTGAATTCATGTCATATCTGGTCCCAGGCAATAATTTTCTTGAAGTCATCTCCTCCATATCTTGAAGGGCCCACCCCAGCTCAGGTTTTAGAGCCCAGGAAGACGCGGTCGGAGAAAGACAACCACCTGGCTAATCCACGTGGCAAATTTTCAGATGTTTTTCTTGGGATTATCAGGTTTCCCTTCACCAGGTGAGTAAGCAAATACAATATTCTTTCATAAAGACAAAAGTTAATGAACCACAACAGAAAAAATTACCAACCAACCAACAAACAAACCAAACAAACAAAACAAAACCTGAGGCCAAAAGCCAAAGAAAACATTATCTTAGTTTTGTATATCGTTTGAAGTTGAACCATCTAGGACTTCTATCAGCATATCGCTTTCTTTAATCCAATGGTTTTGTTTTAAAACTACCTCTCTGGCCTCCTGGAAATTTCAACATCTATTAAAGTAATGTCTAGCTAATGTATCATTGTAATAGTCACATAGTAGGAAGATAGAGGACAGCTACCCCTCAGAATTCCCAAGTGAGTATGCAGAAGCTGTGATTCTAGATACGTGGGAATGAAGGGCCCCTTGGATTCTAAAAGAGGAGAGGTCAGAAGGTCATGTCAACATCCATAAATGGAAAAGATCAAATTAACTTGCATGAGAAAATCTCCAGGAGGTTCAAGACCATATTGAAATATCACAGGACTGTAAAGGAACAAAAATAAGTTAAAATTAATTTTTAAAACTCCATTTTAAAAAAGTTAAAATGAAAGAAGTTTCTCATATAATAAATAAAATTTAAAAATGCTGCCACTATTTATTCGCTTGATTTGGGGAAGACAAGCAAACAAAACTTAGGGAACCATAGGAGCTCACTGTCTGAGATGAGAAAGGCACTTGCCAGTATCTACCCTAAGTCTCTAATTTACCTAATTAGAGTAACTATATTAACACAAACAAAAAGAACAAAATAAAACTTCTGAGTTTAGGTACTGAGAAATTTTAAGCCAGACAGTCCTCAGGCCCGATGTAGCCCTCTGGCCCATATTTACAGAGAACACATGTTTTCATTTTTGGTTGGTTTTTGTTTTTGTTTTTGCTTTTAACATGTTTTAGTTTTAATTAAAACAAAATTAATACTCTTAGCCCAACAGTGAAGTCAAATGAATATCAGATCAATTTCTAATCAACCCTCAACTTCCGGCACCCCTGAAATAAGAATGCCATCAAGAAGAGCAAACTTGGGGGCGGAGCGCCTGCGTGGCTCAGTTGTTAGGTGTCTGCCTTCGGCTCAGGTCATGATCTCGGGGTCCTGGGACTGAGCCCCATGTTGGCGTCCCTGGAGGAGTCTGCTTATCCCTCTCTCCATGCTCCCTGACTTGTGTTCTCTGTCTCTCTCTCTCTCAAGTAAATAAACAAAGTATTAAAAAAAGGAAGAAGAAGAAGATCGAAGTTGGCCTGTGAACACCATCTGGGAGTCACTTCTGGGTTATGTCTCTGTTATCCACAGTCCATGGTCTTTTCATATTTGGACCAAAATTTAAAAAAAAAAATTAAAACAATAGTCTCATGTCTTTCCTTGAATTCATGACTAATACTCTACAGAGTTCTGGATATTTAGGTATCCTTGGTTCCCCATGCTGATATCCCACTCTCTTACTGTTCACAACTTAAGACTAGATCTATCCCCTACTCTCTTTGCATGTTTCAGCTGTTGAATCCCTCAAGCTCACTCAGACCCTCTACCACTATCTGTATTCTGGAACATAAGTACATCTTAACAGAGATGAGTGATGGGAACAGAGGCGCCATCACACTGAGTTTTATAGCATCTACCATGATGTCCTCAGACTTCTGTCTGGCTGGTGCCCGCACTGGCACCCCATGTAAGTACATGCTTAATCAGATGCTCTACCTACCGCAAACTGATGGGAGCATAGCCCAGCTACAGGACAGATAGGCAAAAGTAGCTGAGGAATAATTTCATATTCCTGAGAGAGAAATATTTAGGCAAAACAAACTCATTTACCCAAGACTAGGAAAGTCTTAACAACTGGAACAGTTTCAAATTATTCTGAAGGGCTCAAATCATACTCAGGAGAGTACAGTAAGGCACCATAAGTTAGTGGGCAAGAACACAGACTCTGTGGCCCAATTTTCTGGGCACAAATCTCAGCTCTTATTTATTAGCTATGTCACCATAGACAAGTTACTTAACTTCCCTGTGACTTTAGTTTCCTTCTCTGCAAACTGGGGAAAACAACACCCCACAGGGCTATCATAAGGATTGAATGAAAAATACAAAGAAGAATATGATAGATGTATTAGCAATTAGTTGTTGCTGCTGTTCTTACCCACAAGCACTAAAAATTATTCCAGTAGTATTTCATGGAGAACCTGAGACTAGCTTAACTGAGGTTATTTCTGCTATAACTACTAGAAAGAAACCTTGATTCACAAATGCAAAAATATTAATTGTGTGGCAATGTCATTACCTGTGTTGAAAACGCTTGTATGTTGATCAGCTGTGGCTCAGAGAAGAACTGCTGGTCACTAATTTTCAGGGAAAAGTAACCTTTCCTAAAAGATGTCCCCAAGAAAGGAATGAGAAAATGCAGTCATTAGTCTCTAGAAAAACAAGATTAAAAATATCTTCAGCTTATATGCATGGAAGAATTTGGATCAAAGCACTACCATGATACAATATTCATACTATAAATAAAAGTAACCAGATGAAGATGAACATAGTGACATACAGGTAAAACTATGGTGTATTCTCTGACCTCAATATAATGTAACAATTCCATAAACTTTTTAGTTTTGATTTTTCTAAAATAACTATATAAATGTTTGAAAAATGAGTTTTAGGCCCAAGACATAATAATGAAAAACAAAACGAAGGCTAATGGTTAAATTGGAGAGAATGGAAAGGAACTATCAGAGTCTCTGATTAACTCTCAGTGATTCCCTCCCTCTGCAAACCCTCCCTCCAACCTGTCCCCAGATCACGTGAGTGAGCCCCCATGAATGATTCTGCAGTGTTCATATTACCTGACTCTATCTACCTGGCCCCCATTCTAGCCACACACATATACAATCAGTGTGGATGGGATGAGGGGAAGATTGCTGATTATTCCCTGGAAATCTGCAACTAGCCTGAGAGCCCCCATTTGATGATGCAGAAGCCACAGTCTACCACGATGAGATGTGGAGCAAGCCTGTCTGCAGGGAAGAGGTAAATGAAGCCTTTGAGCAGCGAGATATAGAGACAAGAGGCAGAGCTGAGTCCTGCTTCTCGTTCCCGGTCCTAGCTTCTAGGCTTATCCGGGAAGCCCAGGTGTCCTTGATGTGTTAGAGATCTGAGCCATACCTGCGATGTTAAAACAAGCCTCACAATTTTGTAGGCTTCATTACTTGCAATAGAAGATAAAACAGAATAAGGCTCCTTCTTTGCTGTGGTTTTACTTCCTGTAAGAGTGTTGCTCCAGAGGCTTCAGAGACAACCAGAAGGGAAGGGAGGAGCCGCCCACCTTCAAAGCCAAGCCAAGCACAGAACTCACAGTAGACTGGGAAGACATGTGGTTTACGCCTTACGAGAGGTTTTGAGCTCTGGTCGACTATAAGGACCACAATTTTAAAGGTTCTCGTTTTTTGATTTTTTAACTTTTTTATTATAAAATGCATCATACATACCAAAGAGCATATTAAACACATAGATTTTAAAGAACTAGAGAAACATCAGTGTATCCACCACCTGAGAAAAATTTAAGTTAACTATTTATGAGAATTGTCAACTTGATTTTTCTTCCATTGAGCTTTTGCAAAATGGTGGCTGTTTATTTAAGGAGCTAGATAGGTCTATTCAAATCCACAGCTCTAACAATTTCCACTACAAAATGCTTATTTCCGGAATTGACCATAGTTACTACAAGCTAGGAGTATATTATTCTTCAGAATAGTGGAAAATTAGGTACTTAGGGCTTGTGAACATAGAACCTCATAGTTTTTTAGTGGAAAAGTATGACTGGAAACTACAATTTAAAGGTTCTTTAAAAGGTCTTCTTGGAACTATCACTGATACACAAAAGAACGTGGATGGATCTCAAAAGCATATGGCAAAAACCAGAAACAAAAGATTAGTACTGTATGATTCCATGGCTAGGACATTTCAGCAAAGGCAAAACTCTTTAAGAGTAAAAAAACAGATCAGTGGTTTCCAGAAACTGGGGGAACTGGAGCGGGGGGGAGGAGGCGGGAATGAGTCACAGTAAAAAGGAGAGCTTGGGGGGCAGTTGATGAAACTGTCTCAAACCTTGACCGCAGTTGTGGTTTCAAGACTGCCAGAGTGTATACATTTGTTAACACTCATAGACCAATAGACTTCAAGATGGGGGATTTTACTGAACCCAAATTATACCTCAATGAACCTAATTAAAAAAAAAAAAAAGTAAATCTTGTCTTCCCTCCCATTTCATCCTCTCCTTGATTTTCTGTCCCATTTAAATCCTGTCCCTCTTCACTCCAATCTCCAGACGTCCAGAGAAAGCAACCGAGGGAAGCAACAGAAAGAAGAAGGGGTGGTTACTCCCAGCCCACGGGGGAAAATGACATTTTGGCGGCACAGAGGTTCCGATAATTGCTTAGCACTCCAGCAATGCTGGCTTGCCCCCACGGCCATATTTGCAGGTTGTCTTGTACTCCACAGGAACATTCTGACCCCAAAGGAATCCAGCGCGAAAGAATCATGGTCAGGTTTTCATGGGGAAAAACAAAACCACAAACCTATACGGCAAGCAGCCCCTTTCATTTTTGCATCACTTGGCAACTTACAGAATTTTCTTTTCTCATGAATCACTACCAATCTTGTTTTACTGTTCTTCCTTTTGTTTAAATTTTTAGGTAAAGAAGACCCTATGCTAAAATTGGTACCCCAAAGTCAAGGGAGTGCTGAAAGAATTCCCAGCAAAATAGTCACCTTTCTTTGTCATGTTTGGGGGTATGGAGCTGACTCTGCAAGAAAACAGGTGATGAGAGACTAAAAAGGTGAAACAGACAAGAGGAGTAACTTTGGTTGTCTGGGGGCTTTACGAACTTTACTAACTTTTCACAAGATTCCAAGGCAAAGGACTACAGGTATGAAGCCGTGTGTGTGTGTGTGTGTGTGTGTGTGTGACGCAAACAATTAAGAACTATACTTGAAGCAAAATGAATGCAGATTGGGAGCATAAATCTGAAGAGTGATTCTATGGTGTAAGAAGCCAGAGTTTTAATCTGCGGCAATGTCTCTGTGCAAGGATATTTTGTCCCTGGAGGATGGAAGCATGCCCATTATTCCCAGTATAATTCAGGAGGTAGAAGTCATTCTGGCTACAGGCATGGGCTGTGGAGTCAGATACCTGGCTTTGCTCATGCTCTCAAGGGCTCAGTCTCCCCATCTGTAGCCTGGGAACATAAACATACCGAGTTCACATGAACTGTTTACTACAATGCTTGTGTCATAGTTAGGGCTCAGTAAGTATCAGTTGCTCTTATTCCTATAAGATGGTCTTTTGAGGTTCTGGCTCTGAACTACAATAAAGTGCCATCGCTTTTCTTCCCACCTATTTGCTAGCCCAAACTTTAAAAAAAAAAAAAAAAGTCTCCAGTGGTAACAATAAGAAAATATTCACTGTGAATATTTCATTCCATTGGTAACACAGGCAGTCTACCATGCACTATCCGCACTAAGGAAGCAGAGCTGGGTGAAGGATAATCTGCGAGGTAAGCTTTGGGGTGCATTGTCTTATTTCTGTTTAGCAGATTTACTGTGCTAATTATATGACTCTATTTGCCTGGGTTGGTGTTAGCATTCGATTGCATTCCTGAAGCATATGTCAGCCGGGGTGGGGAAGACAGCCAGAAGTGTGCCAGGCATCAGAGAAAAACTGGATCCGGCTTAAAAATTAACCACAATTAATCCCATAAAGTAGATAATAAAAAGTTGTGACTCTTAGCTTCCCTCCCACTCTGGAATTCTAGGAACCATCGAACACTTTGAAAACTCCATCTCCCGGCCCTTGCTCACTCCCAGTATATCACCCTAATGCTGAAGGAGCAGCTGTAGCCATCTGCAGAGAGAACCAGTTTTGCTTCTGCTGGGCCAGAAATCCTGGGTAATTGTCCTAGGAACTTTCCTGTCACATCAGAGAATTACCCATAATTACGTGATAAAATGAAAATGCCTCTAACAGAAGCATACTCTCGGAGCAATTACAGTGAAATGACGACAGGCGGCTGAAAGCGTTGGCATTTCTGGAGTCCAGATCTTCCCCAGAGGAGCAGGGATAGCTACTGAGAAGTGGGGGCAGGGTGCACCGCGTCGACAGAAGGGAGGCAGGAGGAAAACAACACAACGCCAGTCACCTGGGCTTTTCTTTGCTGTGCACAAAACGCACTTTTTTCTCATCCACATCCTTCCAGCTAAAATGGCCGGCCTTGTCGAGCTGGACCTCTTTTCCATTCCTGGAGAGCACCAGCTGACCGTTGGTGGGCGTGCTCACAACACGGAACTGGAGGTCTTCCAGCCGGCCATCTCGGTCTCGGACATTCAGAAGGGGAAGACCCAGTGGCTTCATCGAACCAATGGGAAGGGTGAGAGAACCATTCACATGAAGAGTAGGAGTGGACATTTTGCCTGGAAAACATAGGGTCCAGAGATCAGACTTGGTACACTCACTAATAAGGTTTTGGGTTTCTTTTTAATTAATAGATTTATAATGTTCATTCAGAAATGAGGCTCTAAACTTTTGTAACCATAAGCCTCCTTCTAATCCAGTGATTCTCACCCTGAACGCGTATGAGAATAACATAGATTCTCAATGTTAAGATATAAACTTCTAGAAGAAGATAGAGGATAGAATCATCGTGATCTTAAATTAGGCAATGTCTTCTTCGGCATGACACAAAAAGCACGAGTGACAAAAGAAAAAATACCTAAATTGGACCAAAGTACTTCAAAGGGCACCAGCAACAAAAGTGAAAAAGACAATCCATAGAATGGGAGAAAATATTTGCAAATTATTTATCTGAAAAGGGACTTGTATCCAAAATATATGTAAAAAAATTCTTACAATGCAATTAAAGACAAGGAGCCCAATTTAAAAATAGGCAAAGTGTTTGAATAGGCATTTTTCCAAAAAGATACACAGAAGGCCAGTAAGTACAAGAAAAGGTCCTCAATGTCATTAGTCATCAGGGAAATGCAAATCAAGACCACCACGTGATACCGCTTCACACCTACTGTGAAGGACAATAAAAAGTATTCCTGAGGACGTAGATGGTTTAGAAATCTTATACATCGCTGGTGGGAACATGAAATGGTGCCATCTGGCAGTTCCTCAAACAATTAAGCATAGAGCTACCCTATGATCCAGTAATTCTACCCACAAGCATATACCCACGGGAACGGAATACATACGTCCACATAAAACCTCATACGGGAATGTTCATACCATTATACCTAAGAGCCCCAAAATGGAAACAACTCAAACGTCCATTAATTGGTGAATGACTAAACAAAAGATGATGTATCCATACAATGGAATATTATTCGACCATGAAAAGAGATGATGTACTGATACATGTTCCAAGGTAGAGGAACCTTGAAAATGTTCTTGCCATGTGAAAAAAGCCAGACATAAAAAGCCACACATTGTATGGTTCCATTGATTGATGTGAAAGGTCTAGAATAGTTAAACCCACAGAGCCAGAAAGTTAGTCAGGGAGAGCCAGAAAGTCAGTCAGGGATTGCCAGGGACTGGAGCAAGGGAGCACTACAGAGAGACTGTTAATGGTTACTGGATTTCTTTCTAGGAAGAACAGAATGTCCTAGAATTAGATAGTGGTGATAGTTATACAACCTTGTGACTATAATAAAGACCACACCGAATTGTGTACTTTAAAGGGTGAATTCTGTGCTATGTGACTTACATCTCAGCAATAACCAGTATGGATACTGGACCTCCACCAGTGTTCCGGCTTCAGTGTTCTGAGGTGGGCACCTCAGTGATTTCACAAGCTCCTCAGGCAATCCTAATGGGACTTCCAAGTTTGAGAACCACAGTCCTAACCTGATACTTTGATCACATCTGACCATCAGACCCATGAACAGTAAGGAATAAAGCAAGTGTCTGATACCATTTGCTCAAACAGTACCAGTTAGTCTGTAATGAACTATGACTATCAGTGGCTTAGACTCAGAATTCATGGGACATGTCCACACTTCCTTTTAAAATTTTACCCTTTCTGTTCATAGGAACTATCTGTGGATGAGTATCTGATCACGATGAGAAATTCATCTTGTCTCCTGCAAGGTGTTTCGCCTGGACTTGAATTGTTAGAGTTTCCTTCTACAAGTAGGTCAGACAGGACAGTTTGGGAATGCAAAGTTCAAGGGGACGACTTCCACTGTAAGATTACTCTTATGGAAGTGGAATTCATTTTCACAAGTTGACTTGTATGATATCCCAAGAGGAGCAGGCTGACTTTCAAGTACTTGGGGTTTCCAGAAGGATCCCAATAAAATGAGCCAAAGATGTCTTTTTCCCATGGGAAGTCTTAATATCTTTAGAGGTCAGAAATCTAGAGACGGAAAATGTGATTGACTGCGGGTGTTAATACAGGCCTTGAGTACTGATGAAGGACACTCAGAAGCTGAGGAATGTTCAACTACAATAAAATTCCCCAGTTTCATTCAGCTATAAAACTTTGGGGTTCAAAATTATGACTGAATTTAAATTTGCTTCTCTTTTATTGTTTAAGGTGAAGTGTCCATTAATGTGTTGGATAAGACTAGCTCCTCCCCTTAACATGTCACCTTATTCTTAATGGGACAGTGGCTTGAAACCCATTCGCTCCAAACACAGGACTCTAATGGGGCAGGCTCCTCACACTACTCATTATTTATTTGCAAAATAACTCCAGTATGTCCACAAAGGATGTGACCGTGGCATAATTAGCTCTAAAAGTTTATATACATGCAAATCAATTATACTTATATGTATATAGGTAATTTTCTACAACATAGCTATAGCTCAGAAACATAACTAAGTTTTATGCCAAATTTCTGATTTGATAGTTGTTACTTTTAAAGCATAGATTCTTTTTCCTGAAGATCTTAGAAGCTGAGTTTCCCTAATGTCCATGTTCTATAAACAATCCCTTATTCCTTTGCTTTCCTCGAATGAGAATCCTGCATGTCATATCACATGAGCTGACTGTATCTCCACACGGAGCCTCTGCGTGGAGAAATCACAGGTCAGCATGTGAGGCCGTCTGACAAGCACTTACCAGCACATGTTCCATTAGAGTGGGTGAAGCCAGGAATACAGCTGGAAACACAAAGGCCACTCTTCAAAAAGAACCCCTGCTCACACTGGTGACACCGGTCCCGGCGGCTACACCTCAAGCATGCCCGAGGACAGGCTGTCAAAGAAAGGCCACAGTAGTTGAGGCATGGCCAAGGCACAGGTGGCCAGTGACAGAGAAATAAAGAGTGGCAGCATGAGCAACACAGGACTCCCAACCACAGCCACGGTGAATTCCCATGGTTCCCTCTGGAATTTCACAGGAAGCTGACTGACCCCCAGAAGGAGAGTGAACACAGAGGAGCACTTTTGCTGAACACACTCTGATGTGAAAATGGTGCACATAAACGGATTGTATAAAAAGTTAACCCTACTGACGTGTAAGGGACGCGGTTGACAGTGATTAAGAGCGCAGGCCCTTCCTGGGTACCGTTCCTCCTCCGCCACTTAGCAGCTGTCCACTTCAGGCAAGTTCCTCTAGTCACCCATGGTGTGATGGGGAGAGGAATAGCACCTAATGCGAATCCCCATCGGGAGGATGTTGTAATGTGAAGAGACCAGAACAGTGCCTGGCATACAGAAGGACTCAGCTGGACTACCAACGTCACTGCTGCTGCTGCGTCATCACCATCATCATCACCATCATCATCACCATCATCATCATCACCATCATCATCATCCCCATCATCATCCCCATCATCATCACCATCATCATCACCATCATCATCATCCCCATCATCATCCCCATCATCATCACCATCATCAACATCACCATCATCATCACCATCATCATCATCCCCATCATCATCCCCATCATCATCACCATCATCATCATCACCATCATCATCATCACCATCATCATCACCATCAACATTTTCAATGCAGGAGGAGAGCAAGCTCCTGAAAGGACCCGAGGATTATTTCTTTGGGTCCACTTAATAATCTTCTACAAATTGAGTGTTCACTGCCTAATTTTCCTGATTCCTTGAGATTTTAGTATACAGAGGTAGTATAAAATAAAGGGCTCAGAATTGGAATCAGAAAATGTGGGTTTAATACCTGATTTTATGTTGCCTTGGTTAATACTCTCAAGCCATTCTTTTTTTTTTTTTTTTCACTTGTAAAATGGGATTCCTAATGTCTGCCATATTTTACCATCAAGTCATTGTGAATATTAAATGAGATAAGGCAGACGGAGGAATTCGGTGAAAGGTAAAACACCACGCCAGGGCCATGGCTTTATTATTAAATGTCAGGTTTTCTTCAAAGTGGGGCATCAAGTATCAAATTTTAGTGGAAAAGATGAGAACAAACTGTAGAAACTCTCATGGATAACCCGATGGACAAGCAGATTAAGGCTTTGGTTGAACTTCAATGATAAAGGTTCAGTGTATCTCAATAAATTGTCCTCAGAAATCCTACTCAAGGATATTGCACCAATATCGGGGTCACTCATAATTTAGTCCACACACTGAAAATTCTGCACCCACATCAATAGAGGTGACCTGCTCTTGATGGATACCTCACCTTAGTTCAACACAAGCCTTACATTTCATAAAATACTGGCCTTATTTCCATAAAGACCTTTAGAGACAGTATTGATCTGTGCAAGAGAATTATTGGCCTGCACGTCTACGTTCTATTTAACCAGCAATTGGCAGATGTGCATGGGAAGCCCTCTGTTTCTGAGACCGACCTCTCTGGGTTTCCATTCTGCCTCTAATGCAGATTCTCCTTGGTACCTGCAATCGACACACCTGATATACTTGTGGCCCTCACTTTTTTTCCAGAGGACTCGGCGCAATTTCCAAGTTACCTGTGCACTGGCGATTTGCGTGATCTGCAAAGTACCCCTTCCCGCATTCCTGAACACACTGGGCTTCCGACAGGAGATACGGCTCTTCACAGCGTGTACACTCATGGGGGCCTTGGCACTGGAGACAGTGGTTGCCACAGCCTGAAAGACAAAAGTCAAATCAACAGAACTGTGTGTGGTTTTCCAGGGGGCTCCTGGGCCTCATGGGGAGGCAGCATAAGGCGCAGAACAGTGATATGACCTGGCCGGGCAGAAGACGAGGACTCAGGAACCAGGCTCTGGCTGGCGCTGCTCTACTTACCGGGAGGGTGATTTAGGACCAGAGATTGACTTCTCTGAGCCTCGATGCTCTCTCCTATAAAATAGGAGTGGATGGTGTCCCACTCAGCTTGCTGGGCAGAGATTAAAGTAAATAATGGAAAACACGAGGCATACCTCGAAACTACAGGTATTAGCCATTATCATTACTAGGAACTAGTCAGTGGTTCTCTTGCCTTGCTGAAGTGGCCATCTTTCCTGACTCACCCAGTTATCAGAGTCTCCCAGGAACGCTCCTCGGACTGCCATCTGTGCGTTTGGGGGGCATTTCGGGGTCAGAAGAGTCTGTGGTGTTCAACCAAGGCTGAAGGGGGTGGCACTCAGGGACAGGCAGTGGAGAGACATTCATGCATGCAGGGCTCCAGGGGACAGCTGGGGGAATCAGACGGTCCTTCCCGATGCTCAAATGAGCAGGGTCTACGCATTCCCCTTCTAGAGGACAGGATTATTCAATACTCTGGGAAGTCCAAAGTCATCATCAAACCATACCTGTTGATGTGGCCTTATACCCCAGGATTCCCATCCTGATCTCAAAGTTTAGCAACTGTCACATTTGGGAGTGGGAGAAGGAAAGGGGACATTCTGACTACGACAAAGAAAAGCTCTCAGGCATGAAACAGGAAATTCGATAAAAAGCTGGAAAGGAAACTCGCCACTGACTCCTGGTCAGAACAGTAAAAATCGGAGGCGGCTGCAGGCCGGAAGTGGACAGAGCGAGCACTGTGGACACTTACTCTTGCAGAAGCCCACGTCCCTGTAGAAGGACGGCGAGCACTGCTCCACGCAGGCCCCGTCCTGCAGGACGTAGCCGTCCATGCACAGCAGGCAGTCTGTCCGCAGGGGCCCGCTGCACGCGTTGCAACTCCAGTCGCACTCTAGGAAAGGAAGTCCACGTTAGGTCACCTCCACCCGTCCACCCTCTGTCCCGGCGACTAATTTATGAGGATGCGTCCACAGCAGCAAGGGGCGAGGTGGGACAACAGGGGAGATGTCAGATGAGCAAGCCAGAAGGAGGTTTCTGCTTGTAGGAGCCCGAACGCCTCTCTGCGGTGTAGTGTTTCCTAATTATGCTGGACACGGCACATACGAGGATCACCCCAGGCTTGTGCAGAGTCTGCCTGTCAGCAGGGCTGCAGAGGAGCTGAGTCAACTTACTCTTGATTCCCGGGCCACAGTGTCCTCAGGCAAAAGCCTGCTCTGCTCTAGGGAGGGGCCCGTTTGCCTCCACAACCCTAATCCGCACCTCCTTGGAATGCTCCACAGGTAAAGGGATGTCAGAGACTCAGCCAGGAATGTGTCAGTTGGCGCCACCAAACCGGCTGCTTGGCTCTTAACCTTTCACAAGTCAGGGGCTGGCCCACCCAGCAGAGCGCACCAATGACGTTAGGATTAAATGCGGCATCAAGGAAGTGTCTGGGAAAAAAAGGGTTTCCAGAAATAACAGGAGACCTCCTGAGAGCAGTAGATCCGACTCACTTCCATGCTATCTGCTCAGTCAGCACCTGAGGAATGTGTAGTGTGGGAAGTGGCTAGACCCTGGCAAGGGGCTTATGTGCTTGTGGGCTCCAACCCTGCATGTGTACCCGTATAATCCAGAAGGATTGTCAGAAATACAGGTTTTCTGGCTCAATGTCAGAACTACTGACGTCGTCTCAAGGACTGGGCACAAGGATACATGTTGGGGCCACTGCTGTTGTTTCTGTTCTTGTGATTATTATGGTTGTTGTGACTGTGGCTGTGGCTATTAAAGGCCCTGGCAAGTCCTGCAGCCAGAACACTCATGTTTGAGAGCCGAAGTTCCAGCTGGTAAACTAAGTCCTCATGCATGGAAGGTGGGACAACATGTAAGTACTTGGGTTTTGAAGACAGCCAACTCTCTGTTGGAGCTATGGCTTAGCCACCGTTTATCCACAGGTCTTACGCACCTTCCTAAACTTACTGGAGGCTCAGTTTCCTTACCTCTAAGAGAGAAATAAGAAGAGTACCTATCCCATAAGATTCTTGTTTTGATTAAAGGAAACAATGAATGTAAAGAAGTTACCGCAGCACCTGGCACACAGTAACAGCTTAGTAAATGTTTTGCTGCCAAACTTTCCTCACAGAACATTCTGCATTTAGTTCCTCCTCACTCCACCATGCATCCCAGCTGAGCATGGAGGAAATGTCTCCTTAGTCACCTTTCTCTTGTTTGATGCAATATTTCTAAGTCCCAAAGAAACAGGTAAATGTGCAAGACAGTACACGTGCTTCCAAGGAGATTTATAAAGTTAATCTTGCTCACTTATTTGGCTGAATCAGTCCCGAGGGAGCATGACTGCCGCAGAGCCTTGAAAACTGCCAGCATAGTTATGAAATCACTTACAACGCGGAGGATTTGTGATCATCTTTTTTTCACCGCAAACTGACAATTGCTGTGTAGCAGGGAAAAAATAGAAGAGCTTCTGTGGTCTTGAGCACAGAGACCACCTAAGTTGACAACAGTAGTATTTCTTGGAATGGAGAGTGTGCAATTTTGCAAAGCCTTAAAACATCCCAAGCTTACTTGACAGATGTCTGGCCCCATATCTGAGCCCCAGGTTCTTGGGCAGAATGGGAGAGATGGGAGACAAGTGGAATGGAGAGATGGAGGAGGAAAATGGAACAGAAGCAAGGAAAATCTGGCCTTTAACTCTGTTCTTCTCCTTGCTGAGCACTGCCACCTAAAGAGCGTAAGCCCCCAGAATTCCAACCACTAGAGAACAAGGTACTAGGTTTCTGACATTGCTTCCTTATAAACCCCTTGAGCACTGGGACTGTCTTTACTCATTTAAATCTGTTAAACAGAGATGAACAAATCAGATACAGCCCTTGTCTTTTTTTAAGATTTTATTTATTCATTTGAGAGAGAGAGAGAGAGAGGGCACAAGTTGTGGGGGGAGGGGCAGAGCAGGGAGCCTGATGCAGGGCTCGGTCCCAGGACCCTGGGACCATGACGTGAGCCGAACTCACATGCTTAACTCAGCCATCCAAGCACCTCAAAGCCTGCCTTCATTAAGCTTAGACTCTAGTGACCTAGAGTTGTAAGTGCCTCTAGGTCCCAGGTAGGGGATGTAAATCTCTGAAACAGGCCTGGTGTGGTAGAAGAGGGAGTGGTGGGGCTGTAGTGATCTGAAGACACAAAAGGGGCAACAGCTACTCATCTCCAACCGACTGTTGCATTGTGGAAATGTGAGTCCGGTATTGCCAGATCTTCTAATTTTTTCAAAAGAAACAGAAAATCTCCAGTTTTGTATGTGAAGTCTTCTACATTTTAAAATGCATTAATTAAAGATTTTATACAACTAGAACATTTTGGTGCCTGGGTGGCCCAACGGGTTAGAGCATCAGCCTTCAGCTCAGGTCATGATCCTAGGGTCCTGGGACCGAGCCCTGCATCAGGCTCCCTGCTCTGCCCCTCCCCCACAACTTGTGCCCTCTCTCTCTCTCTCTCAAATGAATAAATAACATCTTTAAAAGACAAAACACTAGAACATTAGGTGGGCCAAAAAGAACCCACATGTCTTGGACCAAATACATCCGGATTGCCACCTCTGATCTAGTTACTAAAACCTTGCACAGTACCTGGAACATAGTAGGTGCTCAAAAATGTTTCCTTAAGAAATAAGTTACATACAAAAGAAGAAAGAAACGACATGCATGCATTCATAAAACATGATGACATCTTGCTATCATCACAGAAAGTCTAAACATATGATGGTGTTTTCCCAACTTCAGGGATTAGACACCTACAGTAAAGGGAGGTCGCCCAGGGAAAGAATCACTGCACAGTTCTGGAAGGGCTTTACCTCTGCATATCCTGGTGGAGAAGTCCAGATAGTACTGTGGGGCACAGCTCTCATACTGACATTCCCCGAAGAGCAGGACCTTGTTTGGGTCTCGGCAGGAGGTACAGCCGGCCTGAGAATCACAGCTTCCACAGTGCGCTCCGCATGCTGAGCAGATAGGAAAGAAAATGACCAGGTAATTACAATTGCAAATACAGAAGCAGGGATGAAACGGAGACAGATGTTGCAAAGGAGCAAAGCCCTCTCCAACCTGTGCTTTAATTATGGCTCGGAAGCCTCCCCTGTGATCAGCAGAAACAGAAAATGTTTCCCTAATTTTCTAAATTGGAGAAAGGATCATTTTATTTTCCAGAGAAGATAAATTATAAACCCAAGAATGGAAATTCCACATCCAGGTTGCCCTGTGATTCAGAACAGAATTTATACTTATTCCAAGATCTCTGGAACAACGGTCCGGACATGTATTTGAAACTTACTTCTCAAGGATTCAAGCGCCCAGTTGTTCCTGATGTGGATTCAGGTTTTTGAGCCATGCCAAGATTAAAGTTAAGCATCAATTTTGTTGTGAAGCTCAGGAAAGCCCACATTTCACACCTCAGAGGACTTCAAGGAGGACTGGCTTATGGATTGGCTCAGTTGTAATTCTCAGCAGCTACTTAATTCAGGCATTCAAGGATGATCCCCAAATCCGGTCATGTTTCCATCCTCCCTGACTTAACAACTAGCATTTCTCCATCTCCTCAGTTGTCCATGCTAGAAACCTGGGAGGCTATCTTGATAAGCCCCTTCTTTCTCATTCCTAATCCAATCACTCACTGGATCCTACTTACTCAAGTTTTCCTACATAATTCTCAGAATTCTTTTGCTTCTGTCCATATCCACACATGCTAACACATCTAAGCCCTCATCATCTCCTACTGGACTACTGTCATAGCCTCCTAATTGGTTTCCCCGTACCAAGTTTGACCCCCTTGCATTCTATTTTCCATCTATCCACAAGAGTGATTTTTTAAACTTGTACGGCTCAAGTTTCAGAGAATGCTTCCATCTGGAAACTCATACCTTCCTTCAACCCTGGAAAACTGCCAGCCACCATTTCTGCAAATATCACTCCTCCATCATTCCCTCCATTCTTTCCAACCAGAAATCCTAAGACACATTTGAATCCTCTCAACATAATCTCCAAGTTTCTCATCTTTAACTCTTACTCATTCTTCAGTGACTTCTTTAAGAAGGTCTCCCCCGACTCTCCATTCTAGGGTAAGTCTCCCCATCACTGCTCTATGGCACTCCAGACATTGCATTCATGCCATACCTAATGATTTTCATTACAATGATTATTTAACTTCTGTATCCTTTAAGCTATAAGCTTCATGAAAGCAAAGACCAAGGTCAATAGTATTCAGAGCCTGACTAGTTCTCTTTCATGTGATGGGTGTTCAATGAACACCTGCACATAAATGGAAGAAGCCAGACATTTTCGTTATACATATTCAAGCACTAGCATCTCTGCCTCATTCCGAAATTTCCTCCAAGTACGTATCAGAGGAAAAATCCAGAGAATGAGCTAGATTTTTAGAGTTTTCGATCTAGAGGGTGTGGCACGTGTGTGGCACAGTGCGGGAAAATTACCTCCTGGTGAGAATAAAAAGGAAGTCCTCTTGTTTCACCTACAAGAAATGTCATTGATATAAAATATTCATTAGAATATGTAGATTAGTAATTAAAGATCCTAGAAAAACTCTAGACTGGATTTTCAAACAGATGGTTTGAGAATAATTGGAAAAGAATCTTTAATTTTTGGAAACCTACATGAAATGAAACTTCCCTCCTTTTTTTGGCTAGAATTTTTACACATGGTGTCTCTTACTTTTGGCAGAGGGTGTGACAAAAATCTCAAAGATAAGCCCAGGAATAGAAAAATGAAATGGGGTCTTGGAGTTACAGGTGGATGTGAAAACTGTTGAAATGCGTCCTCACAGCCGTAAGTAAATGCATCCTCAAAGCTATCAGTAAACCTTTGTAATTAGTAAATGTCCTGAGTAGAATACTATCATGAAGTCTTCACTTATTACTTGATCAACATTTTTAAAAAGATTTTATTTATTTATTAGAGAGAGAGAGAGTGAGTGAGAGAGCATGAGAGGGAGAGCTCAGAGGGAGAAGTAGACTCTCTGTGGAGCTGGGAGCCTGATGTGGGACTCGATCCCAGGACTCCAGGATCGTGACCTGAGCCGAAGGCAGTTGCCTAACCAACTGATCTGCCCACGTGCCTTCAACATTTTTATTAATAGCTTTAATTACAACAAAGAAATCAAACTAATAATACTTAAATATGCCACATACACCTAATAGGAGACACACAGTCTAATTTCACCATCAGAAAGAACAACTCAAGCTCAATTTTAACTAATTGAAGCACTAAACGAAAAGTAATCTGAAGAAATAAGTGAAAGCGTTAAGTCCTGCATTTTTTTTCTATAACCAGTTGCACAAATAAAGGATACGGGAGACCGGTTCAGACAGTAGTTCCTATAAAAAATGATCTAAGAATTTTAGTTGATTAAAAGCTTATTAGAGGCACAATTTGGTTACTAAGGAAACGGATACAATGTTCAAGTGAAGAGCCTTCATATAACCTAAGTGTCAGCGGAGGCCCCGGCTTGACAAACAGCTACGACACGAAGCCCAAAGGCCAAGCCCTCAGCTTAGAGGGACAGGACGATGCCCCGTCCGGAGAGCTGAGAGCGTCTTGAGTTTACTTCCTTAGGCACCTGTGTACCTTCTTATTCTTGAATCCATCCACACAGTCTCTCATTCCCCGTCGGTAACTTAAAGTGTAACTCACCCCTCTACTGGCTTCTAAAACAAATGGATTCATGCCGAGCACTGTGCAAGGTCAGAAGACTCCGTGGAGATTGAGAAGTGGGAGCAGTGTCCCCCCGAGGAGCAGGGAGCCCCTGCCATGTCTACCTGAACCCTCCTTCTTCATTCATCAAACCCCTCCTCTCTCACCAAGGCAACCTACAAATAGCGTTGTCTTAGAGCAGTTCTGCTCATACCAAAGCCCCTTGGGTTCTCAGCTTCCACCTCCGAAGGCACGTAGGTTAGGAGCATTTCCTCCACCTTGGAACATTCAGACCTCACATGGTATTGTCACGTTGCTGTGATCACATCTGGAGTCCCAGTACTGTTCTCCCAGGTACCAGACCCCAGAAAGTACCAAGAGGACAGTGACGACAGTGGAAAGTGGACCAGAAACCAGGAAGGGAAGCAGAGATGTACTGAACCATCATTCATGAAGGGGGAAGGGACCTGACCACTTAGGAAGTCCACCTTCCCTCAGAAATAGGCCTGCTGTCTACCGCAGCTCGGGGAGAGGGTCATCCATTTCTGCCCCGATACTCCGCTGGCTCCGGTTTCGCCTGGAGCAGCAAAGCACGAGGGGACAGTTAATAGCAAACGCTGGAAGGCAACCAGATGAATGAGGAAGGAGACTTACTCTCTCCTGCTCCGGAGGGGAGTTCCAGGGCCCACGAGAAAGACCATCAGACAGCTAAACAGCTACCACCCCTGCAATGGGCCCAGCTTCCTCCCGCATCTGTAGAAGTCTGGGAGGGGGAGTGAGAAAGAATTGGGTACAAGGTCGTCTCTGGCCACCCTGGAGTTCTCCTCCTCGCCTCTAAAGCACCATGGCTCCAGGTACTGGAAACCTCATTTATTGTCTCTTTTTTAACGTGCCTGCCTCAACTGATTATCCTTGAATTTTAGAGCTCAGCATGTAACTTCTAAACGTTTCTGGAACCAGATTTCAGACAGTTCTCTGGCTCTTACTTTCCTCTATAATATGGTTATTAATGCCTCCCCTTATACTGGTAGTATTCCTTTAAAGCCCTTTACTGCACCATTTCTAAAATTGTGAGGCCTGTAATTGTCTATAATAATAAGCATTAGAAAGGAACATTGTTGGTTTTCTTTACATACTAGAAACTCAAATATCCAACTTAAGGGCATGCTTTATTCAATTTTCAGAAGAATGAAACTTAGGCTTCAGCAAAGGACTAAAGCTAGGAGATTCTTAATTTCACTGCATAGTCTATGAAGTCCTATTTTCATGGTAGCATAACAAATGTATTTGTGTGGAGATCACCTTGCACAAAGGCAAAGGCTTTTCAGAAAGAAATATTTCAATGCAATATTTTTTTTGTCATCGATACGCCATATGAAAGATTCCATTTTTTCTTTTGAACTTTTATTTCTGTGATTCCACTGCTATCAGGAGCCCCATAAATCTAAGCCCCTATTTCTCCACCAACACTCTCTTGCTCTGGAATGGAACATGCAAGTATTTCATTCATGTCTCTTGTGTCAGGGAATCCGCAGATACCGGTAGACAGTTGATATATACAAAGCAAAGTTTTTGCTATAAAAGCAAAGAAATTTTTTATGGGTCCAAAAAGGTTTTTTTTTTTAAATCTCTGGTATCTCAACGGGTGATACAAAATAATGAGGTCCACATAAATTCATTTTGAATGCAGATCTTTGCAAACATCTCAGTGAACAGTAATGCCTATCTTTCTATCTGTAAAATGTAACTATCTTAAACCACTCGGTTTGCCTCTCACTCTGGGTGATGATGATGACAACAACAATAACTATACTGAGAGCCTGGTAGGACACATGCTAAGTGCGAGAACATTACATGTAGGTACCATTACAATCCCCCTGTGACAGCAAAAGAAACGAAGGCCTGGCGGTTAATTCACTTGCTCCCAGGTCACAAAAAACTGTTACATGGCAGGTAGGGTTTGAACGAGTCCAGAGCCCACGTCCCTAACCACTAGTCTATAATTCCTACAATACGGTACTTCCTAGGACATAAAATTGAAATACCAGCACTGCATTTGTTAGCTGTCATTTTCAAAAGAAAAAAGTGTAACAAAATTTTTTCTTGCAAATGACACTTCAGTGATTGAAATAAAGTAAGCCGCCTTGGCGTATCTCAAAAAATGTTCCTTCGTCTGTGAAGGATTTCCTAATTTCTTTTCTACTCAGAGCTGCCCTTTACCTAATTTATCCTAGCTCTTCGTTTGTGCCCGATGTAGGTAATTAATCATAATGATTTTGACTTATTTGAGAAATAAGACATCTATACAAGTAACTCTCATGCAAGAGAAAATAATGACTGTTTGAACAGAAACCGAATGCTTTGTAGCATGTCAAGCCTTGCACATTGTCAATATTCAACAAATACAAACAGAAAACAAATTATACCCAGACAAGTGCTTAGGTCAATGATCGTGTGCTAGAATGAGCTCCACTCTGCTCGGGATCTTGGACTTGAGTTGCTGAGGATAAAGTAAGCCAACATTTTATTTTTAAAATGAGATAACCAGAGAACAGAGACACTAAATGACTGGCCTAAGGTCACACAGCCTGTCCTTGTAGAGGAGATCCCCGAACCTAGCACTTCCCGGTTAGACCGATGTCTGCTAAGGGCATCCATATGCCTTTGTAGGTTAACTTCCTCTTATAAAAATAAAGGCTATCAGGTGAAAATACAGAAGCAAGAACTTCATATTTCCTTCAACGACACCAGAAGATCGGTAAGGAGAGAAAGTTCATTTTTAAAAACCTACGCTGACAAGCACGGCTGTCATCAAGATAGTGCCCCGGGAAGCAGGCAGTGCTGCAGGTGCCAAGGTGGGACAGAACAAGGTCGGCATCACACGAGGTGCATGAGAAGGGTCCTGTGCCCTGGCAGGTTCTGCAGGAGGAGTGACATTCTGCAAAGGGAAAAGAAACACAAAGAGAACCTATGTTGCCAAGCTCCTCTCCAAAGCAGCCTGGGAGGCATTAATAAAAGCCCCAGCTGAGAGCGTTAGCTGGTCTGGTGTACTGCCCCGCAGCGTGCTTCCCGCCTCCTCTCTCTCTAGGGAAGAACCAATCGTCTCCCGCTACTGCCCCCAAGAAAATTCATGAGGCACGGCCAGCTCCTGTGTCTGGCACTTACTCACTTTTACAAGCTCCTCTCTCTGCGAAGTATCCAGGAGGGCAATCAGGAACACAGTGGTCCCCCAGCAGCAGGTACCGGGCATTCTGGCAGCTCAGGCAGACACTGCCTGTGTGGTGGAGGTCAGCGGTGCAGTGCTGGCACAGAGGATGGCAGTCTGGAGAGGGCGGAGGGGACACACAGGAGGCACAGGCCGCGTGAGCGCAGGGTCTCACCTCTACACCGAAGGGCAGAAGGGAGTGTGATTACCCTTGCTGCGGCGCCAACGGCGGGAGAGCAGCCCAAAGGCAGGGCACCCTAGGAAAGGAGACGTCTGGGACCTGTACAAATGGTACGTGTAGAGGTTTTTAGCAAATGGCCAGGCCCAGCACAACTATCGAGTTTTCATCCCCTTTCAAATGAACGACCTTCAAATACTCGAATGGCATGTGATAGCTTCTTGCTTGCAGTGTAGAGAGAATGGCCAGATCAACAGCAACGGTACTGCCAACACGATCAACGTTTCCCCCAAGAGTTGTGGGAACGCTAGCCCAGCGTGCCCCCATGCACAGCGCTCCTGAGGGGGGCACGGTACTCTCCACAGGCTGCCGTCCTAGGAATTTGGCCTTCCAGAGTCAGCATACCAGTCTTGGCTGTTGATATTGGAGGGACTGGGGTTAGCAGGTAAGTGGGCCGAGTCGGTGGAAATTTTTAGTCTTCAAATAGAGGTAAAGTTACAAAGAAGAGTTGTGAGCTGAAAAGTCTTCACGACCCAATCCATAAGTCACAGTACAATACAAGCTCTGTTGCATGAGCTGTGATTAAAGCTCTAAGACAGATGATCTGGTAGAGCCAGCGGTCTCTCGGTCTCACCCGTATAATAGTCATCCTTTCACTCAAGAACCCGACTGCATTCAGCTCCCATCCTCTGCCTCATTTTAAGGGGTGACTGTCCTCCAGGTCCTGTTTACCATCCTCCATCCCAAAGACTGGAGAAAATCCACAAATCCTGATTTACCCACCAACATGAAAAAGGAGTAAAGCCTAGGAAACGAAAAGCTAGAGCTCTAACCACAGGCCTTTCCCTCTTTCCCTGCAGGATTCAAAGCACCTGTCCGCCCTTACTAAGGCACCACTCTGGGACCAGACGTGGCTTGTTCGGCTCAGTGCTGTAGACAGAGACCGTGATCTTGAGCAATGTTTAGATTAAAATATCCTTGTCAATGAGACAGATGGCCTGTCCCCCCAAATCTGTTAAAACAGGTCTTTTCGTCTATACCCTCAGGGATACTTTCTTCATTGCTAACCACCTAAGGCGTGCCCCCTGCAGAAGGGGATCTCAGCGGCACACCCGCACCCCCTCATCCGCATGCGAAGCCATCTGAAGACACGCACAGCCACTCCAGAAGTTGAGCCAGAAGGGTCCTCCCTAAAATACCGACTCTTCTCGTGGGCACGAGAAGGAATAGTCCCTACCCTTCTCTGAACTTTGGGAGCTTCCAATTCCAGGCAGCCTGTTGCCCATATTAGGAGCAATTCTTGATCTCCTAAGAGCCAAATTAATCCTCATTATAGACCTTCAGTAAAGTATAAAGGAAAACGAGGACTGTATTGAGGGAAAGGATAAGGAGGCTACGTCCCCTGACTTAGTATAAAGTTTCCACACAATGTTCTCTTTTTCCCGGGCCCTCACGGTGCCAGGAGCCAAAGGGCAGATTCAAAAAGCTCTGGAAGTTGCTGCAGCAAATGGAGGTGACCGTGTTTTATGATTACTTGAATGAGGGGGCACCAGCCAGGGTTGGAAACCTGAGAAACATGGCTGATTCAAGGCTCCATTATTTGAAAAGTCCACAGCCTCTCCCTCTTTCAAGCCAGGGCTTACGGAGGGTTCTGGGCTCAGGCGAGCCCCGACAAGATCTGCAGGTGTTCGTGGTCTGGAAACTAGTTGCATCTGACTGAGGCTTTCTCTGGTGCGTAATTAGAGGAACGAGGAAGAATCATCACCGAGGGGATGCTTTGAAGAGAAAGTGAGAAGACCTCTGGGGTACTTTGTGGGTACAATAAATAAATATTTATGACTCTGTCTGATCTTGGGGATCTCTAGAAGCCGTTGAAATGAGTGTAATGTGCATTAATTACCACTACAGGAAGCTAGAGCTAGGCTATGGACGCTCCTTTCCACTCTCATGGCCGCTGTTTGTAAACTCTCTCTCCTCGTCTCCAGGCAGCAACCCCCACCCTCCGCCACCTCCCAGGTCATTCCATCTTCTACTTCATTCAGCCCCTCAAGCACAAGCTTCCTGTCAGACTCAAAACATCTCTCTTTACCCACTTTTATTTCATTTCTTTTCTCACAGGATGAAATGGCTCATTCCTCCGCCCACATTCTTGACCCAATTTTCAACATTATTAGAACATTATTTCAACATTATTGCATTTTCTACCCCATCTCTCTTCACTCTCCATGACCTCAACCTTGGAACACGCTCTGCCTCACCAGCACCTCCAAAGCTCTTCTCTACAACCATGCTGCCGTCTCTCGCCGTCCCTTCACCACCCAACCTCCCAGCCTCCCTAACTTGCTGGGACCTGCCTCCAACCTCCACAAGTCTGCTGTGGTATTGCCTTGAAAAAGTCTCTGACCACCACGTATGACCAAATCTAATGGCTCCCTCTAATTCCCAACCTACGGGAGATCTCTGTAACACATGACACCCCTGGCTGCCTTCCCCCTGGACCCCCATCCTCCTTTAGTACGCTTTTTCCTGGTGCCCTTCATGGCCAGGTCCGTGCTCTCTGCCACTGACCACCTGGTAAATGTAGACGTTCCTCACAGCCCTGACCATCTGTCTTCCTCCTAATCAAGTCTCATCCTCTGAACATCCTAACCCAGACAGGGCTGTCTGCTTTGGCTTCAGCCACTAGAAGCTGGTGGAAAGGACTCAAGAGCCTCAAAGTCTCCAGAATCACTGAAGACTCTGCCTCCTTCTTCATGGCTCTGCGTGAAGCCTTAAGAGGCATCACGTCAATCGCCGGACATAGCACAGTACATGATGGCGTAGCTGGAAGCAAGGAGACATCAATAAATGACACCTGAAAAAGTAAAACAATCAACTGCAGGTTGCCCAACGCATCACATTAATGCAAGGAAGTTTAAAGTTTTATCTTACACACGAGATTGTAACTACCTGGGTCTGGAAGTTGGGCTCCCTCTTTGTGTGAAGACCTATATTTATTCCTTAGTCATTCATCTGTGGTTTAAAAAGCCACATGGAACAACCATTCCTATGAGTAGATTCATTCCAAAGCAACAAGCTAAGTGATCCCACATTGATGCATTCATGCAAACCTCCCTTCCCAGCTCTCTCGTTTATGAGCCCCCAACAGAAGACCACTTAAATACACTCTGAGATCCTGCTCTCAAGTCAGTCTGAAGGCTGACTGACTTTTCTTCAACCAACCAGAGAAGAAAAACAAATTCCTAAAACCCAGGAAACACGTCTATCTTGAGAGCCTGAAGTCAAAAATCTCTTTATGGAGAGAATTCTTTAGGAGAGCTCAAAATGAGTGATGATGTTCAGGGAAAGAAGCCAAGAATCAGAGCAAAAAGAACTTAAGGATTAACACGTCTGTTCTGACTTACGCTCAGAAAGTATGGTTCCTGAGAGCAGACTACAGAACTCAGGGGTGATAGGCTACAAGTGGCCAGTCCCGCCAGGTAGCACCTGTAAGCAAGCTACAGTACCTGTAAACATGCTTCAGGGTCAAGCCTGGGGGCCCCTGAGATCTTCTGCGCAGAAGAGGGGCTGAGTGTGGCTCTGACAAGAGCCTTGAAGTTCTGTTTTTTGGAGTACAAAGTGAGCCATGGAAGAAAATATGAAAAACATTTTTATAAATATAAATAAATATAAAAATCATCCTAAGTAGCCCTTTCAGAGTAAATAACTACTGACATTGACATTTATCTCTTGGTTCTTTTTCTATATACTCTTACATAGCTTTTTACATAGAGGAGATTATATTAAATGTTGTCATAAAATATCTTTTTTTTTACTCAGTACCGTCAGCATTTCTACACGTCATTAGGAACTCTTTGTAAACAACATTCTAGGGACTACATTATATCCCAGCCTTGAATAAATAAATAAGAAACGTGCACTTTTCATATACAGCTGACCCTTGGAAAACCAAGGGTTAGGGGCATGGACCCCCTGCACAGTCAAAAATTCATGCATAACATTTGGCTCCCCAAAACCTTAACTACTAATAGCCTACTATTGGCTGGAAGTCTTATTGATAAACTAAATAATCGATAAACAAATATTCTGTAGGTTATAGATATTATGCACTGTACTTTTACAATAAAGTAAACTAGAGAAAAGAAAATGTTAGGAGAATTTTAAGGAAGAGAAAAATACATTTACAGTACTATACCATATTTATTTTTAAAAATCTACATATAAATGGACCGAAACAGTTCAAACCTGTGCTGTTCTAAGGTGAACTGTACTTAAACATTAACTTCTAGTTCGTCCACTTCTGTAATTGAGGCCCTGATAAGACTTCTGTGCATTTTAGATTAGTTCCCAAAAGACACTGTCAGGAATACAACTAAAACTTTTTTTTAAAAGATCTTATTTATTTATAGTGGGGGAGGGGCAGAGGGAGAGAGAAACCCAAGTAGACTCTGTGCTGAGTGCAGAGACTGGCACTGGGCTTGACCTCACAACTCGGAGATCATGACCTAAGCCGAAATCAAGAGTCAGAGGCTTAACCGGCTGAGCCACCCAGGCACTCCAATTCATATTATTACTATAGCTTCTATTGACTGAGCTTGGCATATATATCAAGGATTATACCACTTATTAGAAATGTAAAATCTCATGCATGGCCTGCAAAGATGAAGTAGGGGAAACATGATCCCCACTTTAAAGATGAAGACATGGAGACTCAGAGGTTGAGTCACCTGCTCACACGTCATATCCACACCGACTTCAGGGCATGGACTTTTAACCACTACAGGCATGAAAACACTCTAAAATTCTTCATAGGTATTACAGATTCCATTCCAGAAAGTCTGTATCAGTTTACACTTCCAAGAGTCCCTCATGAGACTATTTCCTCATAACTCTGCCTGCACTAAGGAACTGAAAAATGGTAAAACAATCTTGGTCAGTT